CATCCAAAGCATATAAGCTCCAGTGACATCACCGATTCACTGTGACCATTTTGTAAGTGAAGGCTGGGTAAGCCACAAGTTGCCTCCCTCTGAGAGAACTAATCCACTTCGATTTTGCAGCACAATGGGCCCGTGTGTCTGGCTGTTAACTGTAAGACTGGTGGTTCAGGCCCATCCAGTGACTTCTGTGGGCAGGAGTCCTGCATTGCTGGGGGTTGGACTAGATGACTCTCAGGTTCCCTTTCAACTCTGATTCTTAGTCAAGTTGCAGTGCCATCCTTCATAGGATACCCTTGTATTTATTTTATTAAACCCTTAGCAACGGAGAGCATCTAGAACCACAGAATCAAAATTAATTCGAAATTCATTGCAGGAGTTCTGCAGTCACATTTTCTGATGGAAGCTTTCTGTGAATGAAATATTCTCTGCCGGAGAGTGTATTTTTAACTCAACGTGCGTTGGGTTTCACAATATACTTTGCGCACCTATCGCTTCCTTCCTTTTTAGATCAGGTTGCTAGGTTGCATCCCAGAGACTGACACTGCGCATCTACATCTCCCAGAGAAGCTGGACCTGCAGCAGCTGCAATTTCACCAACTTCCTTCATCCGTTCCCTGCCCTTCCCCGATTGATGCAAACAATACAACTCCTTGGAGAAAGCAGTTTTTTGGTTTTGTTTTTTTTAAGTGTAGTCAAAAGGACAGGCCATTTAATGGCTACTGAGGCTGCAATCCTCTGCCCATTTCCCAGGAGTCAGTTCCACTGAATACCTCTGACGAGGCATGCAGAGACTTAACTAAGGAATTCAAACTTGTAGACTCAGTATGTAACCTGGCAACTCTGCCATAAGATGCTGAGAAGAAAACAAGCACACATCAGGCAGCTGTACCCATCATTCTCCCATCTTGCCACTAGATGGTCTACTCTGTTAAAATATTTCTGATTCCAACAAAGGTTTCTGAATCAGGGCATCAAATAATTACTCAGAAGACTGGCTTCTGTGCCCAAAAGCCTTGCAGGGGCTGATGGTGCTTAGCTAGAGGTGGCCTCTTTTATAATTGGTGGGGGGGGTGTGTGTAAAATGGTTTTAAAATATTCATTTGGCTTCATAACACTTCCTATCCCTTGGGCTCAGTAGCAATAATACCACCCCCTTGACACTAATGCGGGCACATTAAGTCCCATCGATGGAAAATGTGGAGAGCACTCAGAGGTTTTGCAGCTGCAACAACAAAAAAAGCCCAAAGCACTTCTGTCAGGCAAGAGGCCTTTCTAATGAACGAACAGTTTTAAAAAGAATGATTTCGGGAAAGGAAATGACATACAGCATAGCTGGGAATCCAAGGTGATGCAGTGGATAGTGGTGGTTTTTGAGCAGGGGACGCCAACTACCGGTAGTTTGAATCTCTGCTCAGTGTTGGGAACTCAGTAACCTTTAGCTCAAGCTACTTTAGAGCTGTTGCGCTGATACACATAATGCAAGGATCGCGATACCTCAAGGACCGCCTCTTTCCATATGAACTTACCCAGACCCCGAGATCATCTTCTGGGGCCCTCCTTCGTGTGCCTCCTCCTCGATAGGTCTGGAAGGTGGCAACACGAGAACAGGCCTTCTCTGCAGTGGCTCCCCATCTGTGGAATGCTCTCCCCAGGGAAGTTTGCCTATGCACCTTTAGGCACCAGGCAAAAACGTTCCTTTTTAACCAGGCCTTTGGTTGATCTTATTGACATCCAACACCCTTTTAAAATGTGGTTCTTTTGGGGTTTTTTTATTGGGTTGTTGTTTTTATTTTTGTTATATATTTTGTGATTTTATATATTTTATATATTTTATTCTGTGAATCGCCCTGAGATCCCCAGGTATAGGGCGGTATATAAATTCAATTATAATAATAATAATAATTATTAATAATATTGTGACCACTCATAAAACCATGGAGTTGGGTCATCTAGCCTAACCCCCAATGAACTGGTGGAACTCACTGCCACAAGAGAAGTGACAATAGGTTCTCAATCTGGGTAACAAATTGATCCACAGACGGCTACTAGTACATTATGGCTGCATGGGAGCTCCAGGTTTTGTTTTCTTCCTGTAACTCTTCTAAAATTGAGTTCACCCATGGGATACAAATGCAAATCAATACAAAAAGAAATAAATGAATTGGCTTAAACTAGTAACAGGCTCACGTTTTGAGGCCAAAAGGAGAGGAACAGTAGAAGGCAGCTATTGCTTCCAAGCCCTGCTTGTGGACTCCTTGAAGGCCACTGGTTGGGCAAGAGTGGGCAACAAGATGCTGGACCTTTCGTCTGATCCAGCAGGGCTCTTACGTTCACAAAAACAACCGGAAACCAAAACAAGATCCCCAGCACAGGGTTCCACCCAGCAGGCTATGTCCTTCCCTCTTCCAATTCCCCAGCTCAACAGTTGTATGCAGGGACTACCTAAGGATCCACATGTGGAGAAGGGAGTTCCACATTAACACTCCAAATTAAACCACATGTTCTTCCTGCACTATAGAAGTGACCCTTAAACTGTGGGGGCAACTGAGCAATGGAGAAGATCCTACAGCACATGGGAACTTTCTAAACCCAACCATCGCAACAACAGATCCTTCCAAGTCTTTCTGTTTTCCTGGGACATCCCTGGTTTAGGGACGCCATCCTGGATTCTTATTTGATCCCAGAATGTCCTACTTTTCCTTAGGATGCCCCTACTTTCATTGCAGAAATGTTGGAGGGTATGGAGTTATCCGACCCCCGAGCCATCTGAAGGCAATCCTGTATAGGGAAGGTTTTTGGTTTTTTTAATGTCTTAACGCTTTATTTTGCTTTTATATCTGCTGGAAGCTGCCCAGAGTGGCTGGGACTACCCAGCAAGATGTGTGGGGTGTAAATAGCAAAGTTATCATTATGGAATGGGGCGTCCCTATTATCATCAGGGAAATGTTGGACGGTATGCAATAAGGTATTTTTGCCTGACAGTATAAAACTCCCTTTTGTGTTGGTTCCATTTTAAATCCCAGGTTACACTACCCTGCTGCCAGCAGATGGCAGCAAACAGCTTCGACATGCAGGATGAGTCACTAATTTTTAAATCAGATTTCCCAAATCAAGATAGGCAGCTAGAAGACAAAGTTCTTTGGAACAGAGATGCATTTATTTGGTTTGATTTCCAGGAGTCTTTTCTCCTTGGGGAAAAAAACCAAACTCATTTAGACATAGGGATTTAGCTGGAGGTAGGGTTGGAACCTGGATAAAATAGGCAGGTGCTTCAGAATACCCCAAACATAACTGCGTATTTTGGAGTCTGCAAATTTGGGGCGAGATGATGCCTCTTGGAAATATATGCCGTTACTGCAGAATAGTGAAAAGGAGCAGCAGTCCTCAAACTCTTGCTTCATTGCCCCCCCACCCCCAACATTTCCAGTGACTATTGAAGAAGGAATATGTAGAGCTTCCCTCTCATAAAGGGAAATGTTGGAGATAAATGCTGCTGTGCTCAAGAGAATGGCACTCTGCACATGCTTGAAAATGCTCTTATGTTCTGTACGTGTGCCAGGGCTGGGCTCTGAACCAAAACCTAGTGTTTCCTGGGAAGAGGGAATGGTGATTACACCAGTCTGGGAATTGTTGTTTGGTGGGAGGAATAGCAACACTCAGAACTATACTTCCCAGGATTTATTTGGGGGGGGGGTCGTGGCTGTTTAGAGGCAATGATACTGCTTCGAAGCAGCATGGTCCAGCTTTAAATGCACAAGGATACGGTGCAAGAACGATAATCAGCCTACAATTCAAAATTTGGATATGTTCAGGTTTTCAGAAAGACTGCTGGCAAACCCTGGACGTTTACGTGCTCAGGATAGGGCCCCCTGCTAGGCTCTGGTGCAGCAAAATCCAAGCCATCAGACCTCTGCCGTGTGAGCCTTCTTGTTCCTTGCCACTTTCCCCCATCCTGCTTATCCTTACCCATACCTTTTGGTTATTGCCTAGCAACCACAAAATGCAGTTATGTTTCTCCATGGATATAGCAGAACAGCCTTCCTGGTGAGGTGTGATATTGGCACAAAGTAGCCGACTTCTGATTTCATGTGACAGGGCAGCCCCTGAACCTCGGAGAGCTGTGCAGAAGCGATTTCAGCAGGCATTGCTTGCCAGAATTCAGATATTAAGATATTGTGTGTGTGATATCGAGAGAGAGAGAGAGCGCGCGCGCGAGCTTGGGCCAGTCAGTCTCTAACTAGCCCACTTCACAGGGTTGCTGCAAGGATGAAAACACAAGAGAGGGAGAACCATGAAACCCTGAGCTCCTTGAAGGCAAGGCAGGCTATAAATTTACTACATCCTCCACATCATAAACATATGGAGAGCAAAGCCACATGTGCTATTCCCCTCTGGGAGAGGGCTCATCTTGGGTGGGGGTGGGGGTGTGGAGGTAGTGGCTGTCCCCCGTTTATTATCTGACTATCCTCTACAGACCTACCATTGTGCGGAAGATAATGCTTGGGTTGTAGCCTTTCTCTTTGTCTTCGGCACGGTGTTGGTTAAACTGAATTACATCACTAAGAGCTGGAGGGAAAGTTGAGACTTGGCTTCTTGCACAAGTCGTCCTGCTGAGTTTGCACAACTTCCCGCTCTCCCCGCACCCCTTGATGATAAAGGGACCCCCTTCCTTCTTCTCCAGAAAACGTGAGTCCAGCTCTGTGCGATAGACAAAAAAGGGGAAGGCTGCTGGGCCCAATGAAAGATCACACACACACACACACACACACACACACACACACACACACAGCTCATCACCATCCATTTACCTGACTTAAGTTTACAGTTCTGAACCTATGCAGAAGCAATGGTCCACTGGAATGCACCCAATTTCCAGCAGATGTCAGCATTCTCTTTTCCACTCCTCTCCACAGGTAGATTTAAGGAGACAGCTTAAAACAGAGCAGCAACATTTGCTTATATGTTTCCCCACCCAAAAATAAATAAATAAGCAAAAGCCAGAATTATTTGTATATTTTATTCATAGTATAAAAGAAAGGAAAAAAAAATCTACAGTATTCCCCAAGTTACATGGAGCATTTATTTAAAAAAGAAAAGAAATAGAAACAGAACAAAAGAATTAAACAGTGCACACGAACAGCCCTTTCACCTCCGTGGGTTATGTATCATACAAGTAAACAGGGATTCTTGAGGCATATAAAAAGATATCTACACCAGACAGACTTGTTAGTATTCACAGCACGCACGCACGCACGCACGCACACCCACACTGGCACACAAATAGCCCGACTTAAAGCTGAAATGACCTTATTTGTACCAAAACTTTACAAAAAGTAGTTTTATACTAGACTAGAAAAGAAGTCATGAATGTGCTTATTAAAGCATGTAAATATTAACCATTACATGTGATATAAATAAAGAACAAAAAATGGTTCTAAACGTAGGTTTTGGGAGTGTGGAATAAAAAAACCTTGACTTGGGGAAGCACAAAGTATTCCAACTCTGTTTCCCAATCATGTCCCTATATCAGAAGGAGCAGCAGGTGTGTGGGTAATGAGTAAGGTCTTAAACCAAAGGTCCTACATGGAAACGGGCACCTCTCCTTTCCATACATCAATTCTCACTGTCAATCATCCCCCACCCCACCTTCTGCAGTTAACACCCAAGACAAACTAAAGAGTGTCGTGGGGAAAAAAAGTCAAAAGAAAGATACACTACTATCAAAGCAGCATTTCCACCAGGTTGCCAGCGTTCCGTGAAAATGCCCCGTCAGTGCCAGGCACTTTGGGGATGATTTTAGACACAGATCATCACCCTTTCCATGTGTCACCCACAGTTTGTGCCTGATGAGTCCTGCTTTAGTGGTTACTCCTGGGCTTCTTTGCGAGCCAGTTTGTAAACCTCTGTCGGTCCATCCACGTGGGTTATGGTGGTAGTGAGCTGAAGCTCTTCTCCGCTGTTTACTCCCAGGTCTCCTGGAAAAAATAAAATAAAGCCATGTTTCAGACAAAAGCTGAGTCTTGGCATGAGGACAGTCACGGAACAGGCCTCCATGAGGCCTTTGGAAGAGAATATTTTTTTTTTTAATATTGGCAGTAAGGGAACACCTTTTTAAAAGTCTGCATCAAACTTTAAAACAGAGATTTAATTCAGGAATTGTCTTTGAGAGTTTTGTCTGAGGCAGGATTTGGTACATAAGAACACATCCTTAACCTGATCAGTCCACATGATCAGTACAAGCCAAAAGAGGTGATTCCACATGCCATTTCTGGGTCACAATGATCTAGCCACAACTGGGCACAGGCAGACTTTAGGTTAAAGGGATCTATTATTTTAACTAAAACTTTTGAGGTGAAATAGAGCCAGTTGTGAAATAGCATACCTCAAATACCAAACCAGCATGGACTTAATTACGGCTTGTAGCCCTGAATGCTTTTGGCAACCAACTTTTTAGGACAGGCCTACATGTCACTAAAGGAAAAGTGGGTTTCTGTCTGAATACATGCTCAGCTCGGGATTTTGTTTTCTGTACAGGGTCTTAACAGTTCTCTCTATCAACTCCTGGATTCCCACCACCATCTCAGCAGCCTCCTTTAGAAGGGGTGGGACAAGGGAGAGAAAGCCTTTTTGCCACTGCCTTGGTGGCGACACTGCCCATCACCCGGAGATCAACCAGCAATTACAAAACAACTTCCACACATCTTACACTCAAAGAAACATAGGAGAGAGCCTGCTTTATCAGGTCAATGGCTCATCTAAGTCTAGCATCCTGTTCTTACCCAATGTCTATGGGAAACCCTTGATTAGAACAGGAGGCAGAATGATCCCCAAAACCGCAATATAGGTTTTCCTCGGCTACCCTCAACATAGGAACATCCATTAGCAGTCACAACTCCATGCTACCAATACAACTAGGCTACCAATGAGAGGATACCCAGACTTAAAACACAGAAGCCCCCGTCTTCTAAAAAAAAAATACTGTGACTTCAACACAAGCCACTGCTACATCAGCCCACCGTTCGATTGCTCTTCGACGTAGTTTTTGTGTGAGGGAGCATACAAGAACATCAGAGCAAAAACGTAAAGATTCCACATCCCGTAGATCCCTGTGAAAAAGGCACTGTTCACTTGCACGGTGTAGTCGCCCCATTTCCAGCTGCCTTCAGTCACCTACCCAGGAGAAAGAGAAGGTAAAACCAAGTGAGGAACAGAGCAAGCAGGAAAAACAACCGAATCCCAACCATACCCTTAAGAGAAACGGCCCTTTCTGTGTTGGAAATCACAACTCCCATTCCTTTTCCAGAGTCCTCATTCCTAGGTGTGACCTTGCTGGTTTGCTTTCTCTCCATACAATGACTAGAAGAAAAGGAAACAGGGCCAATCCTATCTTGAACCATTATGGGCCACGTGGCTCAGGCGGTGGAACTGTATGCACCATTTGACACCTGCAGAGCTGGCCACGCACCACAGCCACACTCACATGATAGTTAGTTGTTAGGAGACTTCTATTCCCCTCACAGAACTACACTTCTTAAGAGTGTCATAACCATGGGTAGGCAAACTAAGGCTTGGGGGCCGGGGCCGGCCCAATCACCTTCTAAGTCCGGCCCGCGGACGGTCCAGGAATCAGCGTGTTTTTACATGAGTAGAATGTGTGTTTTTATTTAAAATGCATCTTATTTGTGGGGCATAGGAATTTGTTCATTTTTATTTATTTTTTCAAAATATAGTCTGGCCCCCTGCAAGGTCTGAGGGGCAGTGGACCGGACCCCTGCTGAAAAAGTTTGCTGACGCCTGGTCTTAATGGTCAATCCTTCTTCCCAGGGAATTCTGGGAATTGTAGCTGTGCGAAGGGAAAAGGAAAGGTCTTCAAACAACTTTCAGCGTCCTTAACAAACGGCAGGTGACGTCATCTGCAGCACAGCCAATGGCATGTTACAGTTTAAAATTCCCTTAACGGCGTTTCAAACTGTAATTTATCGCCACTGCAGCAAAGCAGCAGAGGCGCTGGTGCTTTCCGGGTGACATTGGCTACAGTGTGTCACTTGGAAGAAGGAGCCGTTTCTTAGTAAGGGAGAATCTGTGCTTTGTCAGCAGCAAGCAAGCAGGTGGAGAAGAATGGAGTACCCCGTTTGGCCAGCTGGGGGCAGGAGGAGATGGAGGGGCCCCGTCTCGGGTGGCACAATGCGTTGTGCTGCCCCTGGAAGCAATGCAGTGTGGGTGAATGTTTCGTAGGGGAACACTTCTGGGCCCCATTCGCCCATGCTCTCCACCATCTCCGCTACATGGTTAAAGCTCCAAATCCAGGGGGGGAAATGCACACAGTCTTGTCTCGGAAGAATAAGCGACCCCAATCCTGAATGCAAAGGTTATTTGTTGCTTCCAACAGGTAATTAGTGAAGGACCAGGTGAAAGCCCTTACCCAAAAGCACCATAAAGTTTCTCCAGCGGGTTTTAAAAGGCCACAGCCCAACCACCACGTAGAAAAAATTGGGGGGGGAAACACCTCTGTGGAAAGTCATTTTTAGGATACTCACCTGACTGACAATGAAAAATATTATGGTCATGGCTGCACAAGCTAATGTGATTAGCATCAAGAACTTGAATCTGAAAATCAGCCCCTAGGAAGACACAGAAACGTAACAAGTGTGTGGTTAGGGGGAATGTAGCTTCAAATAGTTCAAAGATTACTGGGAAAGCAAGCAAGAGTGAGACAGTCAGGTCAGCACCTTTAGTCTCAAAGAACTTTGCTGTCAATATCTTGATCTCTTCTGATGGGATAAGCCTTTGTTTTGCTCACCACCCTTAAAGCTTTGGCTTGGTGAGCATTCAACATACAGAATGTTTAACCCTTGCTGCCTGGCAGCATCTCGATGGGGGGGTAAGAAGAGAGGGATATAAGATGACCACGGCAAGTGCTGGACCTTTCACCCAGCACAGGGCAGGGCGGTGTGGCTTCCCTGGCTTCCCAATGCACTGCTGCTGCCCATTACCAATAAAGGAGGGCAGGTGAGCTAGGGGGGAGCAGCCAAATGGTTCTGGTGTGTCTGCACTGGGCTACCTGCTGCCTCCCTGCTCTACAACGGGCAGCGACACACCCACATTGGGAAGGCATCACACTGAGCTCCCACACTGCCCTACCAGCCGCTACCAATGCAAAGCTTGAAAAACATGGCCAAGGAATGAAGGAAGGGGAAGGGGCTCCCGGGACAATTGCTTGAGCAGCGGCTGCAACACAATGGAAATCACTCACTGGGAAAGCTTATTCGCCACTGCAACTCTTCTCTTTGTGAAATTCTGCTTTGCGGAATCCCAGGATTCTAGTTTCTATGTAATCAGGTGGTTTTTTTGGGGGGGGCTGGGGAGAATAATGCCTTCAGTAATGCCCAGGACAGTGGTTTTTCAACCAGGTCCAGACTTGGCACTGTTAAAACCATCCTGTATCTTCTCCCCGTGATGCCTTGTTAGTGGCAAAACAAGCTCTGCTCTTTGGTTACAATTCACTAGTAACCTGATCAGAATATTGATGCAAAGTGGCCTTTTAAAAAGAAGACATTACTGCTCAGGCTCCTTACCTCATAGTGAAGCCTGCGCACTTTGCTCATTGCTGGGAGGCTGGATTGCTTGCCGCTGATATTTCTGAACACTTGAAACACCATGAAACACAGGAACAAGAAGTAGAGGCAGAGGCATATTCCGGCAACGATAATAAATGCCATCTGAGCAGTAAAGTTAAGTTATCTGACATACACACGAGGTGGAGACAGCAACTGTGATGGCCTGGGAATCCGATTCAGAGGCTGAACCAGAGGAATCCCAGCCTGCACAGGAGTTCCCGCCTCCAGGGCCGGCTGAACTGGGGCAGGGCCTTGATTCTGAAGCGCCTGCACCTGTGCCGGATCCTCAGGAGCAGGCACCAGGTGAATCCACTCTGGCTCCGGAGGTGGTTGAGGACTCAGTGCCTACAGGTGAGTCTCCCCCTGGGTCCAGTAACCCTCCAGCCTCTCCTGAACTGCAGAGGCTCAGGGCAGAGAGGCGAAGGGAACTGGTTTCTCCCAGGAGGAGTGCTCACCTTAAGGCCAGGAGAGGCGGGTCTCCTGGGGGCCGGGGCCGCCCCTGGCCTCAGAGAAGATAAAGGCCAGTCAGCCTGGTCCCAGGTTGCGGGAGCAATGTCGCTGAAGAGCTGTTTCGGCCAGCACCCAGTCCGGTTCACCCAGAGTTCCTGTCCTTGCCCGGCTCCTCGCTCTGGACCCCGCTTCGCCCGCGGAGGACTGTCTGCCGACCCTCGACTCAGGTCCTGGACCTCGCCCCACGGTAACCTCCCCCCTGGACCAGCACAGCAACAACGGGCAATTCAGTTGGCTTTGTGAAGTTAACACAACATGGCTCTGTTCTTAAGGATAACCGGGGGGGGGGGGGGGCGTGCTCCAGTTACTAAGCGTGTAAAAATGAGGCAGAACATACAGGAAGTCCCAGACCTGATATGCTGTTATTGTTCCCCTTGGCTCTTGACAAGGCATTAATGTGGGATAAAATATTGAAAATGTCAGGAGGCTAAAACAACCTCAGCTGGAATTGTCAGCTTTATTCTGCTGGAACACAGAGAAGATGCTCAGAAGCAGCAGCCACCTTGCAATCTTAAGGAAAGGCCTGTTGCAAGGAGGGGTGCAAGGTAGCCAGAGCAGAACATTAGCCTAGTAAGAATTTAGCGACCGTTTGAAAGTGCTTCTGGCCCAGGCATGCGGTTTCCAAAAATGAGCAAGCTCAGCAGAAATGTTTTTAGGTTCACAGGCATGCCAGAAAAACAAAATATTTAAAAACATAAAAACAGGAGGGGAGGTACACAAAGACAAGCAGCATGAGGACAAAAGGAGATCCAGAAGAACTCCGGGAAATTTCCAGCAGATTGGCTCCGACTCCCAATTGCTTAGTAACAACAAGCCTGCTGCACAAAAAGTTTGGCTGCAGAAACAAAAGGCATGGTAGGGAAAACCATGGGAGGTAGGTAGGGAGTGGATTTCTGCTGTTGTGATACAACAGGTAAAGGTAAATGACCCCTAGACAGTTAAGTCTAGTCAAAGGCAACTATGGGTTGCGGTGCTCAGCTTTCCGGTTCATGTGGCTAGCATGGCTAAACCGCTTCTGGCACAACGGGGCACTGTGACAGAAGCCAGAGCACATGGAAATGTCCTTTACCTTCCCACAGTAGTGGTACCTATTTATCTACTTGCACTAGTATGCTTTCGAACTGCTAGGTGGCAGAAGCCGGGACAGAGCAATGGGAGCAGACCCTGTCCCACGGATTGGAACTGCCAACCTTCTGATCAGCAAGTCCAAGAGGCTCAGCGGTTTAGACCCCAGCGCCACCTTGTTGTGCTAGAAACAAGATTGCTGAGCTGAGAATGTGACCTGGCCCTTAACTCTCAGTGTATGTCTGCTCTTTTGAGCAGGTATGGTTGGCAAACCTTAAGGTTCAAGCAAAAATAACCCAAACAAGAATACCGTGGTACCTCGGGTTACATAAGCTTCAGGTTACAGACGCTTCAGGTTACAGACTCTGCTAACCCAGAAATAGTACCTTTGCTTCAGGATGAGAACAGAAATCGTGCTCCGGCGGTGCAGTGGCAGTGGGAGGCTCCATTAGCTAAAGTGGTACCTCAGGTTAAGAACAGTTTCAGTTTAAGAATGGACCTCCAGAACGAATTAAGTTCTTAACCCGAGGTACCACTGTACCCCCACCCCAAAAGCAAGTGGATTCCACAAGCCTGAAGTTTACCTGTTCCTGATTCAGTCTGCAAGCTTAAAAGCACAGCAAAGCCATTCAACTTTTATCACCGCCCTTGTAGCTTGATAAGTCTAGTCACTTTTGTGTCCTCCAACTAGCTACCTGGGTAGACAACCAACAACATGCTTGTTTCTTGTTCTAGTAACATCCCCACAGAAAGGAGTCTCTGCAGGCGAATCATCATCAAATCAATTGCCAAATTCATGAAATACATTCAAAGGATACCAGAGGTGGTCCATAATATTTATGTGAAAAGTTCCTATCAGTTTGGCCATGTCAACAGGGTTTCAGTATGTTCAGAAAGTCCCTGAAGAAAATGCAGCCCTTTCCCAATACCCTATGACAAGCAAAACACACAGCTTTTGTTGATGTGAACAGCGAAAGGATACAGCCAGTTCAGTGCCAACATCTGTGGTCCAGATACTGTAGAACGGATTTTTTAATTGTACCCCTCTGGAAATTGAAAGGAACAAGAAGATTAAATTACACATGGCAAAGTATACAATAAGGCAGCAATTCCCCTTGAGATCTGGAAGGACCAGAGGCAGAGCAGTGCTCTGTTGGTTTCATGCAAGCAAAGCTTGACTCTATATATTGGAAAAATTCAAAGAACATTTACAGCTGGAACAGTGTTCTGGCATTAATAATTTTCTTATTATCATAAGCCGCTTTTTAGAACTAAAAAAAACTAAAACCAAACACATTAAGATTATGTGAACCCTCTTAAAAATAAAAGGTCTCCAGTTACCTCTCACACATGTCAAAGACAAAGAGGCAGAAGGCGCCCACAGCTATTGGTCCAACTTGTTTCCAGTAAGCGGAGAAATGGTTTCGTTCACTCTGATCCTAAAAATAAAATTAGGAGACAACAGAATGATTTGCAAATGGGTAGCAGGAATAATAATAATTTATTATTTACACCCTGCCCATCTGGGCGGCTACCAACAGAATAATAATAATACAGGAAGAAGAAGAAGAGGAAGAGATAAAACATCAAAAACTTCCCTAAACAGGGCTGCCTTCAGATGTCTTCTAAAAGTCAGATAGTTGTTTATTTCCTTGACATCTGGTGGGAAGGCGTTCCGCAGGGCGGGCGCCACTACGGAGAAGGCCCTCTGCCTGGCTCCCTGTAACCTCACATCTCACAAGGAGGAAACGGCCAGAAGGCCCTCGGCACTGGATCTCAGTGTATGATGGGGGAGGAGACGCTCATTCATTTATACTGAGCCAAAGCCATTTAGGGCTTTAAAGGTCAGCACCAACACTTTGAATTGTGCTCGGAAACGGAGCCAATGTAGGTCTTTCAGGACTGGTATTATGTGGTCTCAGCGGACACTCCCAGTCACCATTTTGCTGCCACATTCTGGATTTAGTTGTAGTTTCCGTGTCACTTTCAAAGGTAGCCCCATGTAGAGTGCATTGAAGTAGTCAAGGTGGGAGATAACCAGTAGGAAAGAAACAATAAGAATGATTTAACCTGTGTAACCAATGTGCCACTCAAGCAGGTGAAGAGTATTACTGAAGCACACTTTGAAATAGTGCTAGTTCCTCAACACCATCTCTGAGGGTGAAGCGGGACTGAGATGACCCGGGATCCATTTGTGATGGCATCTGGCACAATTTGGGCCCCGACTGCCACCCCAGTTCCAGGATAGTGCAGAATGAAGCAGGGTTTCTACCAGCCCCTTATCCCAGACATCATTAGCAGTGGGGCTTTGGATGTGGTGGAAGCCATGTGGCTCCATCATGCCCTGCTGCTGCTGCCAGGCCAGGGTTAGGATTGCTCTGCCCACCTGATACAGCTTACAGAATTACCTTCTCATTGCTTCAAATCCATGGACTAAAACCCCCTCATACATTCATCCTATGTTTCTGATTGCCTGCCTTTATTCTACAGAAAGGGGGAAGAAAACCCTCTTAAAATACTTTCTCCATGGCCAATAAAAAATACACACATACACAAACAGTATTATGCCCAGAAACGATCATACCCACCATCATATGCTCTCCACAGAAGATGATCCAAAAGGACAAAAGCATAGCGTAGAAGATTCCTTGGCGAATGTCTCCAAATAGCAACATCCACGTCCAGTCAAATCCAATAGAAAACCACTCTACTGGAATATTTATGAAGGTCATAGAGATCCCAAGAGCAAAGATAACTCTGGAAGACAACAACAACAACGGTGCTTTCAGTGCTCCCTTTCAGAGAAACTGCTGCTGCATTCACCCCAATGAAAAATTTGTGAGGGATTTAATAATGTAGTGTTGGGGAAGGGGAAGGAGAAATGCCAGAGGGGGGGATCCAAAGGGAAGGAGGAGAGCTCTGAGCAGAGACAACATTCCACACACACTCTCTAATTATACACTGGCCACCTGACTTCTTTTCAAAGAAGCTATAACTTAATGCACTCTTTGCAGAGAGCAAAGGATTCGTAGCTTTGGTAATAGGGTTCCTCCTTAAAGCAAGATTCAGGAGGCTACACCTGTGTCATCTATCTTTACTCACTTTTCCAGGAGCACAGGTGGTCGCGTCATCATCATGATCCGCCTCCAGTACCAAATCATGATGATGAAGATGCTCGGAGTAAGGAAGGTTTTCATCGCAAACCACACCTTTGTAAACCCTCCGTTCTGATGGATACCCTGGAGAAGAGAGCGCAAATTGAAAACGCTGCCTTTCTTCCCTTTCCCAACATTCAGATCCATTTGACATTAACTACAACACCTTGCAACAAACATCGTGAAGCTCAAGTAACAACTATATTTGGGGAAGGAAGAAAGCCCTGCGAAGAAGCCGAGCACATGAAGCAAGTTCTTCAATTAGCTGCTTAATCATGAAAATATTGTAAAAAACAGATTAACTTCGTCCTGGAGCGAATATTTTGAATAACCTTTTTATATGTAACCGACAAAGAATCGGAAGTAGTTTCTCTCTTTGTTTTCTTCTTTCATTCTTACATTGTTTTTATCTTCTTTCTTCTCTTTTCCGTGTGTGTGTGTCTACTCTGAGTCACTGAGGGAATTGTACACACATGAAGGTAATGGCTGGCTGGTGAAAGACCCTGTGTGTGAGAGGCAGGAAAGGGAAGATACTGGGGTGGGAGGAGAAAGGCTGGGAGAAGAAAAGAAAGCTCCCAGGAGGAGCTTGGCGAGCCCACCCCTTTCTGTGTGAGACAAGAGTTCAAGATCTACCTTTGAGAGAAGACTTTGCATTTTGTTTTTCTTTCTTTCAATTTAGATTAGCTTTTTATTGTATTGTATTATGAAAAACATCAATAATTTTTTTATGGGGGGAATATTAACTTCCATATCAGATAGTCCTAACAAGAGGATCAAAATGAGACCCATACTTAAGACCCTCAGTTGTAATCCAGTCCCGGTATACCTATTTTTCTCAATATCCCTTCCCCACCCCCACCCCCGCTTTAGTTCCTCCAGAGACCTGTTTCTCCAGTGGAATTCGCACACTTTCACCCAAAGGCAGACGGCATGTGACAGGCAAAGGCTGGTGGCCAGGCGGAATTGCTGGCAATCAAGAGAGCCATTCCTAGCACAGCAAGTGACAAGCTAGTTAATGCAGTGGGGGAAGGGGAGGATAATAGCTGGAGCAATGACAGAGGGAGAAATCCCCAGGGAGCAAGGAGGCTCTGAGCAGGGACAGCATTCCACACAAACTGCCTAATTCTACACCCTCACTTCGTTTTGAAGAAGCTGTTAACTTCATGCACTCCTTGTAGAGAGAGAAGGATTCATATTTTTGGTAATCTGGTTCTTTCTTAAAGCAAGATTCAGGAAGCCACATCTGTGCTTATTTCATTCATACTATAAAACTGTGGCTTAGTTCTCTTGAATGCCCGTTTTAACATGAAAAATAATCTTTAAGCAGAATCAAAACATCCCAGAAAGTTAATTCATTAGCCTGTTGACTAATGAACTATTAGTCTGTTGGTTGACAACTTTGGTTTCTTGATCTGTTTACAGTCAAATTAGTTAACAGGAGGTTAAAAGCAAGGGGGGGACTGCTTTACTTGCATGAGCAGAATTATTACATAAGGATTTCGGAGGTGTATAAACAGGATTATTACATGCTCACTTTGTTGTTAACTTACCCAAAATTCCCTAGAACAGAGCAACGTGCATGACTGATTTACACACTTTTTTTTTTTTAAAAAAACGAAAGCTGGCACAAAAATTCTTGGGAGGTATCTTGGCAGGGTTGCCCATTATGATGGGTGTGGTATGCCACCAGTACCCATCTTTCTAATGTTCCTATCTTATTCCATTCAACAAATCAGAAGTTAAGAGTCTCCACCTTCCAAAGGCTATCCCATACAAAATACGTTTTGACACCCTAGCAATTAGTTGCTTTTAAGTTTGAAGGGAACACTTACCACTAGACTGATATCTTTGATTTCTCCAATTCCCACATTGATGCGTTCCCTTTCATTCACAGGTAGACGGATATTGATAAGGTAGAATTTGTGAGCAACAGTTCCAATCTCCATGAATGGAAGCACCTCACAGTCATAGAACTTGCCTTCATTCTCTATAGTCTATTGGAACACCAGGAGAGGGAAAGAGACAACCGTCAGCATTGGTTTTTCAAGTGCTCTTAAAAATGCCTACGTTTTGTAAAATAGCAGATTATTTTAGCTCAGGAGGGCAACGAGAGATGGAGATGTTTCTTTAAAAAAAACACACAACCCACCCCCTGCTCTTCCCATATCATTAGCTTAGGCTTAGGATGCGTGAAACGTAATAGAAATACATTTACCTAATACTTTCCCCTCAATAATTTTGCCTTCCACAAATGGTAACTAAAGGTTCAAAAATCAGTCATTACAACTATTGATGGGGAAAATATCCTTGCCGTTCCCGCTTTGGGAAAAAAATCATGAACATCTGTGAAAACAATACATTCAATATATGGGAAGTCCAATGCCACATCCAAAAGGAGTGTAGGATGTTGTAAGCCGTGGTTGAAAAAAAAAAGCATTATGCAAACTGTTAATAATAATAATAATAATAATAATAATAATAATAATAATCCTTTGCTGATTTTGCTGCAAGCGGTTCTGCTATTTACTTCGTAAACCATGACGTAGCAGGAGAACTTGTTCATAACTTATGGACAGAGTAAAGTCTCCCACGTAAAGGGGGTACACTTTGTGTGCCCACAAGAGATGTTCTCCAAACCCCATTTTTTCTGAGATGGGAGACCTAAAGATCATACTGAAAAGCCAAAGCACAATCCCATGGGGACAGCAGTTATCTTTAGCAAATATCCTATTTTACAGCCTGATGAACACATATCTTGACATCAAGGGAATACCTGCTTTTCCAACGCTCTTACACTAGCAGGTTCAAGAAGATTTTCTCTAACAGATACTGTGCAGGCAGGCTCTTGGAACAGCTTATCGCTGACTTTAAATTGTTTTTTGAACATTTTAAATAGCTCTTTGTTTTTACTGATATCTTTATTGTTTTATTCTTTCTTTGTAAACCAATTTGAGGTTTTATTACAACCAAGTGTTATATAGAACTTGTGTAAAAATGGGGGGAAAGAACCTAAGTGTTGCATGTTTTTGAAAGCTAAAGTTACATAAAGTCTTTTGGGAACAATACTTTTTTTAAAAAAACAACAACAACCCGAAAATCCTAGCAATATCCAACAAGAACCAGAAGGAACCTACTTTTGGAGCTCCAAATTTACATTTTAGCTTTCGGGTCTCAACTTCGTGTGCCATTTCTACCCACTCCTCGCTCATGTCGTCACGGTACGCTAAGGACACATCAAGCATAATTTCTGCATTTTCTTCTGTAAGAACAAAGCAATCAAAACTTGTTACAGAAAGAAGCAGGTAGAGCATGAAAAGCAGGATAAAATTATTGTTAAAATGTGTTAAGTCACTTTATCTTGCCCAAGGCAACCCAAAGCGACATACAAAATCACTCATTGAGGCAATTAGATTATACATAAAGCTTACTTGTTGCACATTTGAAAGAAAAAAATCCAGGCTGTTAGATCCACGATGCTCTGGGATAAAGTCTAATCCTTGCTGTGTACATGATTTAGAATGGAGCCCTTTTTCACAGGTCTACACATTAGCCTAGATTCTTACAACAATGTAAGCTTCCTGGGACCATGTGGGACTCCCAGGGGAGTCTGCAGCCTCTGTGCTCCTTCCCTGGTCCTGTGGTCACTGCCATACTCAGCAAAGCCAAGGTTTCACTTGGCGTGCTGTTCGAACCTGGGCTTGCTGTTGAGCTGCAAAGTGGTCTACAAGCTTGTCTGGGCCCTGTAAAGCCATAGTTTGGCTTCCCAAGTCATAAATCCTCAGGCTCTTAGAAACATTCCATTTGTTGTTGTTGTTGTTCAGTCGTTGTGGGAGCCAGGAAGTCATGAAAAAGGCTTGTAGCGCCACCTGGTGCCTCGCTGACCTCAGTGACCTGCATGTCCGTGCCTTGCAGTGTATTAAGTGCATAGCCTTATATGGAGTTATGTTCCCCCTCTGGGCAGTAATTACCCTATATGGCGATGGGTGGGTTTAAGCCATGACCGGATGTAGGTAATGTGAGACATTGGCAAACAGCCATGCGAGAGGAGAGAACAAAGGATAATAAAAGTTACAGGAGAGGAGAGAAGTTCGAAAGGAGCTGCTCATACCATCCTGAAAATATTGCTGGTTCTCTGTGTCTTTATTTTATGCTAAACTGCGCCATTTGTGACGGCTTGCTCCGACAAGTCGTGTCCAACTCTTCGTGGCCCCACAGACCAGAGCACACCAGGCACTCCTGTCTTCCACTGCCTCCCACAGTTTGGTCAAACTCATGTTAGTAGCTCTGAGAACACTGTCCATCTCTATATTTTGGGGCGGGGGGAGCCATGACTCTTATAAGTGGAATGAGTTTGTTTTAAATGTATGGTGTGGTGTGGTCAAAATGTTCTACTGATTGTGACAGAATTAGAAACCCAATCAAGCGACTTTGGCACTCCGTAATTCTTAGCTGCTAGCAGGGACAAAATTCCTTCCTCCCCGCTACCCCCAAAGCAAGAGGGAACATGCATCCTTGAGAATTCCTTCTGAGCTCTTTAATGCAGATTCAATCCTAGCTACCCCCATTCTTCAGATTTCTACAGGAATCCTAGATGGCACATGTTTACAAACACCTGCGCCTGGCTTAAATTACAGCCAGCTGACTACAACCTTCGCTGTCATTCTTATACAAGACCACAAATACCACTTGGATTTGGCATAAATATAATCCATCTGCAAGCTCAACCTTGTTACATATTGCCAAGAGACACTCGACATGCAAGAAGCTGCAGCCGATTAAGACTTCTAGTCCCAAGAGTCAGTGCCAAGCAGAAGACAATTGTTCCTCATGCTTCACAAATGCATCTTTCCAGCCTGCAGTTGAGAAAGAAATGTCTTTGAAGCTCTGCCAGCCTAGACATCTGTTACCGGTTTCAAAGTTATAATTTATTGGGATTACGTGGAGAGACGCTCATCTAGCGTGCTGGGAACGGGTGTGGAAGTGCTTTGTGGTTCAGACCATCTATTTATACAGTGCTTGGAGGTGGTTCTCTTCTGCATGGGAGCAATGACATTTTTTTCAGGGCTTTTTGGTTCGCTCCCTCCACCAAAAAACAACAACCAAAACCTTCTAGATTATCTACAACCTGTACATTCCAGATTTAAAATGAGAATCTTAATGTTGAAGATCACTACATGAGTAATAGCTGAATACATTAAGTTTACTCCGATCTCTTAGCATGGCAAGATATAAGGGACAACTCTAAATGCAGGCCACACATACAGCATATATTTATTATTAATTTTTGTAAATCTTAATAGAGGACAGTACTGGCAGTAGATATGCAAGTTTTGTTGTTTGGGGGTTGGACTCGATGGCCATTGTGGTCTCTTCCAACTCTATGATTCTATGATTCAAGAAGACCCTCAACACAAACCAAGACCTCCTCCTTGTGGGCAGAGATTATTTGTCCACTCTAGTCTTTGCTCAGTAACTAGATTACTGCAACACGCCCTACCCGGGACAGCCCTTGGAGGTTTAAAACGCAGCAGCCGAATTACTCACATAGCCCCCATTTTAGAACAGCGCCACTGGTTGCCAGTTCATTTCTGAGGCCAGTTCAAGGTGCTTAAAACCTTAAATGGTCCCCAAGATCTCAAAGACTTTACCAATCCTCTCTGGTGTGAAGACAAGCAGAGGAGGTCTTAACGGAAGTTCATGAGGCATCACCCTGCGAGAGGGCAACCCCTAAGTTGCAGAATTCACTTCCTGTAGAGGCACATCTGACTGCATTTTGACGGTGTAGCTCTATAACTTGGCCTTTGACATCTGATACATACGTATACGTGTGTGTGTGTGTGTGTGTGTGTGTGTGTTAGGACCCACTCTATTCTTCTGGTGGAAAATTCTTTTAACTGATTTTAATCCTGTATTGTTGAGACCTTCTGGTGAAGGACTGAGAAGAAATCAAATGAATAAATATGTTAACGCCACTAGTTTAGAGCAGGACACCGTTTCTAAAATGGGACACACTAAGACAAGGGTCGGCAACCTAAGGCCCAGGGGCCGTATGCGGCCCAATCGCCTTCTCAATCCGGCCTGCGGACGGTCCGGGAATCAGCATGTTTTTACATGAGTAGAATGTGTCCTTTTATTTAAAATGCATCTCTGGGTTATTTGTGGGGAAGAGGAATTCATTCATTCCCCCCCCCCCAAATATAGTCCGGCCCACCACATGGTCTGACCGTTGACCGGCCCACAGCTGAAAAAGGTTGCTGACCGCTGCACTAAGACTTAAAGCAGCCTAGCACGCTCCTGCTTCCTCCTCTCCTGGAAAAGCTCTTCCTTAAATCCATGGTGCTGAAAAGTCCTCAAATGGAAGCGCCTCACCTCCTACCAATGTGAAGCTGTACTTTGGCACATTCTTCAGTCTCAGTCCTCATGAGGAGGGAGAAAGTGTGGCTGTAGGGAGTGTTTAAGAGGCAACAACAGCTTGTGGATCTTGTTGTCTGCTAAACCTTCTCAGTTCAGCAACTCAAAAGTAAAACTGTTACAGTACGTGTATTACAAAACTTTTACCTCAGAACCACTCATGTGTGGTCAGACAGCTTTAAATGCGGGAACATCTAACTGCACTACACTTGCCTGTGAAACAAGAGTAAAGACCAGCATTGCCTTTTTATACTAGACACTAATAAACATCCTTGATACATTTTAGTACACTCGCCCTTTTTAAAAAATATATACGTATACAAAGTCTTGCCTCTGAATTCAACTTAACATTTCACAAAGCTTTCCTCCCTCTGCAGGTAAAGATGTAGTTTCAAACACTTCCCGTTCCCTTTCTAGCTTTACACATTCAAAAATCTTTTGTTCACACCACATAGATCTAAAAATAGAGGTGCCAAACAATGACAGGACTTGCAGCTAGTACATCCTAATCACATCATTTGGAAGTAGGAGAGAGCCAGGCCATTTCCGGACCCCAAATCATTCTGCTCACCACAAAGATAGATCAGTCTTCCTACCAACTTCAAAGCTGCACAGGTGGAAAGTTTTGAGTGGGCATACCTGCCACCTCACCACCTCCACAATCAGGAGAAAGGCCAAGAGCTGTTTGGCAGCCACACAGCCAAGGCCTCTGGGCTGCTTTGGCCATGCAGAGCGAAAAACGCTACCCTCCCTCCGTGTCTTTACTGTTCTGAAACAGGAAAAGCAGGTAGTTCCCTGGAGGTGCACCACACTCCTTCAGGCACCCATGTCCAACTCTCCTCAGCTCCTTTCCCTGACAAAAGGCAACATGCTGCACAGAAGTGGCTTGGCATCTACAATTTCTTTAGCCTGGCCAGCAATAGCAGCCAAAAACTTTATAGACTCTCCAGTCATTTTGCTGCATGTGAAGAGAATCCACATGACATAATATATTAAATAAAGTATTTTTCAAGGAAAAAAGCATCCCACCAGACCAGTGAGACATTGTTCATGTTATTGTGTATCAGACTGGCAGTACCATCATTTAAGTGCGTGGATGATAACTAAAGCTAGTAAATGGTTTAGGATACCTACTGTATATACAAACTTAAGTCCTGCACAGGCGGAGATGGAGGAACATGAGGCCATTTCCACCTTCCACTAGTAGCTTTGGGTTGGCCCAATTACAGAAGCGGAGATGAAAGCACCCTTGTTTGCAAGGATATATAATCCATGATGATATTCTGTAACTGGACATAAGCAAATGCTTGTATGTGTTTTGCTTGCTGAAGATGGTAGCACATTCAATAGGATGGTGGAGAACCAAGAATACTTTCCAGTTCTCATTGAATAAGGAAGTGGTGGGATATCAGATACAGCCCAATTTATTGAGTGCTAGATGTATGGTGCAGTGCTGTGCACCATAGGGTGGGGGTGGTATAGTCCAATAACAGAGAAAATTTTTTGCAAGCATAAAGTCCCTAGTTTGATTCCTGACTCCAGTTCAAGAGCAGGTGATGAGAGAAAAAAATGCATGAGATATTGGGGAAGCCACCGACAGAACAGTCAGTTGTACAACACAATACAACAAAGCTTTATCTGTTTGTCTTGTTAAGGGTCCTTCCTTCTCCTTGGTCAAACTTTTAGTGACCTCTTCTTAGTTTGTTGCGGCTACTGCATTGTAGAAGCACCCCCTCAACTATTTTGTCAGGCGAGAGAGATGAGTTGACCTCACTCAAGCTGGGTACAGTAAGAACTTTGTAACTTTAATAACCGGTGCTCAAGTTTGCCCGTTTCCTTGTTCCTTTCTCACTGCCTCATTTTTTCCTTTTGTGTTGTGTCCTTTGTAGATTATAAGACTGTAAACAGCACCAGTCTTGCTAATCAAGGATTATTATTTTTTGCAAGCCACTCTGGGAGGTCTTCTTGGCCTGAAGAGCAGGGTAAACGCAGCCAGGTGGGGATAACTATTCCCAGGCAGCATAGTAGAAAGTCTGTTTGGGACTGTGTGTTCTCCCTCCCAAAACGTGTGCATCCCCTCTCATTGTCAAACTTGGGGAACAGCCCATAATAGGAACACATCAGCAGGACATCAACAGTAGGGAACTAGTTTACCTTGTAGATAATCTAACCAAACTGCTGGTCTAAAAGCAACAGCACCCAAAGCGTGGCAGGTGTTATTTCACAGAAGGTACAAGGCGAGGAGAAAAATGAAGCAGAAGGCCTTTTTCAATGGTTCTGGTGTTGCTCACCCCTGAAAAAAACCCCACCATCAATCAGCAGAGAAGGCGGCTAATGCCCCTCACATTTAGGATTAAGGACTATTCAGGTCCACCCTTCTGCCCTCTGCTGTTTATTTGCAAAGTTTCAAATGCACATATATACACAGACACATATCCACCTAAAGACCAATTCTGAATCAATGCAACCCTACTCCTCAAGTTTCCTTTGATATATCAACCTACCCAATCTCCATCCCCAGGTGCAGGGTACAAGGCCACAACGAAAAGGAAAATACCACTGCTGCTTAAAAGCCCATTTTTGTTTTGGTCACACTTGTGAAGGCTCATCAGTGTTCGGGACACCTCCCGTCCCGATGGAAAAGCTGAAGGAAGGGTTTACGTGCCCCAGACATGTGACACCTGCTAGTTGCACAGGAACACTGCCAGTTCCCCAGGCTGATTCCTGGCTAATGGAAGTGGCAAGGTGGTATCTGGGTTGTGCCAAAGTCCATGAGAGAATTACAGCCGAAGCTGTTTGGAAATAACCAGGGAAACAGCGAGGGACAGAGGGATGAAGTGCTTAATGGGGAGGTGGAGAGAGCTGGAGTTCTAACTCATTGAAAGGAATAAGATTGCTTACAAAACACTGGAGTGGCCTTCCTTGTTTCAGAATGAGCCTTTTGTGCCAGGCCCCAAACAGGGATCTCTTCTGGCTAGAGAACGAGAGCGCCTCTCTTTCTCTCGCCTGTGTTCCACCCCTTCCGATTCAAGGTCCCATCTAGTCAAATGTCAGGTTGCTGCATACAAACATTCCCCTTTCAGAAATGCCACCATTGCCTGGGTGACTAAGCCCTTTCAACAGCTGTGTTATTACTGGAAGATGGTCACACAGAGCACTTGTTTCATACGCCTTGTGAGAAAGGAGGCTTTGCTGCTGCAACAGAACAGGACTGGAGATCAGTTTGGAGATTTTTGATCGATCTCTCTCTCTTTTAAAATCACTATCAAGTTGCACAAATCGTTTGACATATTTCACTAGTTAAAAGCATTTGAAAGAGCTGGTAGCCACTTCCAAGCAGATACCAAGCGATTTCTTCCACTTGTTCGGCAAAGAGCATTAGTCTACTCTAAAACAAAAAGGTTATCTGTTTTCAGGTTCTGCCTGGAAAGGAATATGAGTTATTATAATGACATAGGAATTGATTGTTGCCCATTTTTGTACACTTTCTGGCAGGCAAGACAACACTTCAAAATCAATGGAAATTTGGAGGTTGCTATTAAAGTAGCAATCAATTAGAGTCATTTAGGATTAACCAATTGGATACTGATGCTGCTTTAGCAGTTGAGGTGCCATATATGAAATGCATATTCTGTGCAAACTTGGGGAATTTTTGGCCCTTCAGAAGTTATTGGCCTCCAACTCCCATCAACCTCAGCAAAACGGTCAATGGGAAGGGATTTCAGAGCTGCAGCCTAGCATCATCTGCAGGGCTATGGGTTCCCCATCCCCAATGTAGTATATACAACCGCTGCTGGGACTCTTGCCGTTTAATTCCAGAACAGGGGTAGTAATCAATATAAGCAACTCATGCCCTTTCAAGAGCAGGGGGTTGGACTAAATGGCCCTTGGGGTCCCTCTTCCTAATCTACAATTCAAGGTAGAGGAGAGAGGGAGGAAGAGAAGATTCAGAGGTACATGTGGCCAGAGGAAAATACAAAAGAGAAGCATGGCAGATTTAGGGGACCGCAACCTGTTCACCCGTACTAGGCACCAAGTCGAGAGGGTGTTGCAACAATGACTTAGAATGGAAGGCAAGAGGCAATTAATTTTGGCGCTGCACAGGGCGCCACTGAAATCTGAAAGCTCTAAAATCTGCTACCGGTGTGCATGTCTGTATGAAGAAGAAGAGCAGGAGTTTGGATTTGATATCCCGCTTTATCACTACCCGAAGGAGTCTCAAAGCAGCTAACATTCTCCTTTCCCTTCCTCCCCCACAACAAACACTCTGTGAGTGGGGCTGAGAGACTTCAGAGAAGTGTGACTAGCCCAAGGTCACCCAGCAGCTGCATGTGGAGGAGCGGAGACGTGAACCCGGTTACAAGTCTACCTCTCTTAACCACTACACCACACTGGCTCTCTGTGTGGGGGGTTTGGGGCTTTATGTGAGAAAGACTTGGGGTAAGGTGATGATCTCAAGTTAAGGCAGGTGTGGGAATGTGTGACCCTACAGATGCTGTTGGATTCCATGTCCCATCAGCAACCAGCCCTGTTAGTAGAGCATGAGACTCTTAAATCTCAGCGTTGTGGGTTCAAATCCCCTACTGGGCAAAAGTTTCCTGCACTGCAGAGGTTTGCAATAGACGATCATTATACCTGTGGTCCTTTGCAATCCTATGATTCTATGATTCAATGGCCAGGAACAATAGGAGTTCAGTTTAACCACATTGGGAGGGTCATAGATTCCCCAGCTCTGAACTAAGTTCACCATCAATCCTCCCCTCTCTTGATCAATATTCTTAGGGAAATGGGAGTGGCCCTGCCTACTGCCTGTCCATGTGAGTGCCAGACTATTTCTCCTGAGGGAGTGTGGTTGGGGGGGGAAAGGTTTTCTCACTTTTTGAGGACAAGACCAGAAGCTGCTGACTCCCATACACCTCAAACCATCACAAATACACAACAGCCTCCAAACAATAGATTGTCTTGTCACAATCTGTCACTTCCACAAGAGCAGCTTATCCCCACATTTAAATACTAGCCATTAATTTGTTCGCAGCAATTGTTGCAATAAACAGCATAAATATTTAGTCAGTGGAAGGACCTAATTTCCATAAGCATGCAAAACAAACATATCCCTCAGAAAGAAAAGCACAGCATCCTTCAAGGGCACCAATGTCAGCCTCCAAGATGTTTCAGTTACAGCATCATAATCAATCTGCATTATCTTGAAGTTAAAATGAAACCACTACAAAGATCTATTCAAGGCATCCTGCCAAGACTGGGGTTTTATTCCACTGCCAGAAAATCTTTTGCTCGTTAAACGATGAATTTGTAAGGACTCAACAATGCTAGTGCCTGGTTCCTGGGTTTCTGTGCACAGTAAACAAAGAAACAGTAATTAAACTGTGGTAAAACGGTGGCTTTTAAGGCACCAATCATCTTCATTTGGTGGTTCAAGCAGCTGAGGGATACTGGTTGAAAGAAGTGACTGGACTGAGTCACACAATGAGTCACTGCAGCCATTTTTATTCCTCCGGTGTCCCCCCAATCCAAGCATTCTATATATGCCTGTACACACCCTCTCTGAATCCGAATGTCAAACACCAAAATAACTCTGCCCACCAGGAAACAATTGGAAGCAAAGAATTGCTGCAGACATCTTGGGTCTAGCTTTCTGGACTGCATATTGGGATTGCCCTACCGTTCCTGAGAGGGAGAAAAGGATGGGTGTTCAAAAGAAGTGAAAAGCCAAGTCAGTAAATTACTATTGGGGCAACATGGAGACACCAGAGAGCAAATAATGTTTGCAGATCATTACAGGTATCCCAGTGAGTTCAAAGAAGGCATCTTGTGGTTGCCATAGCCCTTCTTGCGGCACGTAAAAACAAGGGGCCACTGAATTAGTTATGAAATTCATGAGCACAATTTTCGGTGCAGAGCAGCAAAAGTGTTCAAAGGTAGAATCTGAAGGAGCCAGCACTTCAGACCATATAGGCAAAGCATGAGTGGCTGGGGAAACGAAGCCAGATGGGCGGGGTATAAATAATACAATTGTTGTTGTTGTTTTCTGTGCGATGGAGCACATGTCTGCACAGCTAAGTTAAAACGGCTTAACCAACACAGCTGCCTCACACTGAACACATCCAGGACCTGTAAGGAGCCAATATTTTACACAGCACTCATTTTCTAATCACAGCCCACAAAGCCAGTCAGTCTCGCTCCCCAGTTACAGATGGCAGAGCTGAGGCCGAGACACACTGGCATACCCAAGGCCAATCGGCAAAGCTCATTACAGAGCTGAGATGTGAACGACAGAGGTGGGTATGTGCGTGCGCACAGAAAGAACGGGAACAATTCCAGATCAGATCACAGCTGAGACCTCTTCTGTCTACACACTGAGCTTACAGTCCTCCATGTCTCCAGTAGCTTTACTCTCTCAACCTTTCTGTGTTGGGAAGCTCTGAAAGAAGAGCCAACATGTGCACAGCTGTGTGTGCACAGACCCCCTTCTCCTGCACAATACGTGGAGGTCAGGGAAATGAAGGCGGACAATGACGTTGGGGAGGAACCAGCATCGGAGAAGATCCCATTCTCCCCTCCATACATTCTTGGAGTGGTGCAAATGTATGAAAGGGGGGGGCTCCAAAGCTTTTAAAAATGCCATGCTATGCCAGTTCCGATGATCTCAGAAGGGTCTCTGCTCCTACATGGACCAGTGTTTGAAGCGTGGGAAGAAAGAAAGGCAAGGAACCAACTGCTCTCAGCACATTCACTTGTATTACACTCAAAGGGACACTTTGACAAATTGGTGCCCAAAGCAGCTCACTGGGTAAGGCTGTAGGCAGGTCAGCCTCTCACAGCCTCATTCTATATCACGGGGCTTCTGCTAGAAAACAACCCAATAGCCTCATGTGTGCTGCCTCTTGGAGGAAGAGCAGGATACAAAATAAAGTGTCACCTGCCCACTGATGAGGAACAACCGAGGCAAATGGTTGCAGGTTTCAGTGGCTCGAGGTGAAACAGCTGGGGATGGTTTTATACAGTTAAAGGCATGACCAAGTATCACTCAATGTCAATACAGTAGTTTAGTAGAGGTTGGGAAAAGGGGAGCATTTGGAAGAATGAATTCTATAGAAATCAGGAAATCTGCTAGAGTGAATTCTGACCTGGACTCAGGCCAGTCTGTATACTCCTCCTCCGTCTAGAAATGGCAAAGCCAGGGCAGAGCTACAGTCACTCAAATTAGAGCAGGAAAACCAAGCCAAGAATGATCTCACAATGACTTTCACCTTCACGCTTCTCCTTGATTACAGGAGAAAACTACACTTGTATTCTTTTTTCTTGGTCACCAAGACAGAAAAGAAAAAGCTATTTGGGGCTGGTGAGGTCAGATCAATGTGAATAAGCTCTCCTCCCCCCCCCCGCCCCCCAAAATTAGCAGCCAACTCCAATCCAGCGATTTTAAAAAAGGGAGGAAAGACATCAATCATCCTAAGACTCTATCTCCTTTGCTTCCACACATTTCTTGCCAATGCAGAAAGGAAATCTCTCAGGATCATTGTGCTTGTCAAACTGAATGAAGTCTTTACAAACTGAGTGGAAACGCTGCTCGTGGAATTATAACTCGACTGGAATGTGTGGTTCTAGCAACTTTCCACATGCTATGCACAATGCTTAGAACTAAAACAGGCCAGCCTTAAGATCTGCGACACCGCCACTTATATATTAAGGAAAATGTAAACTCATTGCTGCAAGTCACAAAAGCGGCATGACAGTCTACTATATGGTGTTGTCACATATGCCAGGACAACAGTTCAAGACCACACAATGAACACGTCTATCATGACAGCTTCCCCAAGCACAGACTTCACAGTAATTTTCACAACAGCGTATTATAATGCAATCATATTAAAAATGTGAGCCATGGCACATTCCTAATTTCATAAGAAGCAGCCTGAACCCAACCACGTTGCTGGATTAAATCGTGTTTTTAAACAATCCCATCATACAATGATAAGTGGCACAACATCTGAAGGGAGCAGGCTCTTCTGCTTGATTTTGCCCTTGCAGCAATCTGTCGTGGTGGTGAACCCACGCCTCTCTGGGTGTCACTCAACTCCAGCTGTCATCAGCCCCAGATAGCATGGCTAATGATCAGGAATTATGACAGTTGTAGTTCAGCAACAACTGGAGGGCCACAGGCTCCCCATCCCTCCTACTGCTTCAAAGGGAAAGATGAGGAGGACTTTGATCTCTTCATACTGCTACCCATAAACCTTCCCATTGGCATGAGCATATTCTGGAGAGGAGATGAGCTCTCTCCTTGTCCACTGCAGGACTTTTTAAAAGGGAAATTGAGAACCGCCCAGTGGTACATGATTGTAATCTGCGTGCCTCGTCTGTGTGTAAATACAATGCTTTCTTGCTTGGAGTCACATTCCATGACATTTAGAAGACAACACAGATTTTCCAGTTCTGAGGATTTTCTCCTACTCTAACACCGCTACCACAGAAGTGTGCTATCATCAAGCTTCACGCAAGACATGTCATGAACTCCCAAGAGCAGCTGCAGAATCTGTGAAAAGTGTTCTTGGCAAGGGAAGGAGAAACTAATTTACTTTCAAGTTGTTCTCAGTCACTTTTTACATCACCCAACATAATACAACTTTTGCATCACTTGAATTTCTGAACTGCTTAAATCTTTTCCGGGGGGGCAGGGGCGGATCAGAAACAAAGGAAAATAGGCAAAAAGGACACTGCCGACATGGGTTGCCATACATTCAGATTTTCCTGGACATTTCACCAATTTCCACACAGACACTGCTTCTGACTACAATATTCCAGGTATGTCTGGAAAGTTCTGGATGTATGGCAACCTTATCTTTTCAGAACTGTCTTTCCCCCTCACTGGAACTAACCCATTTTGAGTCTGGCTGCCCATTAAAATAAGCCCTGGTTCACTGCAATCCACAAGTCAGAAGGGAGCCCATGTGGAAATTAGGTGAGTGAAGCTGTCCTAGATAACCTTCTCTCTTGCCTTAATACAAGGAAGGACGGGCCTTCGTTCTCCTTTACCACCTTCTTTTAAAACACACACAACATACCCACTCAGTCCGACTTACATCAATACCCCTTTTCAAGTTACTACATTAACTATGTAAACAACAATTCTTCCAGGTACTTACTAATTTGGTTGTCGATCTTGAAAGCAATGTCCATGTGCAAAATGTAGACCATAAACTGGAACCAGGGGCTCATCTCCCTGTGGGGGAGCGGCATGTGAATTGAGAACACAATATCGTTGGCTTCGATTTGCCTGCTCATCGCTTCATCAAAGTCTCTGATTTTTTCACACTGGTCAGGTCCCCAGGGCATAAGCCATTTGCTCCTGTGGTGGTTCTTCCGGACATCTATGCATTTTATTGCCACATAGGGCACAGCTGCAGTGGGACCTGGAGCTGAGGAGGAGAAGGGGGGGAGGAAGAAACACAAAAGAACAGTTTATAAACTGTATTACTAAATAGTGGCCAGCAGCATCTGAAGCGGAAAATTTAGTTACTCAATCTCATGTGAACACCTGCAGCAGATCTAGAGGCACAAAAGGTGAGGATGAAATATGTGCCAGAGGAATGAAGACAATATTGAACCCCATTTTTGTTTTCCCTCTCCTTAAATTATGGTGCATGTGGCCCTCCAGGCCCCTATCTGGCCCTCACAACTTTCCCCAGCCCTCACTTCTTACTGGCTCTGCTTTGCCCCTCAAGTGTTTTTGCCTGGCTGGAATGCCTTCTTGAACTGTGATGTCTCTTGCCTGAATGGAAAATCCAGAGGCGGGGGCATGTTGAAACCAGCCTGCTGTACAAAGGCAAGATTTACACCCATTACTCTGCCCATTTTTGCCTCTGGCCCCTTCTCAGATGAGTGTGGCCCTTGGGCTCAAAGAAGGTTCCCACCCCTGCCTTAAATCAAGATAGCAAAGCAAAACACACACACACACAAATAGCAATACTGCGTCACTTCAACACCGCCATTTTGGTTGTTTCATTTGGATGGTGCCAGTTCCAAGGAGAACAATGGTCTAGAGAAGGGTCTTTCCAAACTTGGGTCTCCAGCTGTTTTTGGACTACAATTCCCATCACTCCTGACCACTTGTCCTACTAGCCAGGGATGGGAGTTGTAGTCAAAAAACAGCTGGAGACCCAAGCTTGGGAAACCCTGACCTAGACAGAGATAGAACATGGGAATGCAGGAAACTGCCTTATAGCAAATCAGACCATTGGTTCATCTAGATCTGTACTGTCTACACAGATAACACCTCTCAAGAGAATCTTTCCTAGCCTTACCTTGAGATTCCAAAGACTAGCCTGGGACCTTCTGCATGCAACGCATGTGCCCTTCCATGGCTGTAGCTTGTGTCCCAGCTATGTGGTATAGGCTGAAGCTGGAAAGCAGAACTCCTAGCTACTGGGTGATGGCACTAACAGTACTTCTTCTGGGAGAATGCAACCCCATCAAGAATAGTCAACTGGTCAATTTCCCAAACTTAGCAATTGCTCACTCACAAAGCTTCTGTTGTCTTGCCAGGATTCAGCTTCAGTTTACTAGTCCTCATCCAGCCCTTCATCTACTCCACAAATCAGTCCGTGAATTGCATGGTCTCATCAGGTTCAGATGTTATAGAGAAATGAGTGCCATCAGTAAACTGGTGACACCTTGCTCCAAATCGCCTAATGCCACTCCCAATGGTGTTAAAGAGTGTCTGACACACATGCAAAAGTTCCATTCAGTCACATGTAACAGCTTTAAGTGGGTTTTAAAAAGAATTTGGGACAATATGGGACCCTGAGGCCACTCTGCAAATGGTCCTGCAGGTAGAACAGAACCACTGAAGGACAATGCCAGCAACTTCCATCTGACAGAGCTGGTCTAGGAGGATACGGTGGTTGATGCTATCAAAAGCTACTAAGAGAAAAAGTAACAGGGTTGCAACTCCTCCTGCCCCAATGAAGAACATCCATCAGATCAACCAAGGCCAATTCCGTCCCAAAACCAGTTCTGAAGTCAAAATCAAGTTAGTCAACAAAACCTGCATCTTCCAACAATGTCTGTAGTTGTGCTGCCACAGTACTCTTTTAGTCACCTTGACCAAGAAAAGAATATTGGCATTCTATTGTAGTTTTATATAGGCAATGACCGTTTTGTGCAGGGGTTGTGTTCCTGACCCCCATGCACACTGGTGGAGCATGCATAATCCCAAGCCCTTTTCCAGCCACATCTGGGTTATGGCAATATGCACGTGAAAGGGCACACGTTCTTGGAACGCCTGCAAAATGGGAGTTGCCTGTATTTCGTAATAATATAAATAAAACAGGGTGCAGCAGAAGGGGAGAAACAACAACTCCATGGGAAAAGGAGCAGGAAATCAACAAAAATAAGAGAAAAGTTGAAACTGTGTTATGACTGTATATGTTAAAAATGTTGTATTTTGCAATCCATGCATGGAATCCAATGCTTTTGGTCAGTCTCCTCAAAAAAAGCTCAACAACTCTTGCTTAACAAACAGCTCCATATCCTAAACCAGTGTGCTTCCCAAAGAAAGCTCTACAAGTCTGGTCAATCCAACGGGCAGATCACTGTCGGTTTATTTATAGTGGGAATAGATAGCAGTCTCTAGGCCATGCCATGCTCCCAATAGGCCATGAAAAGAAACTCAAAATACTGCTGAATCTATGCCAGTAATAGACCTTTCAGGATGGGATTAGAGGGATTCTGCTATAGTTGTGTACAGAAGATAGCTGCATAGCTCTCAAAAAGTCGGCGGCAGTGAATGGCTCCACACATCCTGCCTTTTGTTTTGCCCCATGGAGCACATACTTGTATCAGTAACTCTGGTCAATTAGCTGGTCATATGAGCTTCCTAATCCTGCGCATCAAGCAATGACTTGCTCCAATGAACCAGAACAGAGCATATTCTTGTGCTTCTGGCCCACCAGAGAGAGGGCTATTCCCTTTTGATGCTGGATCACATAAAATTCTTTCCAAAGCGGGATGTGCAAACCACTGAGTAGCTGGTGCTTCACTGGATCAGATATGCTGTAATACAGACACGTTTCCATGGTCAAGGGTCCATCGATTTTGGCTCGGCTTTGTAGTCAGCCCTTATTAGTGGCTCCCACCAATCCTTACCGCCTAACAAGCCTCTGGCATGCAGGGGGCTCAGGGAAGAGGCCAGGATCCTGTGTCATGCAGAGCTGCTCAGCAGACAGTAGAGGGACGAGGCCAAAAGCCTAGAGGGCAGCGCAATGTGTGAGACCTCCCCAGAGTCATCTGCAACTGGGAGAAGACTCCAGGGAGGGAATCTGCCACGGAGCATGCTGGCAACCACAGATTTGTGGACACCTGTACAAGGTTGCTGCCTTTTAAAAAAAAACCTAGATTTTATTTTGTTCATAAAGATAAATGGCAGGCAGGGAAAGGATAAGCAAAGTCTCCCAGTATTTAAGCCACAAGCCCATAGGTCATGCAACTACTTCAGAAGCAAAGGAAATCTGCAGGCTGTTAGCCGACCATTCCTAAAGCCACACACATGGCATTGCAGATTATGCTAAATGTCACAAGCAAATTAAACCATAGCACAAGAGTTTTCTGGTAAAGTTCCTATTACTGTGTGTATGAATCTCCAGGCTTAATTTTTAATATGCAGGGATGGGGGATTAAAAGCACATCCCCCCCCGCACTTTCCCCAAAAATCATCCTCTCAGGCTGGGGGGCGGGGGAGAGAATGCCCAGTAATTGCTTTTTAAAGAACAAAGGACTAGAAAAGTGAAACAAAACCAGATTCCAGTCCTCACCCGCCTCTTCTCTCAGCCCATTCATCTGTCCCCTGCAATGAAATCAGTCCTTTAAAGCACCAGTCTGATTATTTGTAATGGGTTTCCGTACGTTCCTGCTTTCCTTGCTATATGTCCAATTGCAGCAAATACTTAGCATACAACCACAATGCAAAAAATGTTGTGTAAAGAAATGTCTGTGTCCTGCTTGGCACAAAACCGGAGCACAGCACTCTCTTCTCCCGAGCTTTGTTCCGCATCATGCTTTGCAATCCCGTTCAACCGACTCTGCTGCCATTCCAAAGACATCCACCACCATCACCTTTTGGCTCAACACTTCTTTCCTATTGTACAGCGCTGAAGCCAGCTCTGTCATACATGCCAAATGGTGATGATGCTTATCTACTGTACCACCCCCAAGAAGTCAAGAAAATATGCGAGTTACCTCTTCTTCACAGTTGTTTAACTTTACAGTGGTACCTCGGGTTACATATGCTTCAGGTTACATATGCTTCCGGTTACAGACTCCGCTAACCCAGAAATAGTGCTTCAGGTTAAGAACTTTGCTTCAGGATAAGAACAGAAATCAGGCTCCAGCGGCGCAGCAGCAGCAGGAGGCCCCATTAGCTAAAGTGGTGCTTCAGGTTAAGAACAGTTTCAGGTTAAGTATGGACCTCCGGAACAAATTAAGTACTTAACCCGAGGTACCACTGTATTTGGAAAGGCACTATGAGCCAGAGGTTTTCAATCATTCTGAGTCCACGGCTCCCTTGACCAACTACATTCTTTCTGCGGCACCCCTGAGAGGCTCAGGAGCCCAGTTATGTCACCCCTTGCCTGCAGAGCTGGCAGCTTCTCACCCTTTTTCAAACACCCTTCCTTGTGAAGTGTTCCCTCAGCCTCCTCTCCTCTCCCCTCTCCTTGGGAGTCCTCTGGGTAGCAGCCACAGCTTAGCTGCCTCCCTACCCCAAAGAGAGGTGCCTCCTCACACAGTGGCCTGGGAAGCCCCCCCGGCCAGCCCCAGAGGCACCATTCACCTGGGGAGTAGCCTGGACTGCTGCAACAAACAGCACTGCAAGCCTTTGGGAGGCAGAGACGCAAGAGGACATCGGAGGACGGAGGGAAGGCAGGAGGGACAGAGGCCAGTGTTGCCCATGGCACCCCTATCATTCAAGGCACCCCAGGGTGCCACGGCCCACCGGTTGAAAACCACTGCTATGGGCCACAAGTTTAAAACAGTGTTAAAGTTATGGCACGGTATCTAAAGTCCTGCTGAGTTCATGGGTAAGAAGGAGGGGAGGCAGGAGGAGGGGTTTTTTTTGCAGAACAGCATTTGTTTAATTGAGAACTGTCTACTTCAAATACAAAGACCTCACAGAGTTTTTTATCTGAAGAGCTGTGTCTGGAATGTCTGGCTCTTCTCAAAGAGTATTGCCTGAATTCAAGCCATTCATGCAGAATGGTGGCTGTAATGTTCCCCTTTAGATGTTGGGGGATTTGTTGGCCAATACAAAAAATAAAAATAAAAGCAAAGTGGGTGGAACAAAAGACCTCGGGGGCAAAAAAAAAAAAAAAGAGTCTGTTGAAGTTTGGACCAGATGTCCTTTAAAACACAGCAGGAAGACAGATAAAATCTGGGTGACAGTCAACTTGAGCATCTAACTCAGAGAGATGCTCTGTTTAGTTCTATCTAGTTTCTGGCATTTTATGTGTTTGGCACTATTAGTTGAACAAAACATAACATTTACTGACGTATTTGATTTGTTTACAAAATTATTAACTTGGGTAATTTTGTAAATAAATACTTAAGAACAAAAACTTACAAGTGAGAAGCTACAATGTCAGAGAGCACTAAACAATACAGCCTCTCCAGTTCAGTTATATTCCCATCCATTCTGTTCAGCAGTTAGCAAACAAGTATTCATCACATATGCTCCCCACCCCGTCCCCTCCACTTGGGAAGGAATGAGAAGCATAGCTACCCCTTTTCCTCAAGCAGGTCCTCTGCCTTTCCTCGCTGGAATTATCAATCTGAATTGAATAGTTTGTGTTTCCAGAAGAAAGTGTTCTAATTTCTAGAGGGATAGCAGTGCTAGTGTTAGCAACACTCTTGTGTGTCATCTTAAAGACTATGACCATGGCACAAGCTTTTCCAGACTACAATACTCTTCAGATATGGTGATGGGGAAGATAAAGTTGGAAGCCTGGGGTCAGAGGGAAAGTACAGATAGTGACAACTCAATCAGAAGCAGAATGCATGCAAAGTAACCGCAGTGATTGCTTTATCACCCATCAACTTACCATGCTAATTAACATCTGTAGAAGAAAGGGAAGCCACTGTCCCTACTGAGACCTGAGAGAGCAGTTGAACTTATATCACTGGTTTATGAATATTGCCATTCCTCATATGGGATTTGCGTCCACCGACACAATTGCTTAGGGATTGGCCTGATGGACCTACGCAGAATGCAGAAGGGCATTGTATGCAGATGATGGCATACATGGAAGATGAGCAAGGGGGAATAAAATGCTGACATTATTAGCTCCTATAATGGTATTGACAGAGAAAATGTGGGGACAAATTTGCCACCTGGATTTTGCACGGTCTCATTATTGTGCTGATGTTCAGCTGGAAAGATGATTTAGGTCAAAGGTTTTCAACCTTTTTGAGTCCATGGCTCCCTTGACCAACTACATTCTTTCTGCAGCACCCCTGTGGGGCTCAGGAGCCCAGTCGTGTCAACCCTTTCCTGCAGAGCTGGCAGCCTCTCACCCTTTTTTGAACATCCTCCCTTGTGGAGTGTTCCCTCAGATTCATGCAGCTGCTGGGTGACCTTGGGCCAGTCACACTTCTCTGAAGTCTCTCAGCCCCACTCACCTCACAGAGTGTTTGTTGTGGGGGAGGAAGGGAAAGGAGAATGTTAGCCGCTTCGGGTAGTGATAAAGCGGGATATCAAATACAAACTCTTCTTCCTCCTCTTCTCCTTGTGGGTCCTCTGGGCAGCCGTTGCTGCCACCCCAGATCTCTGAGCTGCCCCCCACCCCAAAAAGATGCCTCCTCACACAGCTCCACAGGGGCCTGGGACTTGTCTGTCCATTCCCAACAGCAAGGGCTGGCAGACTGACTGACTGGGCTTCCTCGCCTGCTTGCTTGCGTACTCCGAGGCCACCTCAGCTCCTGGCAACCGGCACTCCCTGGTCAGCCCTAGAGGCACCATTCTCCTGCAGAGCTTGTAGCCAGGGCTGTGCAGAAGCTTTAGGGAGGCAGAGACACGAGAGGGCATCAAAGGAGGGAGGGAAGAGGGGCAGAGGCCAGCGTTGCCCGCAGCACCCCTGACCATCATTCAAGGCACCCCAGGGTGCCACAGCACACCAGTTGAAAATCACTGGTTTAGGTTACGGAGCTGTTTGTTAAGCAAGTATAAGCCCACAACCCAAGGCCTGAGAGAGGAAAGTATAATTCTACAAAACTGGTTTTAGATCTATGATACATTGGGGTAGTTTTAGTTGAGAGCAATAGCTGGCAACAAGTGGTAGCCTGCCACCTTATCTTCTGGGTCTGTCTTATAGGAGGCTATTCCTGGACATCAATTCACCCTTGTTAGTCTTCGTTAGATGGCTATTGTACTATCAGATGTGCCTGGTGTCAAGTTGTGAATCTATTTGATGGGTCAGAACAAATGTGGTTTTATTGCAGGGTTTGGCTATTCTACACAATAGGCTGCCCACGTTGTACACTTTCTGGAGAAGGAACCCAGGGCTTTGGTCCTTAAAGTACTTCTTGGTTACTGACCATTTTTGGTCAGCAACACTCTGGTGATGATGGTACCCACAAAGTCATAACAAGTGCTTGCTAGCAGCTCGCCAGAGGCACAGTCTGAATGTTTGTAGACATGTGCAACAAAATTCTTCTTCCCCTTAACAATGACATTTATCATGTGCTTTCCTGAAATGGAAGTTAGAAGGGCTCCAAATTAAACACACACATGCCCTGGCATGCAAAAATGCATTTAGGGTACTGCAGACAGTTGTTCCACTGCACTAACTCTAACACTTTAGCCCCCTCAACCAGTCTTTGCTGCAGTGATTCCTGGTCTGCAGTCCACAGCTCTTGAAGGAAGCTTTCCTTGAGAAACCTGTGCTAAGAACAGCGGCTTCTCAACTGCTTTCCAAATCTATGTTTTTATGAGGTCTGACTGGGAGTGAAGTGTTTGGCATTCCACACCTACTCCCAACAGCATTATGCAGACAGTTTACAATGAGCTATATGTGATTCAGACCCTACTCCACCCTAGTTTCGTCTTTAAATGTGGGCTGTGATAGCAAGGAGAGGGTACAGTTCTTGCGACCAGAAGTCCATAGCCTCCCAAAATGGAAGCTCAGGAAGATTCCTCTGACTAGGCCCCTTGAACCTTTGCTAGAGTCCCACCACATGTCTGCAGCCAATTTCTTGGTTTTACCTCAAGACACCTTTCTGGAAACTTTCAACCATGGGGGGTGGGGGAATGTTTGCTCTAATAGTGAAACACAAACTGCTATGGCCTGCGTAAGTACTGTTTAATCTAAATACACCACAGGCTCCCAGATCAACATTTAAAATGTATCTGCAGCTGGAATTTTGCCCTTCTTTTATTTTTTACAGCTCCTTTCTGTGTTTCAGATTATTTACCGATCTTTGTTTCACGCCCCAATGGATCGTTCGGAAAAATCTGAATCGCAGGGTGTCCACACTGATTAAAACTTGAAGCCTAGTGACCTCGTGTGATGTTAACTACTCCCATGCTCCAAGAGCTCTCTGCTTTTCTGTTCAATTACCCCCTTCTGTGCAGAGCTATCGCTACCAAATGAGTGCATACAATGGGCTTCTGCTTCATTACACTAACCAACAGGAGGGCAGGAATAAACAAGCTAATTTATCATCCTCAACTCTCACATCGCTAGCCTACATCACAAATCTGTTTCTGTGGAAAGAATTAAAAAAAACCCCACTGACTTGCAACTCGCTCAGCTCATAGCACTTTACAACCAAGTCAGACTTTTAGCAGACGCTCTTTCCTTTTGGTAGTTTTTGCACAGTTTGGCTACACTTCTACACATCCTTACATGTGAGACTGTCCCACTGAAATCAGAAGACCTTGCTTCCCAGTAAAGAGGTTTAGGATTGTGCTTATGTATGTTGTGTTTTTCGTGAGTGCGACTTAATCGGTATAAGGTACACTGAACTTAAGGGAGAGTGGCCTACTTACTTTTTACTGGATTCAGCAATAGGATTTTTTCTGCAGTCTCTCTCCCCCAATTCTCAACCAGTGCTGCCATAGTTCAGTTATTTCCCCATGTTTGTGCCTTTCCTATAAAAGTATCAAAAGGCAGCAATTTTCCACACCCTTTTCTCCTAGAACATGCTGCCCCCAACCAGAAGCACAAGGCAAGGTTGTTTCTCCAGAGAAATCATTGTGACCAAGTGGATTTTGAAAATTTTCCAAAGAAGCACTGTTGACCATGAATGATGTCATAAATTGCTGTTGTTGCTGCTGCTAAGAATTACATTTGTATACTGCCCTTCATCTGTAGAACTCAGGGCCGTTCACAAAATAACAAGAATAAAAACAACAACAAACCAATAATCTCCCCTCCCACAACACATTTAAAAGGGCATTAGATGTCAATCAGCCAAAGGCCTGGTTGAAAAGGAACAGTTTTTGCCTGGCACCTAAAGGTGTACAATGAAGGTGCCAAAGAAATCTCCATGAGGAGAGCATTAAGTAGGATTAGATAGCAAGTTTACTACTATATACTTCTTGAAGGAGCCAATGACTACAGCAGTTTGAATTCTGTAGCATATTTTCACTGTGACCCTCCAAGCCAATTCAAAACACACACACACACACACACACACACACACGAAACATTTGCTAATTGCAGCATTGCATACCTGGGCCTCGTCCAAGCCCTCCTTTTGTTGATTTTTACTCTGGATAAAAACACATTTCCTGCTCCTTCAGCCAGACTATTAAATCTCTCACAACACAAGTCTAAATAGCAGTGATGACCCAACATTATTCACAGCAGAGGCGAGAGCACAGCTCTGAGAGGAAAAACAGTGTCTTTCAAGCTGAAACATTTCAATTCTACAGTGTTTAATCCTCAGGTAACTACTGGTACCTCATAAAACAGTTTATTTAGACTAGCCTGTCCCCCCTAGACATAACTCTGCATCTACCACATACATGCCTGAAGGAATACTAAAGTATCCTTGGTATGTGCACAGAGCCTTTTCATCTCAAGGGAAGCATTCCTAGCTTACAGAAAGAGTTTGAATTTTAGCTTCAGGCAAAACAGAAGCCTTCTTCGCTGGAGGAGAAACCATTTCCCTTCCCAAACACGCCAAGATCCTTAAAGCAGGGGAAAATCTTCATTTTTAAAATGAGATTAGGGTTTCTGACACTATCATAGCACTTTTAGTCTTGTTTTATCTTCTCAACCACTCCCATGATAAGAGGTTAAGCTACAAAAGAGCGACTTTGTGATGGGCTTTTAATCGGGATCTTCTATATACCAAACCCATCAGACTCCCAAATCAGATTCACTAACAGCTTCAGAAGGTGAGGGGGGTTATTGAGAAAGAAACCAGCAGTAACATTTTACTTTGGCCTCTAGTAATAGCTCTGACAATCCTTCCTAGTATCTGGAAAGAACTACAGTGGAGTGTTGTATCACATAAAACTAAGCAAAGACACTATTATAGCTATAAAGCCGTTTACTGTACGTTATGCCATTACAAGAGATAAAGGCAAGGCAAGGCAGTTTTGGTAGGATCTGAAGTATGCCCCCTCAAGTCCTTATTATCTATTCTTCACCACTCTTAAAAACAAACAGATTTGTGCCAAGTAGTTTCATTTTCCAGTGCATTTTCCCATTCAGCTGCAATTAACAGATATTCACTGAAGAAGGGAGTAGACATGACCTTTCTTGTCTATTTCCTATCTCAAGAATCTATGCTAAGACTGCAGGCTGAATATTTTCAAACAGAAGGGCCCCCATGCAGCATTCATACCCTGAGTACAGCATGTACCTATTCAGCAGAGCAGCCCTAGCCACAGATGTGGCAAGGGATCTCAGTGTTTAAAACTGCATGACAGAATAAAATAAGCAAAACTAATCTTGAATAAAGATAGGCAATCTGATATAGGGTCATCCATGAAGCACAGAACTTGATAAGTGTTGACCAAGGTAAACCTTGTTAACTTCTAGGGACTTTCTTTTAAGGATCAAAGAACAAGCCAGTCCCACTTCATTCAAGAGTTCACCCTTGGCCATGAGAATCACAGAAATGTAGAATGGGAAGGGATCCTGAGGATCATCCAGTCCAACCCCGAAATACAGGAATATGCAGCTGTTCCATATGGGGAATCGAACCTGCAACCTTGGCATTCTCAACACCATGCTGTAACCAGCTGAGCTATCTAGGATTTTGTCACGAACATGGATCTTCTATGGGAGATTGCCAACACACTATAAACCATTACCAGTTGACTGAAAAAATGATGAATGGAAATTACTATTAGGGGACTGAAGTGCAAGGTTACCACTATGAATTCATTAAGCCACAATCTTAAGTATCCTCACATAGACTGGGATCAGAAATCACACTCCTCATTGAACTAACCATATTTTGTTGGATTCGGAATGTGCAAACTCCCGTCCCTCCTTATATACCCTCTGTAAAACAAAACTTCCAAGTTTGCAAAACTACAGTTTACCATGATGTCCAAACCAGTAACTTGTGGTTTGAAACCTCCCTGAACACAAGCGTCATTCAGTAGTAAAACAACAACAACCCCAAACCTCCAACGTAACAGCAGGCAGAATTTTATCTGGAAATTTAGTATTCAAAAGTATTCCACAGTCTTGTATTTGAATTGGAAGCTATACTTCTGAAGGATGTATTCATGGCTCAAACATACCGAACCAGAAAACCTGAGTTACATAATGGCATACAACAGCAAAATCATGTAGCCGCTATTCTACAATTTGATTTAAAGCAGGTATGGCCAATCTTGGTCCTCCAGCTGTTTTGGGACTACAACTCCCATCATCCCTAGCTAACAGGACCAGCTGGAGGGCCAAGTTTGGCCATGATCTAAAGCAATCTGTGGCCCTCCAGATATTACTTGACTACAACTCCCATCACCCCTGGCTACTGACCATGGTTGTTGGGGCATATGGGCATTCAACATCTGGAGTACAGCAACTTCTGGAGGGCCACAGGTCTCTTACCCTCATCTAAATGTTCTATCATGGTGCCTTAAAATATTTTCCAGGCTTTCAGAACTTGAAGGTGGAAGACATTTTAAGCAAGCACTGTGCATTAGGACACACTAAATCAACTTTCAAAAATAAAAATATAACCCCAGCACATGATGTGGTTAAGATGAGGTGGGATAACCAACTGGCATGATCCTCGAAATAAAAACCTCTGTGAAGTTTGTTCCAACATTCCTCAGATTTGCCTGTAACAACCCATTAGTGGTGTCTTGCAGACTCGCATTGGGGAAAGCCTTCATGCTATGAGATGAACCTTAAAACTGAGAATTAAAACAAAGGATTTGGGGTATGCTTGCTCCAGAGCCAGAACAATTAAAGGTTACATCACTGCTTAAGAAACTGCCTGGAGCAAGAGTTTTCGAGTGCTGAGCACACTCGAAGGAGAGCAAGATTTTAAGTAGTCTCTCTCCCTCTAAGCATTTGCTCCACTAACATTTCCCATAAAGGTCACTCCATATTCATTTTTCTTAAGACATAAGCAGATTTGCCCGGAAAGGGGTTTTTTTCTTCTGCATCTTAAGACAGATACAGTGTGTGCAGGTAACAAGCAATTTGTATTGTGCTTCTTAATTTAAAACAAAAAACAAAAGAAAAACAAGCAAGCCCTAAACAGAATTATTTATTTGCGAAGCAAAGCAAGGGCACTGGGTTACTAGACTATTCACCATATCATTTCCCTGTACTGTGCGACAGATGTCAGAATAAAGGTGCAAGTTTGGGGGCACCGATAGATAATAAAAAATAGTGAGTACCTGTCTGAGCTAGAAACAAGGATTAGCACCCAGGCTGGGGATCTGAAAAGAAAAAGCCCTCAAATAGAATGCAACATGCTTTCCACTTTTGTTTGCCATTTCATGCCCCCAAGTTGTTTTTAACACAGCTTGTTGAATTAAGCATTTCCTCAGTTCCTACCATTTAGTTATCTGTAAACGTAGGAATTTCGACTTGGGAGAGCAGCAACCCCATAAGTTTCAGACAGTCAAAGACAACAGAGGGAAGATTTTTGTGGGAATCCCTGGCTGAAGCCAATCTTCCTATATCCCAGAAATGGGAGGGTTACGAGGGAGACAGTTGAACTGTGCATCCATGCAGCACAACTTTTACTTCGCCCGGAAGGAGGGCGCGAGGAGGGTGGGAAACAAAAAAAAAAACCTTTTGTCCACCCAATATGTTTAAAGAAATGTGCGCCCCCCCCCCCAGCAAGATCTCAGGTAAGTGGTTAAGTTGCCTCCATCGAGACAGGAGCAAAGAATCGAAGGGAGTGTGCGCAAATAATAATAACCCTTCACCCTCCGTGTTTGTATGTGTGTGGGGTGTCACTTCCTTCTTCTCCCGAGGGAGCGTCCTTACCCCCCCCCCTTACAGCTTTAAATCCAAACTTAGAGACTGCCTAAGCAAATGTAAGCCTGGCTCGAGAAAGAAAGAAACACAAGAGAAAGGCAGATCCCCGTCAAGGAGGCACAATGCGCAAACATTCCTTTCGTGGGCTCTAGCAGCTCCTCTTCTCATTGCAATTGAAAGAGATTAGCTCTCTCCCTGCAGCCCAGTCGGAGAGGAAGGGGAAGGGAGGGAGATCGTCGGGACGAGGCTGAAGTAATAGGGAATATCAACTTCGCGTTTCACACAATCTCCCCCCCCCGCCCCGCCGGCTTTCTTGAAGAAACCAAGTCGCCATGCTTAAAAGGTTTCGCCTTTCCACTCGCTTCCTTGGAGCAGATCCTGCAAGCGAGGCCGAAACACACACACCCAAACACACACACACACCCCGAACAAACTTTTTTCTGCCCCGAGCCTGTGCGCGCGCCCCTCCCTCCCTCCTTCCTTCCCTCCCTTCTTTCTCCTTCCTTTGCAGCCACTCGAGTGCAGGGGGCACAAAGAGGCCCGTGGCGCGGTGTTTTCTTAACTACAATAGCCGGGCTAATTAGATCACAGAAGCAAAGTCTCGAAAACAGGGAAGAGAGAAGCCAGAAAGAGAAAGAAAGAGAGAGAAAGGCGAAGGAAAAGAAGGATAAAGTTTGCCCCTGCGACGCACTTACCGATCAGACCTCCCACCAGAAAGGCGATGATTTGGAAAATCAGCAAGATCACGCCAACAATGCACAGCTTCTTAGTGCTCATGTTCTCGATAATTGCCCCTGCCATTTTTTGCAGCTTGCTCCCTTTGCACAAGCTACTGCGGCAAAAGTTAAGGCTGTCAGGGATGGGGAGGGAGAGCGGCGGCCGCCTCGGCACTGATTGCCCGGGCAAGTCCGGATCCGAATCCCGCTCTGCCGGGAGCTGTGATTGTGGCCGGCGCTCGGCTGCATGTGGCTGCTTTAAAGGCGCAGGAAAGCGGATCACATGATACCCACCTCCCTCCGTCGCCGCCTCCTCCTCCCGCCTTCCTCTGCTATTCAGCAGCAATTGGTGTCAAGTCTCGCAGAGCGGTGGGGGGCAAGGCGGAGGAAGGGGGCTTGGAATTAACAAGTGGAAAGAGGACCAGGCGGGTTCCCCCAACTCCAGAAAGGGTTCTCTAGGTCTCTCCCGGGGCCTAGCCCGGCGAGAACAAAAAGCCCCCAGAAAGTTCACCAGACTTGGGGATGGATGTTAAGGAAGGATAACACGAAGATGCTATTAAGATGTGTCCTTTGAAACGATTTTATTAAAGGTTCAGCGGGGGCGGGGAGAAAACTTTGCTCTTTCTGTTTCAGAAGTAGCTACCCCTCCGTTTTGTGTGGTTGGTGACTTCTGTCTTACCTCCGAAGCTGGTTGAAAGGCAGAAAAACCACAACCCTGTCATATTCTTCTGCCACATAACCACATGGATGTACAATCCAGCAACAATAGTCACTACAGGTGACAGAACAGGAAATGGTAGTGGTGAAAAAGGATATCCACTCTAGACATCACACTAATGTCCAAAAATAATCTGCCATGAACTTGGCTTAATAAGTGATATCAAATTTCAAATGCTGCGGTTACATTTCACCACCACCACCTATAAGAAGTTCACTAATTGCAAAAAATAAATAAATAGAAAGTTCCAGTGTAAGTTCCTTCTATTATCTTTAGAAGTGCATTATATACAAACTTAAGAAAGGGCCCTCTCTGTGGTGGCCTCTAGAAGGAGGTACATCTGATGCTGATGATGTGTTGAAACCATTTTACTAGGTTAAAACCATTTTACCTGCCATTGTCGAAGGGAAACTCCCCACAGGAGTAGAAATCATATATCGAACAGATGGAAAGCTCTTCAATCTGAGCAGGCTGAAAGCAAAGAGTAAGGTTACCATAATGTCCATCATAGACCTTCAGTATGCTGATGACAAAGTAGTGTGCACACGCTCAGAGGATCCTCAGAGGATCCAAACCATCCTTTGCAGAAGCTTACGAAAAGCTTGGCCTATCATGCAACATCCAAAAAACCAGAGTGCTGCACCAACACATACAAAATAACCCCTCTGCGGCGCCACAAATCCAACTTAATGGTGTAACATTGGAAAATGTCAATCACTTCTCCTACCTAGGACAGTTATCTTTCCACAAGGGCCAACATTGATGCCAAAATCCAGCATCACCCGAGTTCTGTGAGAGCGGCTTTCTCCCAATTGAAGTGCAGAGTGTTTGAGGACCGGGACATTCGCAGGGAAACCAAAACGCTTGTTTACAAAGCTATTGTACCACCAGCCTTACTATATGCTTGTGAAACATGGACCACTTATAAACGCCATCTCCAACTCCTTGAAGGATTCCATCAACGGTGTCTCCGAAAATTTTTACACATCACTTGGGAAGACAGGTGAACTAATATCAGTGTACTGGATGAAGCAATGATCACCAGTGTTGAAGCAAAGATTCTTCAACATCAACTTCGTTGGACTGGTCATGTTGTGCAGATGCCTGATGATCGTCTTCCAAAGCAACTACTCAATTCCGAACTTACAAATGGAAAGCATAATGCTGGTGGTCAACAAAAGAGGTTTAAAGACTGTCTCAAGGCAAATCTAAAAAAAGGTAGTATAAACACTGACAACTGGGAAACACTGGCCTGCGAGCGCTCCAGTTGGAGAATAGCCTTTACCAAAGGTGTCATGGGCATTGAAGAGACTCGAACTCAGGACGCAAGGAAGAAACATGCTAAGAGGAAGGCACGCTTCACAAATCCACACTGTGACCAACTCCCGCCCAGAAGCCAATGTCCCCACTGTGGAAGGACGTGGATCCAGAATTGGCCTCCACAGTCACTTACATTGTTAAAACCGTGTTTATGGAAGACAATCTTACTCAGCTACGAGTGATCGCCAAAGAAGAAGAAATAAACCTGCCATTATTCTAGTTACTGGTAGTTTTGGAGGGCTGAATAGTTTTATTTCTCTTAAATTTATTGTTGATTATGTTTTATAATTTTACTTTTTTTTTTTTTTTACATCACCCTGTGATCCATGTATGGATGTAAGGTGGTGTATATATTTTTAAAATGCCAAACACACTATCTTAGTCACAGTCACTGCTGTGTGTAGTAGATTAGAAGAATCACAATTCTTACAGCTAAGAAACTGAGGCAGCAAATGATTGGCCAAAGCTCCCCCACCAGATTTCAGAGCTCGTATCCCTAGTCTAAGATTCCATCTGCTACATCAGACTGGCTTTATGCTAAGGAGATGGTATTATTTGCCTGGGGAATTTTTTGGTTTCTTGTTCCATAGAATGTTTTTAAGGCAGAGGACGGGCAATGCAAAATAATCTTACTATTCTAGCTAGCTCAATGCCATGCACAATTATCTAGTAAGTGGAGCTTACTTTTGAGTAAACATGCACAGGATTGCACATTTAAAAAAATATTGTTAGAAAACAATGCTGTTAAAAGGGATTACTGAATGCAGGGAGAATTGCAAGCACTCAAGAATAATATTACATCTTTCACAGAAGTTTTGGTCCTAGACAAATATTAAAGAGGATTTCTTCTTTTTCCTGCTGTGGAGTTTCCATTTGGGCAGCAATGGAGAAAAGTAGTCACTTCAGGAGGAAGGATATCTGAGACACAACCCTCTGTCAAAACATCGCCAAATAAAAAAGGTGGATTAAATCAGCAGCAAGTCTTCCACTCCCACCTTTCTATGTGCCCTATTCTTTTCCACTCAAATTGGTTCATGTCCTTCTAAATTCAGTGGCACTTACTTCCAGGGAAATGTACACAAGACTGCAGCCTTACACTTTGCCTGTTTTTTTCAGGTGTACATCTAACTTTTTTCAGTAAGAGTGATCCCCAAGTATGTGTGGATAGGATTGCAGCTTAAAATTTGTAAAAGATTTTCCAACAGAAGAAGAAAATTTCCACTCTTGTGGACCTTTCCAAAAACCGCTCAAAATGAAGGCAAAGATTAATCAATATTTCCATTTTACACATTTCCCAATTATTTTAAAAAGGGCAAAAGGGTGGGGCAAAGTTGCTCAGACGATTTTATTTGGTCATGCATTTATATGATTCATTTGTTAACCAACTCAAATTGGGATCACAGCGTGGTTCACAATACAACAGCAAAACAATAAAAATATGGGGTGTTAAAGGGAGGGGTGGGAGACATGTTGTGCCCCTTCTGGAGTAGTTTGTCTACCTTTGGTCCCCACCGTGCACTCAGCTCTCACCTGTGGCTCCTAGAAGCTGTCAGCATGCATCAGAAGTAACACCCCGGGAATAGTTTCCATTGGCCTGCTAAATCACATGAGGGTAGCTGATGGGTCTCAAACCTTCAGTGAGTTAGGGACTTCCCCTGTAGGCAAAGACAGGCTCTGGCAGATTGAGCAGATGAAACCAATAGTGGGTCCAAGGGTCAAGAAGGCGGTTTCTGCCCATGCTGTAGAGGGAAGTGAGGGGCAGATGGGGCTTGTCAACCCTGAAAGCTAGTCCATCTAGGACCTCCACTGCCTTGCAAGATATCTTCAGGAGAAGAAAGGGCTAAGAAAAACCCATCACGTATCCAGAGTGAAGTCTCTTAAGAGAGTTGGAGGGAATGTTGTACGCCTCCTTCTGGCAACTTCTGCAGCCAAGCTGGTGCCAAATGTATTACTCTGCTTTTCTTTGGTCCCACATCAGCAAGACTAAGAGGAGGTCTTGTCGTCATGGCAGCCCAGGACCTCCATACACACTGTCCTTGCTTGCTTTAGGGAGGTCACTTCAGGGCTGCTAATGCAGCAGTTTGACTTCACCTTGGAGGCACACTCCATTGTCTCTTGAGACAGACAGATGCCCACAATCCATAAAACCATTAGCCATTGAACATTAGATAAAATCAGGAGTTTAGAAGTACTTATGCCAATACAGCAGATAACAAGAACAATGCAGATAACTTGACTTCAATATAGCCCAAAGGCCTAAGTGATGCAACGTCAACCATGAAAACAGTTTGCATGCGTATAGCACCAACACAGTACAAAACCAGTATCTTGACTGATAAACCCTGTGCTATTAAGTTACTGGCTAAAGGTTGCCTCTTTATAGATCTCAGACTTTTAATAGGATTGCGCTAGCAGAACACTTTGGAAACTAAGCTATACACCTAATATTTTTATTGACTTTTTCTGGTTCATTTGAAGGATTCTATTCTGCATTGACACCTTTTGTACCTATGCAAGAAGTCAAAGGATATTGATGTACTTGATACTCCAGTCTTCACTGTATGTTTACTGTTTGTGCTGCTTATTTTGTTTTTGTCATTATTTTTCCAGCCCCTGTTTGTACTGGATTTGAAATTCTTTTTATAAATGTTTTTATTGTTAATTGCTTCCAGATGTTTCATGGGAAGGGATTCATAGATGAAATGAAATAAATAAAATGATAACTGATAACTCAATAAAAATAGTCATTTTAAAGAAATACTGTATTCTTTTCCCAAACCCTTATAGTTGCCAACTAGAAACTAGAGAATGAGGGGGGGCTGGGGGCTGGTCTGCTTTGGTGCCTTTAACAGCAGCAGGGAAATAAACTCTGTCACTTACTAATGTTTGGGCGTTTAGATACACTGAAACACTAAGGACAACTTATCTCATACAGGTGAAAACTTGCACTCTTTTGTCTTTAGAATTCACTATCTCATGTTGAGCGATTGTTTGCTGCTTCACACTGGTTGCATTCCAGAGTCTCAGAATAAAACACCTAAGTATTCATGAGTTTCAGGTGCCCAAACGTATCCACTTCTCTCCTCCCTCTACAGGAGTGGCAAAACAAACCAGAAGCTGCATTCCCCCCCCCCCCCCGGCTTCCCATTACCTCCAAACTAGAAACAAAAGTGGATGGCTTCCAAACGACAATCTGAAACCATTGCTTCATGCATTGGCTTGTGTAGAAGCCATGAACTATAGTTTCCCAGTTCAGATACAGTGGGAAGCTATAGTTAACTGTGGTCTCCCAACTTGTTTTGCTATTTGTGCAAAGGAAGCATCTATATGCAGTGGGTACCTGAAGTTTGTGCACATTTGGGCTTATTACATCATGGCCAATGTGTGTCTAAGACACGGCACCACCATTGTCCCTCATTTCTAAGATTTCTAAAAGCCTAGCAAAGCAATTATTGCTTTGTAATTATGTTTATAAGAAGAATTGATGCTTTTGAATTATGGTGCTGGAGGAGACTCTTGAGAGTCCCATGGACTGCAAGAAGATCAAACCTATCCATTCTGAAGGAAATCAGCCCTGAGTGCTCACTGGAAGGACAGATCCTGAAGCTGAGGCTCCAATACTTTGGCCATCTCATGAGAAGAGAAGACTCCCTGGTAAAGACCCTGATGCTGGGAAAGATGGAGGGCACAAGGAGAAGGAGACGACAGAGGACGAGATGGTTGGATAGTGTTCTTGAAGCTACCAGGATGAGTTTGACCAAACTGCAGGGGGCAGTAGAAGACAGAAGTGCCTGGTGTGCTCTGGTCCATGGGGTCACGAAGAGTCGGACACAACTAAACAACTAAACAACAACAACAAATTATGTTTATGCATCATACCTATGGCTTCCTTAGTAGTTTCACCATTGCTTTTGGAAACACCTGAACTTTATTTCAACCATCAGGAAATGCGAGATTCTTTGCAATGCTTGGCAGCGTTGAAGCTCAAGTAGGACTGCTGTTTCCACACCACTTTAGGAAGGCTATCGTTCCTGCTTTAAGGTTTTCAGCAGTATCTGTCTAAAGCAAGGTCTAGAATAGAGTGGCCCAGTGGATAATGAACAACAACGGAAGACACAAGATCTACCCACTCTGGAAGAATGGCAGATGAAGTTGATGGACTATATGGAACTGGCAGAAATGACTGGCAGAATCCGAGACCAGGGAGAAGAGTCGGTGGAAGAAGATTGGAAGAAGTTCAAAGACTATCTACAGAAATATTGTAAAATTAATGAATGTTAGAATGATGTTGGATAGAAATTAAGTGGTTTCCAGCTGTAATGCTTTAAGGGAATATGAAAAATGGGTTGTTAAGAGGTAAAAATGTAACGTTAATATTTTAAGACCAAAGATTAGGACAAATAAAGAGGGCAAGGATTTGCTGAACCAACAAACTGAACTGGAATACAAAAAAGGGAGGTATGAGGAGGTCCGGGAAACAAGCAAATGAAAGATAAGTGATTGAAAGACTGAATTGTTTTTAACTATTTTTATTTTGTACTTTTCTTTTTTCCTTTTCTATTTTGTAATATTTTGAAAACCCTAATAAATATCTTATAAAAAAAAAAGATAATGAACAACAACAACAACAACAAAAGATCTGAGATGCCCCAAAGATAAATAAGGTGAAGCTCAAAGAGGACTGCTGGTGCTCATTCATATCCCCCACACTTGACACATTAAAAGCTCTAAGACGCAAGAAGGAATGCAGTCACTGTGTGCTCTTCGCCCACTTTTCTTGACCATCTGCTCTGGGACTACATCAGAGTCTTGCTTCTCCACAGCGGAGAGAAAGAGAGAGATGAAAGGGACCAGCGACATGGGAGTCACGGTAGCTGCATCCTCTCTTAGTGCCTCTTTCCCCCTCTCCAAAAAAAAGGATGGGCACCAATTCTAAGGAAGGACATGAGTAAGGACCTTCCATGAATACTTGGTAAGCAACTCCACACAGAGCAAAATATTTAGGTTCCAGCTCTGCTTTTGAAATTCTCACCTTTTGTCCCTCAGCTCCTACACAAGCTATGATGAAAGCAAATGCCAAAACCCAACAAGTATGATAAATGTCCTTTCCCCCTAGAAATCACAATACTAAAATTCTCTTTTAAACAGACAAAACTTACTACAGCTAATAGTGAAGCTCACCTTGCAGCCCCAAGTAAACCAATTAGGAATATTTCAACATAAGAAAGGGGTAGGCAAGCATTTCCCAACCCGGTGCCCTGTGGGGTTGTCTTCATTGAGGTCAAATCATTTCATTTTAATTTTACAGGGGGAGGAATTGCATCTCAACAGTGAATTAAATGGTAACGCTTTGGTTGTAAGTTGCTTTGGTTAAAAACAACAACTGGAAGCAGAACTGGCATCTTAAATCCCTCCATTACACAGGCTCAATAAAACATGTATGGCAAAAATTAATTGCAATTTTCTTCCTTTAAATTATCTGTCATTTTCTGGTACAGTAAGGGGGGGGGAGGAAGGGCTGAAATGTGCTTTCAAACTCCACTGCCTCTTTTGAATTGCATTTTTTTTCATAATAATATAGCTTTAAGAGAACTCGCATTAGCAAGTGTTACAGGATTTCACAGTGTGGGGATGCAGTTGTTTGGGAAGGTGCAGGCAGTTTAAATGCATTTCTCTGCTGGCAGAAATAATAAATGCCCTGTGAAGAAAAAGAGGTGGTCTCGATGGATAATGATGTGAACACCCCCTGCTGCTAAGAATATTAACACTCCATTCCAAGCCTTTGTGCATTTCCCTCCATCAGAGCTGCCAATATGAATTTTGCTCTTTACCTCTCTTAGCAGATTCCTCCAACACACCAACCGTTATCTCGTTCTTGCCTCAATTAAGCCACAGACAGTTATCTCTCACCCAAGCTCCAAATGCAGAGACATGCTGGATTATTTTGTGCCACTGCCTCAGCTGAGCCTGACCGAATGGAAATGTAATGCAGACTGAACTGACAGAAACCGATGCTAAAAGGAAGAAAGCATTATAGGGCAGACACACACACACACTTCCTTTCCCAAAGTGACAAGAAGTTTCTAAGGAGCGGGGGGCTCAATTTGCCTCCAGTTGCCCCAATATATAGGACATGAGTTAGACTCGTTCCTTCACAAGTCTGATAAAAAAATGAAGGGACTTGCTTCTAAATTCATGGGCTTAGGTTTGCTCTGTAAAGCAGGCCAGTCATATAGGAGGCATGGATAATTGTTACGGAAATTACGGGGGAGGGGACATCTTGAAAGTTGTTAAATGTTACAAATATTATGCATAAATGTGTCCTTTCGACTTGACAGCTCAGGGAAGTTACCTAGCTTTAACAATCATATAAAATCAACTCCTTTGCCAGTTTCCTCCATTTCAACACCACAGGCCCCACAAATAACCCAGAGATGCATTTTAAATAACCCAGAGATGCATTTTAAATAAAAGGACACATTCTACTCATGTAAAAACACGCTGTTTCCCGGAACGTTCGCAGGCCGGATTTAGAAGGTGATTGGGCTGGATCCAGCCCCCGGGCCTTAGTTTGCCTACCCATGGTGTAGATGCTCCTTCAGGTATACTGGACCGAGGATATTTCAAGAAAAGCAAATGCAATGTTTTTACCATTCTCTTCTGCTGTCAAAAGCCAATGTGAACAACTATGGAATTTCTGGGCCACAATGCTGCAGGTAACTGCTTTATATCAGTGCATAGCAGGGTACCAATGATGGCAGTAATTTAGGGAGCTACATGGCGTAGCCAAGGGGAGGCAGGGGGCAGCTGCTCCCCCAATCAGTAAAAATCAATACAAATCTTAGGTTCTGCCCCCCAACAAAAGCCTGCCCCCCCAAACAAAAATCCTGGGTACGCCCATGACACCATCTAACCTCCCTGCAAATAAATCAAAATGACTAGTCAATTAAAAAGGTCATGTAGAAGCTCACGCAGATTTCTGAATCTGTGGAGCAATACTAGTAAATATGTCTTCCCCTCCCAAAATATTGGAGATCAGGGCCATTGTTTGAAGCTGGTTGGATGGAGCAATTCAGAACCAAAGGAAGTAGTTCTATCATGCGGTGCTTGAAATTTGTTCTCATTCAGTGTGGTGATGGCCACCAATTTGTACGACATTAAAAAGAAATTAGATACACTCACAGAGGATAAGTTATCAACAGCTACTGGTCATAATGTCTACCTATTGCCTCAAGTATCAAAGGTAGCAGGTTTCTGAATCCTGGGGAGCATGATCAAGGGAGTGTAGTTGTGATCACGTCATGCCTGTGGCCTTTCTATAGGTATTGGGTTGGCCACAATGGGCACAGGATGCTGGACTAGATGAACTTTTGGTCTGATCCAGCAGTAGCCCCTCTTAGCATAGAATCCTAGAGTTGTAGCGTTGGAAGGGTCATCTAGTCACTTAGTCCAACTGCCTGAAATGGAGGGATCTCAACATGCGGTCTCCCATCCAGCTTGAAACCGCACTGGACCCTGCTTAGCTTTGCAAATGTGCTAGCAGTTTTATGTGCAACTATGGGATGCAATCCTTCCCCTACACATACGTAGTGTCTCTCTCTTCTCTCCCTGTCTCCTCCTAGGTGACAGTACAATTGCAATTGTACAGAATCTATTTGTGTAGGCTGCACATGGGCTCAGGCTGATGGAAGCAAAGGTGGCAGTGCTTTTCCTTGCTAAGCCATGGTCTCCTTTGCAGAAGTGGGGCTGTTAGGGCTGCATGGTGGCAGGGACAGAACTTAGTCATCTTGTTGAAATTTCTCTTGCCACTGATGAGACGTTCATGAAACTAGGATTTCTTATTCAACAGACTTCAACTCTCTCTTGCCAGGCCCCTGGAGCACCCACAAAATCTGCTATATTTATACTGAGCAGAAGATCAGGTTCCATGCTTCTAATCAGCAGTTGGAAAGAGCAACAAATTAAGTTACATTTTGCCAAATAATGGAGACAATCTAGTGGATGACGCCAGAAACCATTGTTTTGCTTATTGGGAGGGGTTTCATTACACACAGAAGGAAATGACTGTTTAATAATTGCCTTGAGTGCCTTCAGTCCAAAATGCTTTAAACAGCAGAGCCAAATCATAAATCTTAATGTCTTGGCAAAGTCAAGCCCACCAAAAATATTAGTCTCCCAACAGTTCTCATAACAAAATCCTCTGCTCCTCCTTATGTTGCGTGTGTGCAAGGGTAGGTTGGTGGGATTGTGCAAGACACTGCTTAATTTGAAAAACAAAAATTATTAGCAGTGGGCCGTGGAAGGGGCCAAAATGTACCTCATTGTCCTTAGGACGTATAAGTCTAGTCATGTCTTGCTTCATGTCATAGTGAAGCACAGAACAGTTGTCAGATTCTGAACTCACAAAGGATGAAACATATTGCCTGCATGGCCCCCATCAAATAAGCAGGGATAACTGTGTCATATTGGGTGGAGTTCAGAAAGCTTTGTGACTCATGAGTAGCCTTCGGTCAGACTGTTCCTCCCCCCCCCCCAACAAGGACAAATTACTGCCAGCATTATTAAATTGGCAACTGCGTGTGAGATCTTGGTTTATTAGTTTTAAAAAACTTAACTTCTAAAGTTTTTCTATTAAAAGGTCTTTCAAACATGTTCTCAAAATTTACTAACCTACTTGCTCATTCATTCTTATGTTAGTCATTTCTAGTACACAAATAACTTAGAGAGAAAAATAAACAAAAAAGGGCCAATTCTTCTTTGCCTGCTAATTTTACTGGCTATTTACAAACCTCATTTGGAATTAAGAATTAAGAATTACTTTGCTGGAATAGAGACCTATAGATCAGGTGGCAATTTAGAAACTGGTCCCCTTAAGCCCTGTTCTCATCTGATGTCCATGAGGAAACTGCTGATGATATCAAAACAACAGCCTGTCGTTGTTGTTTTTACTCTCATTTAATCCTGATTTACTCTGGGGGGGGGAGCCAAAAAGTCATTTAAAAAAAAACTGTTGTCAACATGGTTGTGATATCTGAGCTACCTATTCTGCAATATTACACCACTGTCTGGAAGCATCTGAGGAAATGCAACAAAATTCTTAGTTGCTGTCCTACATGAATACGGCATATGATCACAAAATAAATTTGGGGTTACAGTCATGTAGAATGCATACGGCCATGAAATAAGCTAATGCTTAAAGGAAAAACATACAGTCCCAACAGAGTTCAATGATACAGCAAAATGTTGGGTTTATGGAGTTTGGTTTTGGGGAAATAACATGAGTGTAATACTAGTAATTTATGTGTACTTGATCTCTGTGGTTTTAAATATATATATATACTGGTTTTAAAGGCATGATTATTTGGGATTGGTCCTCAATTAAATAACAAAAATATATTTTACAAAACAAAATTGGAGGCTCACAGGGAAAGACAGGCAGGGCATGTTTAAATAAAGATCTTGGGTAGATCCTACCCAGGCCTGAAGAAAAGCTTTATATTTTCACTCTCAAGACAGCAACACTTTGCTAATTATTATCATTTAAATGGAAGGAATATGATGCATGAGAACACACAGATCACTGCTGCAACGATAGGAACTGATAACGATAGGAAATGAATGAGGTAGCAGTTTTAGAAGTTATCATCTTATGGACTGTTATTTGTCTTTTAGCCATTCTGAGAACCCCTATTCAGCATTGCAACCACGTTAAGTTACCAGATGAGGCCAATTCATTGACTGGAATATAACAGCACCAAGTAACAAGGATTGATACTGACAGGGCTGCTTTCATGCTGCAACTTCCCTGGACACCAGCTGTGCAGCAGAAAGAAAGAAATCTCCAGAATCCACAACATCCCCTCTCCAATTAATCCACAGTTTTCATGCTGTGCAGGAATGAATAGTGCTAAGTATTGATAGCTGCATGCAGGAGGTTTCCTGATTTTCTTGGAGTTTCCTGAGGGGGAAGCTATATGGAGAGCAAATAGCCAACCTGTTAAAATGATGTTGTGAACCTCATTTTAAGCAAAAATGTCGACTGTGCACTGTTTACATACCAGCAGACTTGTGTGTATGGGAGAACAGACACAATCTTCGACATTTTGCTTTGGGATACACCTCACAGGATGGGTCACGGAGGTGCCTTTTCTCTTTTAGACTGAAGGTGCACAATTGCTAAAGGCTCTGGAAGGTTGGAGAGAACAGCTTGGATGGTTTGAGGTATTTAACAGAGCCTGGGTCATATGGGAAGGACAAGTTGTACTGGAATACCATCCCTAGAAACGCAGTCCGTGCTTGGAACACCCACTGTCCATGCCCACAAGTTCCTCAATCAACTTTGCTTGTCTTCCTGCATAGTGTCATCTGTGCCTGGAAACTCTTTCAAACAAAACTCATGCTACTACAATCAATCCCCCTTCAAACTCTGTCTCATAAATCAGTTCTGGAATAAAACTCTTCTCACTCTAGCCCACAAACTTGTTGCATTGCTTTTGCATATCACTGAATTTAATTATATTTTGGATGGTTTAAATAGCTGCTTTTAACTATTTTTACAGGTTGTTTATTTTATTGTTTCATTCTCTTTGTAAATCACTTTGAGGTTCTTTTTACAATCAAGCGGCATATAAATTTTGCAAAATAAATTGTTAGGAAATCATTAACTCTTGCTTGTAAACTTCTCGAAACAGGAAGTCACACTAATTTTATTTGTTAAAGATTGCACATTGATGGCAGAATGCTTATGACAAAACATTCACACCGAAGTCTGAATAACTCTGTTACCTCAACATTCGAAACAGGCTTCAGTAAGCCTCAATAAAATTAAAGTCTATGTCCTCGTTACAAAACCTTCCATTTATCCAAATCCATAGTGTGTCTCTGTAGTGTTCTCAATTAAGTCCACAATCCTATGCAATCCCAATGAGTTCCATGGAATTTACTCCCAGGTAAGTATATGATATCTTAAGAGAGCCATAAGGATGATTCTCCTATTCTGGCAAGCTATCAGGACCAGTGGCTGACTTGGCTTTTATTTCTACCTGTAGATTAGTCTTAGTTCCTTCTGTTTAATTCAGTTTTAATGGGTTTTAGCCATTTCTACTTAATACTGATATTATCAGTGTGGATTAAAAGAAAGAAAAAAAGCACTTGGATGAGTCATATTGCAGGGGGGAAATGTTGAAGCCTGTCAATATCTCCATTAACAAGATTCCCATTGTTACAAAATGGAGTATTTGACAGTTACCAGACATTTGGAGGTACAGCCGAACAAGACTATTTTGCTAACCTAAAACTGCTGGCTAAGGGCAAAGGTATAGATGGTTTCATTCTATCTCAGTAGTCATTTGTTCGCAGAAGCAAAAATTTTCTTTTAGCAAACTAAAGGCTCTCTGCTGGACATCTTGAAAGATAACAAAACCATACAGAAAGATTACAAAACCATCCAGAAAGAGAAGGCAGAGAAGGAAGAATCTTCAGTGTTACATTGAGGGAAAACCTTGCGACCCACTTTACTGAACAAAGATTTCTAAGTGCTGCAAAGAAAACACAGGTGACCCTTGTTCAAAAATAGTTCAAACCCACATCTCTATATAATGTATCTTATGTAGTGCATTAAAGCCATAGCTACGTTTTAAGAACCATCATGCACGGTTCTTGCAGTTCTTGTATTTCATTACATTCCAGTTCAATTGGCAAGATCCCTGCAGAATTTCCTCTGGCAATTACCGATGGACAAATGCTTCCCTAGCTCCACTTCCATTGTATCAAGCTTACCAGAACAGGATGATCCAAATAATGCACAAAAGGATCATCTCGTCTAATCCCCTGCACTGCAGGAATAATAGATAGAGGAACCCTGACAAATGGCCATCCAACTTCTGCTTAAAAACCTGTGGACTCTCCTTCCTTGGAGGTTTTTAAGCACAGGTTGGATGGTCATTTGTCATGGATGCTTTAGTTGAGATATCCTCCTTCTATCACAAGAACATCCCCTAACCTCTCATTGATGAGACATCAACCAATCTTTTTGGACTATTAGGGAGCAATCCACCTAACAAGGAACTAATGGCCAGCAGCTGTCATGACATATACAAACAGGCTCTGAAATGTCCATAAAAATGAAGATTCTTGTAGAAGAAATATGTTTAGTATTAGCATTAAAAATGTGTAGAACATTTCCCTTCTATGGCTGAATTGTTCATCCATTGGCTCCCAGCAACATCAGAGGTAGCAGCATTTATGGAACTCATTTTCCATCTGTATACAATTATTAGAAACTATTAAGTGATGCTATTAGGTGAAAAGTTAAATTATCCAGTTATTGCTACATTGCCAAATAGCTGGTTGCCCTATTAAAAACATACCAAGATAGCACACCTCAGCCCACTATTTTGAAATATTTATAATGAAAATTAGTTTCTGCTTGGCTAGATCTTCATTTTGACCGATGGTTCTAGTGAGTGCCCTCAAGCTATTCTGTGACATGACCAGCTCCCAAGACTCAACCTTTGGGTAATTAAAGGTAACACTAGAGTCTTAAAAAATAATATAAGATACCAGGCATTTCATACCAGTGAAATTACAACGGCGACAGTGGTATCCATTAAACTATTTGAGTTTGCAAAACAATTTGCTTTGATTTTAAAAATTATTCTCCATGAAAGATTAATGATCTGTGACCATAACTAATCATTTAGTCTGGTAGTGACGGGAAGAGATACAGTGGTACCTTGGGTTAAGTACTTAGTTCGTTCCAGAGGTCCGTTCTTAACCTGAAACTGTTCTTAACTTGAAGCACCACTTTAGCTAATGGGGCCTCCTGCTGTTGCTGCGCTGCTGGAGCATGATTTCTGTTCTCATCCTGAAGCAAAGTTCTTAACCCGAGGTAATATTTCTGGGTTAGCGGAGTCTTTAACCTGAAGCGTATGTAACCTGAAGCGTATGTAACCCGAGGTACCACTGTATTATGTTAAAGGGGGTGGGGGTGGGGAATGAGAGAAGCCACATAACTCTCTGACCAGAACTAATGGCTCTCCCGTTAGATGCCTCTAAGCCAGAGATGTTTTAGCCATGAAATGAGAACAAGAAAAGTCCATTAGTGCCATGGTTTCATTTCTTCAAATATTAAGCAAGGTTGTAGCTTTGGGAGTCAGAGGCCAGCTGCCTTTTTATCCCAAGTCCACTGTCACTCTGCTCTTCAGAGCGAAAGGGGGGAAAGCAAAGAACAATGTATTTGGAAGCCTGCAAGAAGGTATTCAACACTGCATGGAAACTACAGATATTTTCTAAACATCAACTAAAACTTAAAGAGCTGTTCATAATAGCCCCCGTTAAGCTTTTCTGAGCAAAGGTATCAAAAATTGTTATTGTTATTATTCATTTCATTTCTGTACTGCTTTATATTTTTACAATCTACATTAAAGCATCAAATAAAACAATTCAGAATAAAACATTGCTGAAGAAAGGCAAGTATAAAGTATGCATTCAAAGCAACACAATTCACAGGAAATGAAAATATTACCCTAAAGATTTCAAAATAAAACACTACAAAGGAGGTCAACAGCAGAATGTACATTTAACACAGCACTGTTAACCATTTTTTTAAAAATCTAAAACACTACTAAAGGAAGTGAGATATAAAATGCACATTTAAAACAGCATAACCAAAAAGAGAATAAAATATGATCATAAGCACAGAACATATCAATGGTGGTTCATGGCAAGCTGCAGCTGTGGAAGCTCAGGCGAGATGACATGTGTCTTTGCACTAAGAGACAGCCCAGGCAGCCTGAGAATGGCAAGGCTAACAAGGGATGAATGCAAGCCAGGGAAGTTACAGGTAAACAGATTTTTGTCGTAGCTCAGGAAGAAGACTAGCTGCTAAAGGAAAGGTGAGTTGAGGTTTGAAGAAAGAGGTGGTTCAACCATAGAGGTCTTTTGGGAAGGAATTCCAGGCAGATGAAGTGGATGGATTGAGGGGAAAAGGATCGCCCAGGATGGTGGTGGTTTTGCTTCTTTTATTATTTATGGACCTGGTTGAGAATCTCTATTTAATTTTTTATTAAAATTGTTTTATACAAATCATAGAGGGACCATGAGAAGCATTTAGTCAAACCCCGAGCAATGCATGAATCTTTTGCCCAATGTGGGGCTTGAACCCCACAATAAAGACTCCCTCAGAAGTTTTAAGACTCCCTCCGGGTATAGAACTGGTACGCTGAACAAATATGAAGGAATGACTGAAGAATTCCACTGCCTGCTTAGACATCATATCTTCCAACCTGGATATGGACTGCTAAGAATTGCTGAACAATCCTTATTTAGACAGGTTCTGAATAATTCAAATAATTGCACGTGATACACTCGGCATATTTTCAAAAACGACTGCTGCTTACATGTGGCAATATATGAAAGATTAGAGTCCTTAGCCACATCTTTTTCACTTCTTCATTATTGCATTCATGTACAATCAGTTGAGTGGACTGCTTGGTAGAGTTAAAGGAGCCAAAATTGCTGTGGTTTTGGGGTTTCTCTTAGTAAACAAACAAAACTCTTCTCTAATTTAGACACAATTTCTAAGCAATTATTGTCAGAGGGGACTGAAAGGCCTTTGGTGTTTTGTTTTGTTTTGTTTTTAAATTTAAGCACTCTAAATAAGCAACTTGGAGTAGATTTTGGCAGGAATATGCTTAACTTTATAAGAACATTACAAGAGATTGCAATGTCCTTTTCCACTATAGCAGCCAGTGCCCGTACGTGTGTTGGTTACTAAATAAAAGTGAAGTAATGGTTACACTAACTATGCCTTGCAAATATGGAGAACCTGTTAGTGTCTCTCTTTTTGTTATCTCATTTTGCTATTTGCAAACCTCCTATTCTATATGCAGAATACTGTATGCAATACTGTATAAAGGGGAAAAAGGTTTACAAGCAAGCACATTCCAACTTGTTATTCAGCGTTCCAAATGCAAACTCCACATGCTTTCACAAATTCCATAAAACTGCGTAAATTACATGACCAGCTCAAGAAGTTTGATACATAAGTGGGATATTTGTGTCTAATACAGTATATTTTCTGTCCGCAACTTTCTCCCAACTGAAACAGCAGATTTGCAGACCACCCCCCTTTTGACAACTCTTAACAATAATCAACAATAATCAAACAACCGACAAAACTCTAATCCATAAATAAATATTTGCTTCTCATCGTTATAGTACACAATTAAATAACTTAAAGCTCTGTGGAGGCCTATAATAAATTGAGTAATAGCAGCTAAAAGTAATTTTCTGGTATTCATTTGGTTAAAAAAAATGGAATCGATATAAATGATTAATAAGCCCAACTATCTGCCCTTTCTGGCTGGCACTAGATGAAATCAAGCAGGATCATGGTTTTAGCATTTGGGGGGGAAATGATGTATATAGTTACAGAGAACTGATTAAAGATAGAACATTGATTCAATTTCCAGCAGTCAAAAAGCCAACAAAGAAAGACTAGCTGCACTGATATGAATGTCTACAAGTACAAAATACAGAACAAAAATTTATAAGAGAGAATAAGGTACTGAGGGAGGTAACAGAATTTATAAATATAATAAAAAGAAAGATAAACATCCATTATCTAAGCTCTGTTGTTACAATATGATGAACAGGAATGAGTAAAGGAATATGTGATAAAGTGGGATCCGGATATGGGAAATAACATAGCTATGGGGGTATGGGAGAAAATGTGGAGAAAGGATCATAAATTTTCACTGAATGCAAATATGAGAGAAGATTGTTTCAAGGTAATGGCAAGACACCAGTAACTATTCAGGCAATAAACAGAACATATTCAAAAAATCTGGTTAGAGTAAAAAAAGAAAATGGAACCTATTATCGTATGTGGTAGACATGTATTTACAACAAAAATACTTGAAGAGGATTATTAAAATAACAACTAAATTTTGAAATATGAAGTTCATTTAGATCCAGTATTGATTTTGTTGAACCATGTCACCCAGTATAAGGAAAGAGCTTAGGGAAATTATTTCCTATTTGTTAACAGCTGCACAGATATTATTGGCTCAACAATGGAAAATTACATGATGCCATCATTGCAAAGAATGGTTTAAGTAGTAGTAGTAATAATAATAATAATAATAATAATAATAAATGACTTCTTATTTGAGAAGACAAAAGGAAAGTGAATATAGGAACGAGTTTTAGAAAAACCGGTTGTGCTTTATGCAGCATTACCAAAAAAAACCATTGCTTCCTGCAACAGCATATTCACATAGATTTTGAATGTTTTCAATAAGAAAATTTGTGGCCTTGTGCTAATTTATATTTATTTAACAGACTTTATTAGAAGAATATCCATGTTCAAATATATAAAAGGATGTCACATAGAGGAGGGAGAAAGGTTGTTTTCTGCTGCTCCAGAGAAGCGGACACGGAGCAATGGATCCAAACTACAAGAAAGAAGATTCCACCTAAACATTAGTAAGAACTTCCTGACAGTAAGAGCTGTTCGACAGTGGAATTTGCTGCCAAGGAGTGTGGTGGAGTCTCCTTCTTTGGAGGCCTTTAAGCAGAGGCTTGACAACCATATGTCAGGAGTGCTCTGATGGTGTTTCCTGTTTGGCAGGGGGTTGGACTCGATGGCCCTTGTGGTCTCTTCCAACTCTATGATTCTATGATCCTTACACAGTATTTTCTGTTTTCAACTTCTATGTAGACAATTGTATGTAGCTTATTGATAGCAGTGTTGCCTCCAGGATGAAAGAGTAGCACAACTGATGCTTTTAATTAAACTGAAATATGTTAATGGGAAATACAACATTAAGAAGAACTCTGATGTAAAACTTGTAAGCATCAGAAAGAAGAGAAATATTTACATAAAATATCCACATGTCAGTGGGTTGGTTATCTAGATGAAAAGAGATGGTGTTATTTTAGTTGACTCTCAGGGGGTCTTGAGAATTGTATGGTATTTGCCCCCAAATACAGGAACTGCTGCAATTCAAAGGATGTAGTATATCTAATGCCTAACGTCTTCCAGCTGTGGCAAGAAAACAAAACAAAAGCTGACAGAAGAGAGACTTATTCCTCTTTAACGCACCCCATATTTGCTTTGCCTCTCCTGTTTGAAAAAAAACTTGACTAGTCAGCCCTAACCCCAGACAACTAAGCACTCTTCATACTTCATGACTGGACAAGACAGCACCCAAACGGTACAAAATAAAAGGCCTTCAATATCATTCTAATAACTTATTATCAAAGACTATCAACCATTTGTCACTGCTCAATTAGCCTTAGGAATTTTAAAGTAACTTCTCATTGCTATGTTATTTAATTTTCAGAAAAGATCTTTAGTGACTAAGCTACTGCATATTCACTTCTGGGTCTATTTAAAGGGGCAAAAAGGATTCCAGAGGAAATAATTAAGCTCCAGTGCTATTCATTAATCAGATAAGCCATCTTCCCTACATAGCTAACGAGTTATGAGTTTGTAGTATTTCAGACAGTACTCATATTAATGTGTGCTTCTCCCTTGTACATATTTTTACAAGTTATACTGACAGTAAGAATGAACAGTCTGTTCATTCATTTTATCCAGCATAATACTGTTGTGCAATGAAGGTACCAATCATGCCTTTTCCCTGCTGAGTTCACAAAAACTTTTTGCTAGTACATATGCAGTTGAATCTCACCCACAAAACAGCAACAATATAGAAATTGTAAGAAATTCTATGCCAATTACTTAGCAAGTCATGGAGACCTCTACAGGACAATTAATGAAATGAAAGTTGGATTGAAAAATTATACCATAATGTCTCTCTTTTTCCTTTTGGAAGATGAAATGTTCATCTGGCCAAACCTCAGGCATCCAAAGCTTAATCTTGTATACAACTTTAGTATGTTGTATTCTAACACCTGCAAATTCAACTCATTTGTAGGTATGTTCTTTTGCTGTAATTATAATCCTCTAATAGTAAACTCAGCTGGAGAGCACAGAGAATATTGTAAAAAACAAAACAAAAACCTGAACCACTAAGAAAGAGTGCTATGCTGCTATCAGTGTGCTATGGGAACTCCAAGGTTTGCTGATTTGTTTTTTTAAAACTTTATTATTATTGCTTTATTAAATCTGTATACTGCCCTTCACCCATAGATCTCAGGGGGGCGGGGAATAGGAGAGAGGCAAAGCTTAAGTTCTTTTATTTCGTGTATGCTTGGGGTTTTCCTGTCAGCGTCACTTGGGGAAGTTCTCTTTCTATTCGCTTGTAATGTTTCCTTGGTGGTGAGAGAGGCTGGGGTGGCCTAGGGTGTGGTTGATCGTCTTTGGCTGGCTGCAGTGGGATTTGTGTGTGTGTGGGTGAGGGGGGTTGTCAGGTTAAGTTAGCCATATTGAATCATATGCTGTCAATGGGTTATGAGCTCTTTCTAGTGTGAGCGGGTATTGTTATCTTGGATGATGTCCAGTAGGGCCAGTTCTGGAGTGACTTCTAGTACCTGTTTAGTTATTCTGCTTGTTTCTAGTATGACTGCGCACACTCCTTTTCTGACTGGGTCCTCGATTACTTGGTTTGGTGAGATCTGCTGGTTCAGACACAGCATATGTCTGAGGAAGCCCCACATGGGCTCATGGGGAGGAGGTGCGAGGAGAAAACTCTTGTGACATTGATTTCTTTGGCAACATGGAAGGGCTGTGGTGGGATCCAGAAATGGCAGCCCCCGACCACTTAACTGCTCTCTTCTTCATCAGCTTGGGAGCTTTTTCTGAGACGCTTGCGTGGTATGATAGCATCCTTTGTTGTATGAGCATCTTTATCAAGATGCTAACAAATCTGCCTGCCTCTGATCAGTTGTGCTTCAAGGGAAGCTCACCAGTCCTGATTCTTTAATATTTTCCAGCCCAGATAGATGTTAACCAAAGGATCTCACAATAGTCATCTCCTTGCAGGAGCAAGGAAGCATAGGAGAATCAGATACACCACAAGGGCATCTTGGGTGGGATGGCTTTCAAAGAGGGCTAGACAATTGCATGGAAGAGAGGCCTATCAAAGGCAACTAGCCGTGATGGCTATGCTCAGCCTCCCCTGTTGGAGGGAATGATGCTTTTAAAAAGCACTTGCTGGAAGCCACAGACTCCCCAAACGTGTTTCACTAGGACCCTTCCTTCCCTCTGCCCTAGTACCTGAGAGTCATCACATCTCTCCAGGGATTTGGCCAGAACGAAGTATATGTTGGGGAAAGGCTCCCTCCTTGCAAAGAAAATGAAGGAATCAGCAGGTGCCTGGCTCCCAGCCATGCTAGCACCAGTCTGGCGCATGAGGGTGGAGGACACAGGAAGGAAGCCTTCCTATAGTATAGGGCACTCAACTGGCATTTCCACCTACCTGAACTCTGAGCCTTTCCCTGCTTGTTCTGGACTGCCTCTCTCCTAAGGAAGATGCAAGCTCTTGCTGGAAGCCACCGGTGGGGAGAGTGTTCCTATGATTCCCAAATGTTTCAGAAGCATCCTTTTGTTCCTTTAGCAGTTTAGCTGCTTGATATAATCATAGCATGGCAGAGTTGGAAGGGATCCCAAGGGTCATCTAGTCAAACCCCCAGCAATGCAAGGATCCTGCCCACAGCCTCCAAACTCCAGCCTTCTGGTTACCATTGCAATTCTGCATGGTATGGAGAAAGGGGAGAGAGAAATGTGTTGCTCATAACACTGATAAGCGATCCACACCATGCAGCCCTTTCAATAACTAAAGTCTAAAGGGCTGTCACATGGAGGATGAAGCAAACTTGTTTTCTCCTGCTCCAGAGGCCCTTAGGGCCTGAAGCGGTGACTCTCCTTCCTTGGAGGTTTTTAAGCAGCGCTTGGATGGTCATCAGCCATGGATCATCTAGTTGAGATTCCTTCATTGCAGGGGGTTGGACTAGATGACCCTTGGGATCCCTTCCAACTCTACAAGTCTCTGATACTGTGTTTTAAAGAGCATCCAATGCGCCTTTAAAGCACATGACTTCTCCCAAAATGATTCATGCCATTGTGGCTTCCCTCTCACAGACCTACAATCCCCAGAACCCCTAAGAAACTACAATTCCCAGGATCATTTGGGGGAAGACATCTGGTTTTTAGAACAGGGATGGAGAACCTGCAGTTCTCACCCCCATTTCCTAGGAACCAGGCATGGGAAGCTCAAGTGCTTCTAACAGTATGGTTATAGGGAGAAGTGTGTATAAAATATTGAATGTAGAAGGGTTATTAAGGTAATTGTATCAGAATGATTATGGGAATGTTAAGGAGGGAGGGAGGGGCAAAGAGATATTGTGGGATTCTGGTGGTGAGTGATGATTGGATGAGGATTTGAAAGGGAGTTTGAATGCAAAGCAGTTGAGAGTGGTGGGTTCTGGAGGGGGTGGTTGGGCAACTAACTATTCAGCTTAGGATCAGTAGTCTAGTCGTCATTTTTGTAATAAAGCAGAATATAAGATAAAGAGAATATGAGGCCATAAGCTCAGGTACACACGCCATCCTACAATCATTTAGTCAATCATCCATACAGTCTCCTTTAGTGAGGGTGCAGTACCTAGGATCTGGACCAAACATTGATATTTTTTGCTCTTTTCTAGTTTCATAGTTTGGATGCGGGTGGCGCTGTGGGTTAAACCACAGAGCCTAGGACTTGCCGATCTGAAGGTTGGCGGTTCGAATCCCCGCGACGGGGTGAGCTCCCATTGCTCGGTCCCTGCTCCTGCCAACCTAGCAGTTCGAAAGCACGTCAAAGTGCAAGTAGATAAATAGGTACCGCTCCGGCGGGAAGGTAAACGGCATTTCCGTGCACTGCTCTGGTTTGCCAGAAATGGCTTAGTCATGCTGGCCACATGACCTCCGGAAGCTGTACGCCGGCTCCCTCGGCCAATAAAGCGAGATGAGCACTGCAACCCCAGAGTCGGCCATGACTGGACCTAATGGCCAGGGGTCCCTTTACCTTTACCTAGTTTCATAAGTTTGTTCTGGTTTTAATGATGTAATAGGGGTGGGGGCTCTTTTAATACTGGGGGCTGTCACACACTCCTTTTCTTCTTTAAAAAAATAATAATTTCCCCTCGTTTTCAAAGCACATGCATTGTCTCTTTCTTCAGCTTCTTCAGTTACATTTGTTGTGAGACATTGGTGTTATGTGCATTATAGGGCTGGGAAGATTCTCAGGGCAGTTCACAATATGAAAATACAAGATGAAAAAACACAAAATTCATAATAAAACCAAGAACAAAACGGTAGGTCAGTAACATAAGTATTACATGATTGCAGATTCTGTGACCTTAGTCACACCTGCGTGCTGGAAGTCTAGAACCAAAGAGATCTCACTTCAAATGTCCATGCAGCTATAAAACTCAGTCACCATCCCTCAGCTTAACATTCCTCACAATTATGCTGTGAAGATAAGAGAGCAGCCATGATTTATTTGGACTAATTAATAAGTCTGCAAAAGATCTGGCAACCTAACTTACACACCCAAACTCCCTCAGTAGTTACTGAGCTTCTCCTTGGGCTGTTTTATTTTTTAGTGGTTTCACAAGCTTATTCATGGTGTACTAAGAGCTTCCTGATCTTTCTTTTTTTGGCAGAATTTTAAAATTTTATTTCCAAATAGAATGCTACCTGGGGGGAAAAAAAGTAAGACTGGAAGGAAATGAACAAACATATAAAAGATGAGGCTCTTGCATCACTTCAGATATACCAGTCAATCTGCAACTAACTATACACCTGTTTATTATTTTTCATCTGTTTGGTTATTTTAAATAACATATGAAAGACAAACTAATAAAACGTGGCAACCTTGTTTCCCCTTGCAATCGGCTCTCAGAATCAACATAAAGCCTTCCAGTGCAACTCCTCAGCCAGATGGAAAAAGGGTTTTCATCTGTTTAAACACTCTCTGTGTAAAAAAATTAAAGAATAAATCCAATATGAAATATATTGAGAAACATGTGGGGGTGGGGTGGGAAGGGCAAGTTAGGCAAAGATAGCACAGAGACGGGATTTGAAAACATAATGAAATCTACTCAGGGAAACAAAATGTCCAGAGCTAAGGTAAAGGGACCCCTGACAGTTAGGTCCAGTTGCGGATGACCCTGGGGTTGCGGCGCTCATCTCACTTTACTGGCCAAGGGAGCAGGTGTACAGCTTCCGGAGGTCATGTGGTCCGCATGACGTAAGCCGCTTCTGGCGAACCAGAGCAGCGCACAGAAACGCTGTTTACCTTCCCGCCGGAGTGGTACCTATTTATCTACAGTGGTACCTCGGGTTAAGTAATTCGTTCCAGAGGTCAGTTCTTAACCTGAAACTGTTCTTAACCTGAAGCACCACTTTAGCTAATGGGGCCTCCTGCTGCCGCTGTGCCGCCGCCGCACAATTTCTGTTCTCATCCTGAAGCAAAGTTCTTAACCTGAGGTACTATTTCTGGGTTAGCGGAGTCTGTAACCTGAAGCGTATGTAACCTGAAGCGTTTGTAACCTGAGGCATCACTGTACTTGCACTTTGATGTACTTTCAAACTGCTAGGTTGGCAGGAGCTGGGACCGAGCAACAGGAGCTCACCAAGTCGCAGGGATTTGAACCTTTTGATCCACAAGCCCTAGGATCTGTGGCTTAATCCACAGAGCCACCTCATTTAAACCATGGAACATGCTCCCACAGGAGGCGGTGATGGCCACCAATCTAAATACGGCTTCAAAAGAGGCTGGCTGTGCTCTGCGTCTAAAACTGGAGGCAGCAATGCTTCTGAATGGCAGATGCTGGAAACCACAGTGGTTGGGCGTGGGAAAGAGGACGCTTGCGGGATTCCCTACAGGTGTCTAGTTGGCCAGCGTGCGAACAGGACGCGGGACTGCCTGGCTTTCCTTCTGCCCTCCCCGCTCGCTGTACTCGAGGAACAGGCGTGAGGAAGCGCCCGCGAGAGACTCGCTCAGCACGTGCTGTTAACTGGCCAGGGGGAAGCGCGTGAAGAAAGCGGGCATGCGCATTCCCACACTTACCAGGGGACAGGCGTTGGCTTCCGCCCCTGTGAGAGAGAGAGAGAGGCCATGGGGGCGGAGCCCGTCCTGGACGCTGAGGACGCTTTACGTACTGAAGCGGGGCCGGGGACTTCTGGGAAAAGCCAAGAGTTGAAAGAAAACGGTAACTTCGAACTTTCCTTCGGTGCGTCCCGAAGCGGGGGGCGGGGCGGGTAGAAAATGGCCGTTAGAAAACGGTCGTCGGGTGACGCAGCTGGCGGTGGGCGAACCCAGTGCAGTTGTCGGGTTAACGCCAGAGACGGAGGGGACGGATAAAAACGGGAAACAAGGCCTTGGTTTCGCCTATAGCGAACTTGCCTGTTCAGCTGTTTCCCTCGAAACTCCGGGGCCGCCCTTGGGGCCAGAGCTCTGAGTTGTTTCGCGGGGCCTTCGGGAAAGAAAGAGCTTTCTTTTGGGGCCACAGCAAGCACGCTCACTTGGTGGGCTCGCTCGGCAACCGAGACCCGCCAGTTAAAACAAAAGAACGAAAACGAGCAGACATGAGGCGGACAGCAAAAAAAATTCGTCCATCCTCTCCATTAGGTGAAATGAAATGTAGTCAGTGCAATAAAAGCAAGCGACAGTCAGATCAGTTTTGGCCAAGGACTTGTTGAACGCGCGCTGAGACAAAGCATTCAAGCTCAGTGTAATGCAGCTAGAACAAATAAGTTTCCATGAGTTGCATATATTCCTAATTCTGCATCAGTGCAGTTCAGAATACAACAACCATTTTAGAAGCAAAGAGACGAAGCAGACACAGAAGGAATAGCAGCCTTGCCTATCCTGTTGTTCTTCAGGGGTAGTACAACTCCCATCAGCCTAAGCCAGCATTTAGCCAATGATCAGGGAAGATGGGAGTTGTAGCCCCAAACATCTGGAGTGCTCTCTGTTGGAGAAGGCTGCTGGTGCACCCTAAATGGACTCCCAGGGTTTGTCCTGCCGCAAAATAATTCCGTATTTTTTTATACAGTAGTTGGTTGAGGTTTAATTTCAGCCCATCACTTTACAAAATAAAGTTGACCTGTTAATGGCTTAATTTAGCTGACAGGCTACAAACTTATGCCCACTTAACCTGAGAGTAAAGGTGCAGTACTAAGCCCCAGATACACCACATCTTAATTTCCCCTAAATTCTGCATGGTGGCTTCCTCCTAGTTACTGTGTTGTTGCACTGTTATAACTGAAATGGCATTCCTTCTTTTTTGTGTGTGACCCTGGTCCCTTCCTTGGCATAAGGAATTTTCTGCTAATGCCTGGGTTTTGGCAGTCAGAAGATTCAAATACCAGCCTCAGGGAAGCACTGGAGTCTCCTAACCACTGAGCTTTGGAATTAGCTATTTTGGATGGGGTGCTGTGAGATTTCCTGGCACAGTGCTCATGTATTATGTGTGGAATGGGTTCAATCGCATCATCATGGTATTAATGCTGTTACCACAGGATGATTGATCTCTTTTTGCACTAAAAGTGTATCATTGGGAATAACTTTGTAATTGGTGGTTGGCAAGAGCTTTTTTCTAATGCTTTTACTGTGCTGTTGATTTTGCTGCTGGTAGAGTATAGCATCCCAACTAGCGGCAGTGGTGTCCAAACTTTTTTCAAAGAGGGCCAAATTTGATGAAGTGAAGGGCCATGGGGGTCGACCAAAGTTAGGCCCCCGAAACGGACTTTGGACATGCCTGGTGTAAGGTATAAAGGTGGACCCTAGAATTGTCCTTCCTTTAAGTTAAATTCTTTAACTGTTGAAGTGAAATGAAATTAACTAGCAGAGATTTTGCTTCAAGAAAAGTTTTTGTGTACTTGCTTCCATACAGCATTGAAAATGATAACTGAAATGTTCTAGTCGTATGCCACATTATTTTATCTTGGGAGGGCTATTGGTTTATTTTTGTATGAATTCAGGGATGATATGGGATGTGCATTTTAAAAATAAGTAATATGTTATTTATGATTCTAGGATCATGTGGATCGCTCTCACCATGCTCTCCAGGTATTCACGACACCCCTCGTCTACTTCCTGCTCTTCATTATTCCAAACTTCCAAGAGCATATGTCAGGAAGTTGGCATAGGCAGACAGCAAATATGGAGCCTTCGGAGATACGAGGATGGAAAAAAATGCACCAGCGTGGTTCCACATAACATGCTACATTCCTCCTCTATGAGCTTCAAAATAAACAATAAACGTAACCATCCAAAAAACTTTCCAGTATTAGATGGAAGCATCCCTTCCCTGTATAGACACGTAGTTGAAGGCAATGCAAGAAACAGTGAGATCTGCATTCAGAGGTAACTATTTTTTTAAAAAAATATTTCTGCAGCATTAGTCCCTTGATTCAACAGTTTTGAGTAAGGTATGCATTTTTAGGTTCTTGCAAACTAGCCTTACCTTAGGCCAGGATCCAAAATAATTCCCCTGGCTTCAGTTTTTTCCTTAATCGGTTTGCTGAATTCAATTATCTATAAACTTGAAAACTGTTACAAGTTATTTTCCTGCCTCCTGAAAGGTTTGGTATGATTTCTCAACTTATATACGTACCTGCATATGTCTTGTGAAGATTTTTGTTTTCACAAGTTGGGTAGATGCTTTAGCACTTTTGGAGTAATGTTAGCTCATTTAAAAAGGCATCTAGCAACTTGATACCATAAATGTTATCTGTGTTATATGCTTTACAATTTTTTGAAAATGTCATAAAACCTGTCCCTCATTTCATTTTGAATGCAAAGATATATATGAGTCATATCTTCCTAAGAGTTTTCAATTAATCATGATTCACAGATAAAGAGAGGAAAGTGACTCACTACTTGTACGTATTGGTCCTGAAGAAAAAAATGGCAGTAGCCCAAAGGGCTTTATTCAAAACTAGTCGTGCAAGCTGAAAGAAAACTCATGAAAATGAGTACTTTGCATTAGTTATTTTAGTTTAGCTATTTCCATTTTATCTCTTGAGAAAGCCAGAATTCAAATATCAAATAATACAGTTAATTTTTGAATGATAGGCTGTCCTAGCTTTGTGGTTGGCTATAGGACTGTTTGGGAATTTACAGTAAAATCATCCAAGCATTTTTACTTTTGAGGATGAGACTGGTTCCAGGTAAGGACAAAATTCTATCTGCTCTTTTCATTTCGTAAGAAATATAGTTCTAAAGAAGCTGTTTTAAGTCTGTACTTAGTCACAGTTCCATGAAGCAAATGTTTTCATGTTTTTCCAGGATGAAGGTTATGTCTATGTCATACAAGGTTTCCCCTAATTTGACATGTGAACACATGTATGTGTCCAGTTTAAATTCATATTTTTTTCTTTGTTGCTGAATTTTGAATAATACAGTCACACTATTTCCTCACAAGTATGATGGCAGTGTTGTTAATATGTGTGTTGGATTAACTTGTTCTTAAGGTACTTTTGTCTTTGGCAACAGAAGTTGGTTTTCAGTTCCATTGAGCTTTTCATTTTGATATCAGGTATTCAGAGTTGCTTGTGAAGGTCAGTAAAGGAGGAGGAAAAAATGCAATATTGCGCCACACTCAGAAGAACAAAAAGTTGCTTGTTCGTGAACGCTTAAAGATGCTTCTTGATGATGAAAGTTTCCTTGAGCTCTCCCCTTTTGCAGGCCTTGATATGCCTTATGGTGATGTTCCTGCAGCAGGATGTCTCACTGGTAGGTTTTGCGTAAGGGATTTTTTAAAAGGTAAATCGCAGTATAGTAAATCTGCATGCACTTAATCAGTTCATGCCAATTGATAGTGTGGCCTGCCGCTGTTAATAAATAACAAAATCTATTCCATCTGTGCTATGCCTGTTGGAAGATGCAATAGTGAAGACAGAATGAGAGGGAGACATTAGAGTGCCTTTAAGTTACCTTTTCGACAAGCGGAAGCAAATGTTTGGATCAGGTTTGGTTTGGCACACATCAGATAAGGCTTTCCTAGGTGGGTATTAACGTACAGTAGACTTGTAAATCTGTTTATGGTATCCACCTTACAAGGCAAGAGTCACACTCATAGTTTTTCTTTCATGCTTAAATGTAATGCTTTTTTTCTGCATATAGTAAAGAAAGATTTCTGAGGGGCACATTATATCTGTTAACTAAATTAAAGTAGAAACTTAGGTGCTCTGTAAAAGACAAAATGGCATCCTCATATCTGCATTTAGCCTCTTGCCAGCTCTTTTGCCTACCTGCTCCTTGATCCAGTGCAGCAGTGACACATGATGTCAGCAGTGGAAACCAGTCCTCACTAAGCTACACAGTTGAGAGATTGATGAAGGGCTTATGAGAAAACAATACTTAGAATTTAAGTAGTGACCTTGAAGTTGGTAGGAAAGCTGTTCATTTGTGTTTTCCCATTGTGGTTACGTGTGTAGTACATATTATGGTGTCATCTATCTGGGATGCGTAAAATTAGCCTCCATTCTTTTGCAGCATGGACACAAGGTTTAATGAGTTAAATTGATAAATTAATCAACTAAAGCCTCAGTCAATTAATTGGTCAGGCTGTGATTTAGAAAACATTTGTTCTGAGGATGTTTTGGATTCTTGTCTGTGGAGCAGGAATGAAAAAAGTATTAAAGCTGGCCTTTAAATCTAATATCTCAAGCTGAAATACTGATAATACTGTATGTACATTTGATAGATTATCATCTGACTTTAACTGATCAGTGCAATCCATACCCAACCTTATATCAGATGTGGGGTTGAATTGAGCAGAGACACCCTTCAGCTCAGTTAACTGGTTGCCAGACATTCAAGTAGATAGAAGGCTTGCTGGTAGTATTCACACTTTCAGAGCCCAACAGAAGACTTCAAAATACAGGGGTTGGGAATCCAGACCTTGAGCTGGCCCAGGGATCAGGCCTAGTTGTCCTGCCTCCCCCGCTTCCATTGCAGCCACCATGAGCAGCCGGGCTGGGAATGCAGTGGTGGCTCCTCTTTTAGCAGTGGGGAGGAATTAGGATTGCAGCCTTTATTTAACTGGTTGAAAGAATTAATTTGTTCAGGACAGAAAGAATCAATTCTGTGACAACAAACAAAGCAATAAGGAGATTCTACACTGAGCTTATAGGACAGGGGTCAGCAAAATTTTTCAGGAGGGAGCCGGTCCACTGTCCCTCAGACTTTGTCGGGGGCCGGACCCACCACCTCCTGAAAGCACCCCCCTCCCGAAAGGCTTCCCCCGCCTATGCTACTCATGCCACAGCCACCGATGCTGCCTTGTCTTCGGCAGCATCGGCGTCCTCTGTCTTGGCGGGGCACAGAGCCCATGCCGCTGGCCTGGGCGGCGGAGGCAGCCTCCACACCACTGCCACTTCCTTCCTGCTCGGCTGCTTCCTCCCGCTTGGCCACCTTAGCGGGAAGGAAGGGGCAGTACCCAGATTCCGCTGGCCTGGGTGGCGGAGGCAGCCTCTGCGGTGCTGCCGCTTCCTTCCCGCTTGGCCGCTTCCTCCTGCTCGGCTACTTCAGCGGGAAGGAAGGGGCGGCGCCCAGAGGTGTCCGCAGCTTCTGATTGGCAGCAGGAGCTTCCTGCAGCCAATCAGAAGCTGTGCCGCATTGCAGAAATCAGTTTCCGCATGGCGAGGCCTCTGCGCTGCGCCTGATTAGCGCAGGGACTGACCGAGTGGGTGGCAGGGTTTGGAAGGTTTGCGGGCCGGATTAAGGAGCCCAGTGGGCCGTATCTGGCCTGCGGGCCTTAGTTTGACGATCTCTGTTATAGGATCTTTTGATAAACAAGTAATTTTATCTGCATGTATTGAAAAATGTCACCATAGGATACCTTATCAGCTGAGTCACTGCTTAGTTCCACAACTGTTCTCATTCACTACACATGTTCAAACTCTAGCAGCATTGTAAGTAAAAGAGGATAGCTGAAAGTTTAGCTGCATTCTTTCTGAGTTCCTTGGCATTTTAATATGCTACAAAAGATCTCTCTAGCATATTTATGTACTTAATTGCCTTAGTTTATGATCCGGTTACAAAATATTCCAAAGTGGATAATTCATACTGTTTGTAAAATGTAATGACAATAGTCATTGCTGCAGGTATTGGAAAAATCTGTGGAGTCTGGTGTGTCTTCATGGCAAATGATGCAACTGTGAAAGGAGGGACCATTTATCCTATTTCAGTGAAGAAACAACTGAGAGCTCAAGAAATAGCAATTAAAAATAGACTTCCGTCTGTTTACCTTGTGGACAGTGGGGGAGCATTCTTGCCACTTCAGGTAAAAGACATGTTCTATGAAACCGGTTGATTTAATTTGCTTAAAATTATTCCCTTTGACTTGTTTTATCGTTAGCTTTCAAGTCTGTGTCCTAAAAATATTGTATACTCGAAAAATAGTCAAGGTAACAAAGTCAAAGCCAGTTTGTCATTGAACTGTCAATGAATTAACCATGTCAAAGAAAGATGAGTTACCGGTATGTATAAAATTACTGTACAGAATATACTTGGGGTTTTTGGGAGGGAACCCCAAAAAAGACAATACAGATTTTCGGAAAAATAATGATTCTTTCAGTATGCTAAAAACCACATTTGAAAAAGAAAGAGGCAGAACAACCGCATAGAACATAGGCTTTGTAACTTTTGAATTTTTACTGTATTTCCTGCCTCTGTATTATTAGGCAGAGTTGTTTCCTGACCAATTCCATGGAGGACGCATTTTCTACAATGAGGCTGTGATGTCTGCATTGAAAATCCCTCAGGTATAATATTGTGAAGAAATCTGTGCATTAAAAATGCATTTCCAAGTAGTATATAGTTAATAAGTAAAAGAATGTACTGCTGAGGAAAACAGTTCATATTGTTTCGGAAGAGTCATCCAGCAGTTTAAATTTTGCATTTGTTGCACAAGGAATAGGTCCACTATGATCAGAAACCATTATGGTAGATAATCACTGGCCATTACATTCATATCTTAAATATCTGACCATAGTTAGTCATTAACTTCTTGCATTAAACACCTGTTAGTACTTTCATCTCATTTGATTCAACAGATTAGAGAAAGATAGCCAGTGGGTCACATTCTGAAACATTCCTTCTAAATTCTCTTCACATCATGAACACTGTGGGTCCCTGAATAATCTGAGCTGGTTACCCTTCCCTTTGCAACATGTCACACAGGCATGATACAACTACCTCTTCTCACTTGTGATAACACTGGAGCAGGTTCTGCCCACCTCAAAAAATGTAGGTGTGGAGAAAACTTGCTGTAAAAACCCCCAGCCCTGACAAGCTGTCACAAATCATAATACAGATTTTGTATCTGAGGTATGGCCTGCACATGCTTTCCTTGCTTAAGTAAGGATTATATATTATTGCTGTACAATATAAAATTAAGTCTGCAATATTTGATACTGCTCTCTGAAATAAAACTCCTGACTCCTTTTCCCTGTGGGATTTTCAGTGCAATTTCTCAATATAATCATATGCTTGATAACTTTTCCTGGAAATTTACAACATAAAATTAAATATTTCCTCATCTTTGTTCTTTTTTTCTTACCCAGCTATCTTGGTGTGTCCTCTAGGTGGCAGTTGTGTGTGGTTCTTGTACTGCAGGAGGTGCTTATGTTCCTACCATGGCAGAGGAAACAGCCATTGTAGACAAAATTGGCACAATGTTTCTCGCTGGGCCCCCTTTAGTTAAAGCTGCCACAGGAGAAGATATTCATCCCGAGGCACTGGGAGGAGCCAACCTGCATGCTAAGTAGGTATAATATTTGTTCCTGAGCTCTTAATATTGATTGAATGATACCTTTAGTCCTAGTTTTTCTAGGTATAATGATCTCATTTTTAAAAAATGCCTGCAAATGACAGAAGCATCCAGAAACAAAAAAGTGCTGCATTATTTGCACTTAGTTGGCCCATATCTATTTCTGGGTCGAAAATCACCCCTCAACATACAACATTTGTTTGTTTATATGCTGTTCTTTCAGTACCTTGCACAAGTACTGCACATTTTACATTAAAATGAGAGAGGAACAAAACCAAATAGCAAACCGTACAACCCACTTCTAGAAAAAGGAAGTACTGGATCTCACCAAGAACACCTCCTTTGTTCTCTTAGAATGGCAGTGGTGCCCACCTGAGAGGCGTGGGACTAAGTTTCTGTGAGTTCTGGCTGGAAAAAAGCCCTGGTACCACCGATGGTTATTTTCACAGCAAGAATCAGAATACAAAAAGCCAGACAGCATCACTGCACTATAGGCCTGATTGGAAAGGTGTGCTTTCACACCACACTAAAATCTCAAGAAGAAAGCCAACCTTATCTCAGAGCGGAGTGGTGGTCCACAGATGGAGTGCTGCAACCAAGAAGACCTTCCTTTGCATCACTGCCCCATGCCCTATGCTTGGTAGAGGGATTGTGAGAAGCTGCTAAGATCCTCAGCACATCTAAATCCATAGGCCAGAAAATAATGGGAGAGGTGCTCCTTCAAGTACTTGGGACCCAGTGAAATATGTGGCACCATTCACAGCCCTGGCACCTGCATTCTGCAGTAGCAATAGTTTCTGTCTAGAGCACATTGTGCTACTCTAAACATGAGAATTCATGAAGAAAACTAGTAGCACTCCTCCTTCAGTACAGTTAATGCAAATTGATATTACAGTCTCACCAGCTTTAATATATTTTTTGTAAGAAATTATCTTGTCTGAGGCAAATGTTTATTATTTCCAATCACTTGAAAGACAGAAGAGAAATATAAGGAATCATTTATTTTACTGTTAGTAGTAATGTTTTCTGATCATGTTTGTTGAATTTTATCTGTTGCCAAATATTTGTAAATTATTTTTCTCAGGGTCAGTGGCTGTGTTGACCATTTTGCATCTTCAGAAAAAGAAGCATATGAATGTGTTAGAAATATTATTTCAACACTCAATTATGAAATTCCTACAGAAGAAACTGTAGAGTATGACAGTCCCTTGTACAGTGCTGATGAGCTTCTGGGGCTTGCACCACAAGATTATAGCTACACTCTACATATAAAATTGGTAAGGAAAATGTTTGTTGCAATCTGAAGTTAGGCTACTTGATATAAATCCCATTGATGTTAGTAGGCTTAAAAATTAAACAGTGTGACAGTATAGTTAACAGTGGTTGAACTACAAATCCTGTGGCTCAGTTTTCTTGGATCATTTATGTAAATTGGTGAAAACAAAAAAATCCTGTAAGCATTTTAAGGACTAACAAATTTATTATCAGATAAGCTTTTGAGAGAATCCACTTCATTGCATGAAGTGCGATCCTCAGTTGGCAGCACTGTTAATTATGCTTCATGCATCTGATGAAGTGGATCTTAGTTCATGAAAGCTTACGTTATAATACCTTTGTTAGTCTTTAAGGTGCTTGCAAGACATTTTGTTGTTTACAGCCAACAAACACAGCTACTTCTCTGAAAGTTGTCCATTGCTGCTTGCTTTTAGAAGTACTTCCAGAGATGATACTGTGTTGAGGTGCTGAGTTGAAAAGGTAGATCAAGGGTTAATTTGAGTATTTCAAATGGTCTACTCTTTTATGTGTGCATAGTCGAGGCCATGGTTTGTAGTTGGTTGTTATTTCTCATAAAACTCAGGAAGAGATGTGAGAAGTATTCACCATATTCTTCATGAATCAAAAAGCCTTATTAGTCTGAGTATTTACTTCTACTTAGTTTTTATTAGCAGTAAGGCTGTCCTACTCTTTCCCTACTCCAGCTTAATAGAGATGCCTGATCACAGGGTGTACTTCATTCCAGATCTAGGGTGCTACTGCCAAGAATACCTTATTCTGGATGCCAGTTAACAGGATCTCTCTTGATGTAAGAACAAGTAATAGGACCTGCCCAGCAGATCTCAGGTCATGGTCAAGATAGTATTGAGAGAGGTGTTTTTTCAGGTATTCATGTCCCAAGCTATTTATGACTTTATATGCCATATTGACGATGGCATACAAAGCCATAAATAGCTCGGGGCATAAACTGGGCTCAGTGACAAATAGACTGGCAACGCAACTGCATTGTAAGCAGTGTTGTATGCTCCTGAGTTATCATATTTGTCAGTTTCCGTGCTGCAACATTTTGCTGTAGTCTCTGAACCATCTTCTAAGGGTAGCCCTACTACTGTAATGGTAGTCAACCTGGGAAGTTACTACAGCCTGGATTACTGTGATCAGGCTAGCTCCATTAGGCTGTAGCTGTTGAACCCACTGGAATAATAGAATCGTAGAGTTGGAAGGGACCATGAGGGTCATCTAGTCTAACCCCCTGCAATGCAGTGATCTTTTGCTCAGTGTGGTGCTCAAACCTATGACCCTGAGATTAAGAGTCTTATGCTCTACCAATACCTACTTAAATCATAAAATTTTAGCTTTGGATGTACGGTCGGTATCTAAAAAAGTAAAACAATTTTGAATGTTAAAGTTTACAATTTTGTGATCTAACAGAGTAGTATACCTGACTCAATCATACTTGAAGCCGACTCATTGAAATCATTGGATTTAATTTCAGTGTGTCTACTCGTAGTATGACTTAGTCAGACATCATCCATTATCTTTGAATATTGAGCCATAATTGGAGACAGAAGACATGAATTTTTTTCCAGCAAGCTACCTACTATTGATTTTTCATTTCTCTTGACAATATTTTATAGATCCTGAGTCGGATGATAGATGGCAGCAGGTTCCAGGAATTCAAAGCTAATTATGGAACTACCTTAGTAGCAGGATTTGCCTACATAGAAGGGTAAGGGAGAAGTTTAAACCAGCGGGCCACATTATTGCAACACTTTTTAATGATTAGTTGTTCAAGCAAATAGTAATTTGATCCCTGTTAGAGTCACCTGAAATTGCAGAATTGAGCTTAGATTTGTTACAGAGATAGAAATGTAGCCATACTATATTATGGCTCCCAGGTTGTTTGGATCACTTATGCAATTGTTTTTACATTGTTACTCTTTTTTTGGAAGCCAAGGTATATAACTGGATTTAAATTTTGTTGGATTCATTGTATTCCAAGTGCTTAGTGCTTACATTTTGGGGTTTTAAATTAATATAGTATGTACTTAGCCACCTGACTAGACAATCAGCGTTGCTGATTAATAGTAAATTGTACCTGTTTTTTTTCTTTTTAATTCATTGTATGTGTTTATAGAATTATTTACAACTGCAGTACTATACCCACATCTGTGAATAAGCCCTGTTGAATTTAGTGGGACTTACTTCTGTGTAGAATGCATATGATTCTACTGTTAGTAATTCTTCTTTTTAAGATTTATCTCTGCTAAATATTTTCATATTTCAACTTAAAAAGCATGCAGACGAAATTTTATTTTGGCATCTCAGAGCTCAGAAGAATTATCAGTATTACACTACTAACAAACCACCAGCACTTAAGTTCAGCCAAAGACCTGATTACATTAAGCAAATTAGCAATTTATTTAACATAGAAACATAGAAATGGCTAGCTTTGGGCCAAGACACATACTGACATCTGAAAGACCATGATCAGCTCTAAAAGATACTGATCAGACCTAATTTAATATAATCTAGTTGATGAGTTTTTTCTAGGATCTTTCCAGAATAGTTGTCTTGCACAAATAATTTACAATCGCATTCTTGCATGAGATCTAATCCTTCTCTCATGTAGAACTTTGATGTGTGAGGAACTTGCATTCCCAACAAACATCAATTTGCTGTTGCTAGAGAAATGTGAGTTCTCAGCTATCATCACCACTCACTAACACCTCATATTCAGTCATACCTCGGGTTGAATGTGCTTCGGGATAAGTGTGTTTGAGTCGCGCTCCGTGGCAACCCGGAAGTAACGGAGCGCGTTACTTCCTTGTTTCGCTGCTTGCACATGCGCAGACGCTCAAAATGACGTCATGCGCAGAAGCGCTGAAATGTGACCCGTGCACGCGCAGATGCGGGCTACGTTTGCTTCTAGATGCGAACAGGGCTCCGGGACGGATTCCGTTCGCATCTAGAGGTACCACTGTATGTGCATATGTGTGCTGGGCACCTGCTAACTAGAGTCCAGCAGCAAAAGCCTCCTTTCACCATTTGTCCGTTTTAAAAAATCAAAATTTTAAGGTGCTATGGTTTGTGTATCCAGTGGGAATAGTTACATAAAACATTTCAAACTATTTGATGAAGGGGAAGCACTGGTAAGTCTACCCAAGTCCCTCCATAACTTTGTTTAGCAATTTTGTGAGTCCTCCTTAAAATTAATTATAGGCAGTGTACTCTCTGGCATTGCAACATATACAACGTCTTCAAAACAAAATGTCAGTACGTTGAACAGGCTTTCCCCCAATGTGCAGCTCTCCATGCAGCAGACCATTGTTCTTATCCATGCTCCTTCTCTGTACAGTGAGAACTCAATGCCATCCTGTTAGCCTTCCTTGGGCAAGTGCTACACTGTATTTAATATTTTGAAGTAATGGCTTCTTGTGCAGAAAATCCCTTTTTGCACATAGCTGCTTAAGTCAAGTCTAGGATCCAGAAGCTAGTAAGTGCTTGTGGTGCAGCCTGAAAGAGCCTGATGAACTGCCACCTTCTGGGTTGTCAGTTGAATGGTTAAGCAGGCCTTATTCTCTAGGGCTGATAATAAGACTGCTTTCACTGACTCTAAGATCACTCAAAACTTTAAAAAGCTGAAATAAATATTTAAAGTCCGTTTTGTAAGTGAAAGAGAAGCCTCTTGTGGCCTAACCTTTTCCATTAATGTTAAGCTTGTCTCTAAGTAGCTCTAGAAAGTGAATTATTTCGCTAGGATTAATAAAGCATGCGGCAGACTCAAACTCATTGATTTCCTCTGAGATGAAAATATGATAGTTGAGATGGTTTGTCTTTTCATCATAATGGAAAATTACGCCACAGAGAATATGAACTGTATTTTGCTTCCTGCTGTAAGCAGACTTGAGAACATTAACAAATAAGTTCCATATTAACTACTTATGCAGGATCATCTGTTTATGAAAATGTATGCTTTTGTCACTAAAAGTACAAATTTGCATGATTAATTCGAGCTTTTTCAGCCTTGAATGTCCATAACCAGTACATAATAAGTAACCCATTAGATTGTTGCTTCATACTTCGGCATTGGAACCATGTTTGTCCATACATTCTAAGCTAGCCTACAATCTTGTGTGGACTACAACTGCCATCATTCCCAGCCATCATGGCCAATAGTGAACATGCCTTCCCCTCGCATAAGGGGCTCCCTAGATCCCTCCTAATAATTTATGACAGATCTCTTGCACAAACATTCCCGCTTTTGAGAGTAAGGGAATTTAGACAAGAATTTAGATAAGTAATTTTCCATGCCTGCACTTCACCCAAACCATATTCTTTTAAATGACTTGTAGCAGCAGATTATTTATTGTAAACATTTCTAAGTATCTTGGGAGTTTTGAAGCAAAAGTAATGCAAATCATTTGTTGCCTGTTTAAGGTGATATTATAAAATTATAGTACTAAACACATGGAGGGTACTTACTGTGTTGATTTCAATGTTTCTACTACCCTTGTACTATAAAAAGTGTTTTATGTTTTTGTTAGACAGCTAGTTGGAATAGTGGCTAACAACGGTGAGCTGACTCATGAAGCTTCTCTGAAGGGTTCCCACTTCATACAGCTTTGTAGCCAACGAAACATTCCAATCCTTTTTCTCCTGAATACAGCTCCATGTGCAGCAGAGCCAACCAGTCTCGCACAGGTAAAGCAGCTAGTACAGAGCACAGTCAAATGGCTCTGAATTAGGGTATCACGCTTTCAGTTTCAAATGAAAAAAAGTTTTTTCACTGGAAAAGTTTGCTCACTTCGGTTCTTCCCTGCAATAACAAATTCCTCTGCATCCAACAGGGAACGGGTTCTCTGAATGTAAAAAGTTTGAAAAATGATTGAGGGGAAATCTCTCCACTTGGTATTTCCCAGGTTTAAGGTAGCTTGTGGGACACGGGTGGTGCTGTGGTCTAAACCACCGAGCCTAGGGCTTGCTGATCAGAAGGTTGGCGGTTCGAATCTCCGCAATGGGGTGAGCTCCTGTTGCTCAGTCCCTGCTCCTGCCAACATAGGAGTTCAAAAGCACGTCAGAGTCTAAGTAGATAAATAGATACCGCTCCAGCGGGAAGGTAAATGGCGTTTCCGTGCACTGCTCTGGTTTCGCCAGAAGCGGCTTAGTCATGCTGGCCACATGACCCGAAAAACTGTCTGCGGACAACGTCGGCTCCCTCAGCAGGTAAAGTGAAATGCGCACTGCAATCCCAGAGTCATTCGCAACTGGACTTAACTGTCAGGGGTCCTTTACCTTTTTTTTAAGGTAGCTTGTCAGCCAAATTAGGAGCCCAACAAGTTAACATCTGAACACTGCATAAGAAGTGCTGTTGTATACCTAGAAACTGTAATTTCCTTATAATGCAAGCTTCTTTGTTGGAAATTCAGTAGTAATGATTACAATTAACTAAATTCTTGCTATGTGAAAAAAATCAGAACTAGCAGATTTCACCATATACAATGAAAAATAATGTTCCCTACAGAGCTCAGTATTTCCAAGTAGTATACTTTGTTTTTGTGCCTGGAAAATGATGGACTGGCAGTTTTTGAAACTCCTGTTTCCTTTTAGTCTGCATGTGCATAGATGGAGAGCTTTGGTCTTGTTTTGAAGAGGAACAGATTAGAACAATGAATTTCTAGTGCTGAATCCTGCATTAATTACTACCATCTTCTTCTTTTCCCCCCTTTACTGTTGGTAGGCAAATTAGTCACTTAAATATTCGTATAAAAGATTTGCAAATCCTGTACATGTTGAGACCAGGAATAAAGGGAACATCTGCATGTAAAAAGTAAAAGAAATAACTCTCACCATTCTTTCATTTTAATTCAGGCAGAGGATCACACTAATAGGCTGAAAGCACAAGCATCCATGATGGCTGCAGTTGCTTGTGCTGCTGTTCCCAAGATAACCCTTGTGATTGGTGGCTGCTATGGAAATGAAAGCTATGCTATGGTAGGTTGTTGAACGTAGGATCAGCTTCTCTTTCCTCACCCACATGCCCCATGTACACAGCTCCTGTCCTAGCTAGTTTCTTAGGGTAAAATTCAACATGGTGCTAAGTCTCTTGTTCCATCAGTGCAAAGATTTCTCCTTGCACAATGGGGCAGATGTTCTTCTCCCTCCTGACCCTGCATCCCCTCCAATACTTGGATTGTTACTTACACAAGGAGTAGATTTCATCATGCGGTCACTGGGTTGGGACAGATCTGTTCTAGGTGTTCCCCCAACCCTCTGAAGGGAAGGTTGTGGTCGTGGGAAGAAATGGATTTATGTGTAAGCATAAATCCTTGTGCTTACAAGACATGGTAGTTGAATGCCACACTTGAAACTTGATATAACTAAGAATCTCTAGCATGTAGTGAGGAAAATACAGAATTATTGTTGACACAAGTAGACATGGCACCAAAGGATCAGACTGTACTGAAACCAGAAATTGGTGTTTTAAATTAGATGGACACTATATTTCACAGTTCTTTAATGCCTTCTTAATATGTTTCCCTTGAGTCAATGCTTTGTTCAAGCTGGCTTAAATGGTGAGTTTTCATTTCTGAATTTCTCTGGTCTTGTGTTGTCTGTCTTTAGTGTGGAAGATCATTTGATCCAAACTTCCTGTTCCTCTGGCCCAATGCAAGAATAGGCCTTGTGGATTCAAGACATTGCCACACGCTCTCATTTATTTGGGATGCTGATCGACAAGGAGCAGAAGTAGACTTAAAACTATTAAAGGAAAAGTAGGTGCATTCAACAAAAACCTCAGTGTTATGATTAAATTAATGGTATTGATGTTTCTCTTTGGATTTCAGGGTGCTGCTTCTAATTTTTTTAATAGCTAAAAGAATTATAAATTTTTGGAGTTACTTGTTTTCTATACTAGCGATTATTTTACTTTTTGAAGCAGACCGTTGGCTCTTCAGTTTGGGGGTATTAAAAATGTGCTATATTGTCTTAGTATTCCCCAAAGTACAATATATCTTTACAAATGCAGTTGAAAATTGAATTTTTTCTTTTGTCTTTTAAGACTAGAGGAAGAAAGCAGTGCATTCTACTCTTCTGCCAGACTCTGGGATGATGGTGTAATCCTACCGCAGAGTTCAAGGAAGGTAAGCTTCTTTCTCTAAGTGTATGTCTCTATATGATGTTCAGTATCTCTTCCTTCCCAAGCCTACCTGTTAAAAAATACTGGTTTCTGGTTTTTCCTATTAAAATAGTATATGGAGGGGAGGGGAAGAAGGCACATTTCCTTCCCCTGCCTTCCCCCTGGCTGTGTGCTTGTTTGTTTATTTGTTTGTTAAAAATACCGCCCCCCCGTTAAAAACCCTTTTTTAAAAACAAAAAACAAAAACTAATTGAATATTAGTGTGACTTCTGAATTATTTTGGACCAGTTGTGGAGCAGGTTTGGCCTGATGGAGGCCTTTTAGATTAGAGCCACAGGGCAGTTCAAGGGTAAGGGCGCTTTAGACAGCCCTAGTGATTAGTAAGGGAGTTGGTAGGGCAGACATAATTGAAGGTAAAGGTAAAGGGACCCCTGGCCATTAGGTCCAGTCATGACCGACTCTGGGGTTGCGGTGCTCATCTCGCTTTATTGGCCGAGGGAGCTGGCGTACAGCTTCCGGGTCATGTGGCCAGCATGACTAAGCCACTTCTGGTGAACCAGAGCAGCACACGGAAACGCCATTTACCTTCCCGCTGGAGCAGTACCTATTTATCTACTTGCACTTTGACATACTTTTGAACTGCTAGGTTGGCAGGAGCAGGGAGCGAGCAACGGGAGCTCACCCCGTTGCGGGGATTTGAACTGCCGACCTTCTGATTGGCAAGTCCTAGGCTCTGTGGTTTAACCCACAGCGCCACCCGCGACCCTAGACATAATTGAAACAGAACAGTTATTGGTAGCATACTTTAGGGATGTAATTCTCTCTGAAATAATGGGTAGATGATGTTTTTTTCTCTTAATTTACTGCAACAATAAATTGACACAACACATTCACTGCTTGTTTATCTGCTTCCTCCTATATTCCTTTGCTTGCCTTTCCTACAGTTTCTGCTTTACATATTTTTTCATGATAATTGCTTTTAGCATCTTCTCCTTTATCCTTAGAGTGACCTTCTGATACGTTTTATTCAGCTTCTACAGTAATTGTCAGTCTTGTGAAGCACTTTAGAATGTTCCAAATACATTAATTTTTGTTGTTGTATTTGTTGTGTGTTTCTTTTGACAGGTTATTGCACAATGCTTAAGAATTATGAAACAGCAGAAATACCAGATCATGTCCCTGCAACAGTCTCCTCTTCCTGTCATAAGAATGTAAGCAGGAAAGCCTGCTGGTAAAAAAATGAATTTGAACATCTGACTCCCTGGATGTTAAATAGAAACAATTAGTATTTTAATATTGTCATCATGATTTCTTGGTATGAAAATGATATATAAACATATATAGAAATCAAACATTTTCATACCAAGAAATCATGATGACAATATTAAAATACTAATTGTTTCTATTTAACATCCAGGGAGTCTTCAATCATGCTTCTATTACTGTCCACACCCAATGATAGGATACTTTAAATTGATGTCTTTTGTGCTGAATATAACCAAACAAGTATTATGGAAATCATTTATTAGCTGATATACCAAGGTTTAAGGTGTGTCAAGTTAATAATTTAAAACAAAACTTAAATAATACAGAAAACAGATTTAACAGCACCAGAAACACCAGAATATACTAACCAGCCAAGCCAAAAGCTACTGTTTTACTGTTTTGTTTTTAATTATTTACTTGTTTTTATCTTGTATTCTGTTAGCCACCCTGAGATCCTATGAGGAAGGCTGGTGTATAAACCTAATAAATTAAATAATTCTTTGCCACCACTTCCAAAAAAGCCAAAATGAAGGGGAGCCAACTGATGTAAACACCTTATTTTTATCTCTGGCAGTTTTTACCTCCCACAGAGTTGGCCCCTGAAATTTGACTATATTAGGTGGTTGAAGCTGCAGGACGGTGCACAGAGGTGTGTCTTATAAGTTATGAGGCTCTGATTGTAAAGAGCTTTTCATGAACATTCACAATTTTAATGCAGTTTTTACCTCTGTCTTGAAGACTCTTCAGGTTGGTGCAATAAAGACTTTTGGATTAATTCTTTCTGGATGTAAGATCATGAATGTGTCATTTTTCCTCAGAAGTGGGGAAAAAGCTAAGAGATTTATTGTAATTATTTTTTTAACTTGTTCATAATTGTTAAAAAGTATTAGAATTCAAGACTATATTAAAGAATGCATTCTCACTTTGTTTCTGAAAATATATTTGCTAAGTGACTAACAGTTACAAAATCTGTCCATAATTAAGTTTTTTTTGGGTGTTAAATTGACTTGAGTCTCTTTACTCCCACCCACCTACACAATCATCCATTTGCTTTAAAAGTTTGTGTGTCAGGCTACCGACTCATGAAAGACTATTTTGCAATTGACAATGCTTCTTTACAGTTAAATTTATTTGTTGAATGAAAAATACCAAATGCTGACAGTTTCATAAACCATTTGTTTCTCTACAGTACATGAGGATCATAAAAGTATTCTTGAATTCTGTCAGTGTGGAGTTCTTTGAAATGTTAAAATACTTCTACAGGTCCTCAGGGCAGATAGTTGGAAGGGTGTAGTTTTTAAAGTACAGTTCGTAGCTGCATCCGTTACGCTAAAAGTCAAGCTTTAATAATAGGTCTAGTGAAGGTGCAACCATCATGCTCGTTTGAAGAGTCCATGAAAAGTAACTGGGATGTTTATGTCCACTTCTGCCCTGGCGACTTCACTCATGTCCTTTGCACTCAAGATCAAAAGGTAGCCAGGCTTTGGTCCACTTCCAGGACTAATGACAATGCTCAGGACAACACCTGAACCAAAAATAAAAAGGAGTTACCTAGCTGAAGCAGCACCAGATACTTCAACAAATCTCCATTATATCATCCAAGAAAACTGCAACGACCATCAAACCAAAATCTGAACAAGTTTTCCATTATTCTATCAGTGAATATTTGTGTACAAGGTTTCTTTTCTTGCAATTATTGTGTAAGACGGCTGGCATTCAAAGAAAGCCTTCCTAACTCACTGAAGAAAAAATGTGCATAGACTTGAATAAAGAAATAACATTACCATCATCCTCTTCCAGGGCATCTGGGTGTGAAACAAAGATTGGTTCAGAGGGATAGGCATCTGGTTCTTGCCATACCCATGTCTCTCTTGTTTTGATATTCATCTTGCAAAGCTAGAAAGAGATAAGAGTGGGGGTCGATACTGAAGTTAATTTCTCCCTATTATATAAAGAGTTGTTAGTCAAACACTGACTAACTCTCTAGATATTGCAAAATCACCACAAATTCAGACATACATTTTTACACAATGCGCTTGCTATTAGAATATGGTATGGGGTGTTATCACAAAAATATGAAAAAATGACAAAGTGATGGTCACTTTGCCATATCAAAGCTGTGTTGAAAATTAAGTCTTAGCCCAATAGATGACAGACTTTTTTTAACATGACTATGTTTTATCATGAGGTGTAAAAAAACAGAAATTTTGTGAAGAATGGATTTAGCCCAGTGCACAAGAATAGACAGATATTTGGCTAGATGTTGAAATACAGTGTTCATAAATTAATGTCCGTATTGATGGATTATGTGTCTGTGTTTATAAAGAGCGAAAGAATATATTTAGTACTATGAACACCTTTTAAATGCTGGGCTGAGAATCACTTTAAATATATTTCAGGTTTGAGTGAAACCAGATGACTTTTTGATTGGGCTTGATGTTAATATTAAGAGTCTCTTGAAGATAGTGTTAAAATTGCACTAAACTGTGTTGTCTTGCACATTCCTATCAATGCTGGCCCTGACCATATTAAGGAATCTTAATTTGCACCCATCTTAGCACATAATACTTACCCTGTCTGGAACAAAGTGATTCAATCCAAGTCCATATGCATATGTGTACGGTTTCCCAGAATACTTTGCATAGTTTATTTGTGGAAACTCAAAAGCTATAAAACAAAACACAAGAACATTTACAGGAATTAGTGAGTCATTTTTAGTCATTTATTTATTTAAAGCATTTTTATCCTGCCCTTCGGCCAAAAAAATGCTCAGAGAGTGGCTTACAGATCACTTAAAAAACAAAAAAACTACAATTCCTGCTGTCAGGTTTACAACTGAAAAAGAGACAACACAAAAGGAAAATAGATTGGGAGGGAGGAGGAGATTTACTAGGCTGTCTTTGTTATTCTGGTTGAGGATGATCTTACCTTGACGGGGCCCTGAAAAAATAACTTCTGGCTCCAGCCAGATGGTTTCGTCACTGTGCAGAACTGCAGTAGCTGTTGTATTAGGCAATGTGATTAAGTTTTTGCCAGTGTCAGCCTAGGATAAAAAAGGGAAGCTAATGAAAAAAGTTTGCAAGTAGGAGCAAGCTTGATTCACTGAATAATAACAGGCACTGTTCTGTAGTGCTTTCTCATATACAGGCAGCTCCCCATTTGTGTTCAGTATGTGTGCAACCATGTAAACATACATTGTGCTGAACCCGGAAGTGACCAGGAAACTTCATAAAGACGTCACTGAAACATCACTAAAATGGCAGAATGGGGACAGGGTGGGGGCAGAATGGGGTGTTCGCATTCTTTTTCAATGGGTTTCAATTATACATGATTTCACAGATGCGTGCAGTGCCTTGGAACCTAACCCCTGTGTAAATGGGACTGCCGGTAATGCAAACACACTGGTCATGCTACCCTAAAACTGCCTCTGCCACAATGAGAGGCTAGGAGGGTGGAAACAAGAGAACAGGCATTTTCTGTAGTGGCCCCCACTTGTGGAATGCTTTCCCCAGGGAGGCTAGCCTGGCCCCTTCACTACATATCTTTAGGCACCAGACAGAAACGTTCTTCTGCAACCAGGCCTTTGGAATCATTGACAAAATACATGAATGAAACAATAGATTCCATTAAAGGAAAACTGATTCTTCAACTGTTGTTCAGGCTTTGCAAGTTCAAATACAGAACTCTTTCACTATTGCAGGTACCTTCTCAATATTTAGGGGAAGGACGTATCGACGAACTTCAGGTTGAGGAGCTTTCTGGGCATTTTTCTTCACTTCTTCCCAGTTCTCCCGTAAATTGGCTAAATATAAGTAATTGTAAACGAACTCAAACCTGTAGGAGGATAAAAGTATCAGCATTCAAATGTTGAAAGCAAGCAGTTAATGACATCTAACATGGTTTTGTTGTGACACCCTAGAAGCAAGAGATGGATTAAATTTCCTGAAGAGTCCTGGCCCACAAAATTTGTTTGACAAAAATTTTTTACAGTAATTGCTGCATATAATAAATAGTGCACAACCAGTCTTTCAAAGTAAGTGGCATTTTTTTTTAAAACTAGCAGAATTGAGCATGCAACCCTAAGGATCTAGAAACAGGATCCAGAAAATCAGTAAGACTTGGGCTTAAAGTCTTCGATTACTCAGTTGATCCCTTTGTCTCTGCAAAATTACTCCCAAGTATTAGGATATATTCCAGCATGCATATTCTATCACTCTTAGAAAAGAAAGTTGACAAAATCCTTCGGTATTTGACACATGCTGCGTGGATTACTTCAGAGCTCTTTTGAGTGCTATGCAATGCTCAGGCTGTATTCAGGTGACCCTCCAAACCTTTGAATGATAGTTTGCTGCATTATTTGAGTGTTGCAGGAAGCTATGGTTTGATTAAACCACAAATAAACTTGGTAAGACACATGCACCAAAGAGGAGGAAGCATGCGAGCAAAGGGAATATTCCTCAACCTCCAAACTGCGCTTTGGAGAATCACCTGAAAGCAACCTTCTTGTCAATACCCACCCCTTCCATGTGCATAAATCCACAACCAGAAAACCGTGATCTTCATAGGTGTTGATGTGATGAAAAAGGTTAAAAGGTGAAGTCCTGAATTTGATGTTGAGGTACTTCTTTTTTTTCCTATCAGCTACATGCATCCATACCTAAAAAATAAAATAAATCACACTTGAACTGTGGGAACCCATAAAATAGCATCTACTGCTTTGTGCCCTCAGATAATATACTTTTAGGCCCTGGGGCACGTAAATTGCAGAGCAGCATCACTTACCCCCATTTTTTCATTTGACTCAAAACAATCCATGTAGTTGGCACCCCAAAGACTCCAGGAAGAAAGAAACTTGAGCAAGTTGATTTTCACTGGCGTTTCCACAAATACGATGTAATTTGGAGTCATTCCAAAGCTGTTCAGAAATATAGTTGTGGGTTTTATTTCAGGCGACGCAGCATTTTGCATACATGAAAGTGTGCAATATTCAGCTGCATGCTGTTTCTTCCCATTTTTAATTGCTAATTTAATTCAATCTTATCTGTCAATAATAGACAAAGGCTTTGACATATGGGGCAAACAATTTTCTGTTAGAAATGTGTGCTTTCAAATTTGGATTGATTATATGAATGATATATTGGTCAGGGACATCATTAAAAGCTTTTAGAACATCAAAATGAAGAGTATCTACCTGAATACCAACCCTCTCCATGTGCTTATTTGCACTTCCAGAAAATGCCTAATATGTAAGTTATGCAGTACAAACTTTTGAAGATGCTATTCTCTTTACTTGATCACATTCTCTCTTTAGCAATGCTTTCCATGCTACATGTACTATAGAGGGAAATGAGGCTCATCAACCTGGGAAGGGAGCCCATTTAAGAGAAGGAAAACTCTGATCCTAAACATCCATTACCTTGTGAGATATCTTCAGGGAAGTAAACCCTACACAAATCCAGAGTTGAGTCCCTAAGACAGTTGGATGGCACCCTGTACGCCTCCTGGCAACTCCTGCTGCCAAGCTGGTGCCAAACGTATTGCTCTGCTTTCCTTTGGACTACATCAGTGAAGCCGGGAGGGGGGTCTTGTCATTTGGGCAGCCCAGGACTTCCATATACACTGCCCTGGCTCGTGCCCCAGAGAGGTCACTTCGGTGCTGCTAATGCAGCAGAAACAATGCAGGAGACAGCAGTTATGCATTACCAGTCTCTGCAGCCATAGTAGGCGCTGTGATTCTCCAACCGTTTGACTTCACTCCCACCCAGAGGTGCACTCCATTGTCTCTCTCTCTCGAGATGGGTGCTAACAATATTGCTCTTTTATATTAGCAGAAGTCATAATGTTTATTTTGTTGGCTTATATTAGAGGGTGGAATTTACCTGTGCACATAAGATGGCTTGAACCTGTCACTGCAAGGAAACTGAACAATCACCTCGCATTTGGTCATTGGATCTTTCTTATCTAAAAAGAATATATATGTATATAAAGACACAATTCATCTGCTGATCTTGTACAAGCCAATGAATGAGAATTCCATACAAGAATAAGAAAACAGGTGTGGTAGATGAAAAAACAAAGGGTATCCAGCATAAATCATACTTGGGAATAGACCCACTGAAACTAATGGACAGACTTAACTTAGGTCCATTAGTTTAAAGGGGTCTAACTGAGTAGAACTTAGTTACAACTCAATCATTCTGTCTTCAAACACAAGCACTGCTTCTCTGAAAATGAGCTAGTCATTAAAAAAATCTCTTTTGATGCTTTTTTTTGCAAAATACACACACACAGCTTCTGACACTTTAGCTACTGTGTAAGAGAAGGAAAAGCGACAGAAATCATAGGAAAAGCGAGAAGTATTGCACTATGTGTAGCGGATAGATTTTACTCATACTGGAAAAGGAACAATGCAGTCATATTCTAAGTACTCAGATGTTTTTTGGAAGTGAACAAACCTGCTTGCAGGGGAGGTATCCGTACAACGTTGTAGGCAAGGGAAAAATTCTTTCCAAAGCAGTTGCCCATATTGTAAACGGTTCCATCATTCTCAACGTGGGGGTGTGCTGTTACTCCATTGACAGAAACATATTTGCTGATATCCACCTGGAGAGCATAATAGAAAGATGCCTTGTTGGTCCATACATTCATCTGGGCTTGACAGATGGATGGCGGCTAACAGATTGAGGTTGAATCCTGACAGAAGTACTGTTTTGGGGGGACAGGGCGGGCAGGTGTGGGGGGACTCCCTGGTCCTGAATTGGGTAACTGTGCCCCTGAAGGACCAGGTACACAGCCTGGGAGTCATTTTGGACCAGGTGCACAGCCTGGGAGTCATCACGGTAGACAGCTGTCCATGGAGGCACAGGTCAATTCTGTGTCCAGAGCAGCTGTCTACCAGCTCCACTTGGTACCTTGTGGCTGAGACTCTACCTGCCTGCAGACTGTCTCACTAGAGTGGTTCATGCTCTGATTATCTCCTGCTTGGACTACTGCAATGCGCTCTACGTGGGGCTACCTTTGAAGGTGACCCGGAAACTACAACTAAGCCAGAATGCGGCACCTAGACTGGTGACTCGGAGTGGCTGTGGGACCATATAACACCGGTCCTAAAGGATCCACCCCCATTGTTCAGCCTGGACACTGAGGTCCAGTGCCGAGGGCCTTCTAGCTGTTTCCTCACTGCGAGAAGTGAGGTTGTAGGGAACCAGGCAGAGGGCCTTCTTGGTAGTGGTGCCCGCCCTGTAGAACGCCCTCCCATCAGATGTCAAGGAAATAAACAGCTAACTTTTAGAAGACATCTGAAGGCAGCACTGTATCAATAACATTTTTATGTTTGTTGTTTTAGTATGTTCTGATATATGCTGTGAGCTGCCCAGAGTGGCTGGGGAAAGCCAGACAAATGGGTGGGGTATAAATAATAAAATTATTATTATTATGACTTTAGACACAAAAAATCTAAAAAGAAACAAACCATTTGCTGGAGGGGGGGGGATTCAAACTGATAAACAAGGAATATGACATTTTAAAAGAGGTTTGATATTGACCAGTTCCCCTGACCTGGTAATATAATCCCCCTTCAACTGGGCCTGGATGGGCCTGTTGGAAAGTCAAGGCTTGTACCAACTGCAAATAAGATGAGAAGGTAAGATGACTCCTCCAAATCCACTTTGTGCCTGTGTCTTGAGTCCTTGATTATTCACAGAATGATTTTGAATACTGTAGTAGCCCCTACACACATTGGGCTGGATCCAGAGTTCCTATAAGCGGAGTTCCACTCACAGGACATCGCTGCTACAGGAAGGGGGAAAATACTGTTCTTCCCCAGCCCCCACCAATTCCTCTCTGCACAGTTCCCTGAAAAGGTTGAGTAGTCACCTGAAAAAGTTTCCCCTTCCTCCAGCCGGAGGACACCTTCTGCTAGATTTCAGCCCCACAGAATTTCCTAAACAGAGGCAATCACTGTAGAAAAAAGTTCTACATACTTGGAAATATACGAAGTTATGATGCAATGTTATTTTGCCATAAATGTATGTTTCACATTGACATTGCAACATGTCCTTGCAGCTAATTTTGATAAACACGCTACTGCTAAGACATAACTATTTATGCAGTTTTTTTCATGCACAAAAACTATATCTTGCAATGAAAAACAACCCGACTCTAATCTCTTAATGATGGCATTGTCCTGTCCTCTGGTACCACCTATAAGAAGGTCTGCCTGCTCGTACCAGCTGTGATATATTTATAGCAAATTCTGTAAAACTGCTGGTCTCTTTATAGCTCTTGCTGAAGCACGACATCTATAAAGCTAACACGGCCACTTTACGATGTCATAAATCCAGTTATGAATGCCCCACAAGTGGTAGTAACCAGCAGAATGTCATTGGAATGTCATTTGGCTCTGGCATAAATACCAAAAATGTCCGTGTTTGCATGATATTTACTAGTGCATTCTGAGAGCACAGACTTTGCAAAATATTTATTGACGTATTCCAATGTCTGGACTAGATTCTAATGGGGAGAGAGGTCTGGCATGTAGGAACTCTGCCACAGACCTCATATACAGTCAGACAGTTCTCTAATCAGGTATTGTGTTGCAGGTGCAGACTGTGCATCACCAAAAGCATTTTTCCTTTACCTTTTTGCATTTCTCCTCAACCTCTGCCTTCTATCCATCATCTATCTATCTATCTATCTATCATCTATCTCTATCTATCTATCTATCTATCTATCTATCTATCTATCTATCATCTATCATCTATCTATCCATATGTATCTCTCGCTTTTTTTTTATTACCTTTTTAATTGTTTCCAGATTCTCTGGGTTAATTTTTGTTATGAAGTTTGTCTCGGTACAGGCATAAAAATCTTCACCCACGGGGTACACATTCACCAGGGCATTGTCAGTGACCTCCACACCTTGGAAGTATGAAAAAAACCTGCCAAACAGAACCAACAAGGACACTAGATTATTTCTTCTGGTGGGGAAAAAAAGAACATGGCTTCATCCCCTACAATATGCCTTTGTTTTGTCACCTGGAAAATATATTCTTGCATGGATCTGGGTAAGCATAGGTGCCAAATTCTGTAATCACGACTCTTTTCTCGGTCATTGCCCTTACATAGGCATCGGTCCGGATAAACCTATAGAGAAGGAAGAAAGGTTGTTTTGGTCTGGTATGTTGAAATCCTCAGGTCACCTAGGACGAGTGCGCTTCCCATGCGGCCTGTCACATGCCCCAGGGGGGATGGCATTGGCATGGGAATCAGCTCTTGTCATAGCATCTTGGATTTCTGGAGTTGCATGGGAAGGTGATGCAGTTGCTGGGTTGCTGAGAGTAACTGTAGAATGGGCCCTAAGTGGTATGTCACATATCTGCTCAAACGACCCTAACTATATGGATGGAAGTTACAGACATTGTCAAGAAGCGACAAAGGAGTAGCCACCAGAGTGGAGTCCCCGTGCTGTTACCAGCAATGTGTGAATAAGGATGGAAGTAGAAGAGGCATGGAACAAGTTCTAGAAAAGGCTGGGGTGGAGGTGGGGAGCTATGTGCAGGATGGAGTAAGCCAACCCTAAGCGCCCTTGTTGCCCAAACTCTGGATATTATTAACCCCTGACATTTCAATGTTCACCATGCTATGCAATCCTTAACGCTATTGTCCAGAAAGCCTGGGAGGCAGATTGCCGATCCCCATTTCATAGAACATAAAATATAGCCAAAATGCATTATTAGCTCTGGAACAGAATGTTTTAAAAATTCAATTTGATTTGGACAAAGGCCTTGCCTTGGGCTTGATTGCTATTGGTGGGGAATGCCGAGTAGTAAAAATGGAGATGCTTACCTCCTGTGATAAGTGACATGCCCCTCCTTGAAGTCAAACTTGTGAAGAAGTGCTTGGCCATCAAACAAATGATAAAATGGTTCTGAGCCAACTTCAAATAAACCTGGCCCGCATCTGAGTAAACTGCCTCTGAGCCAGACTGGAATCCTGCCTATTGCAATGATAGCAAAAAGCGCCGTCACATATTTAAGAAATAAAAGGGCCCATGGGAGATGCCAACTGTGTTCGACTAAGAAATCAGGCTGCTAAGCAGCCTATTGGCTAAGCGGTCTCAAGTCTTCCCTTATTCTTTGTATCAATATATTTGTGAGGGGTGAGGGGAGGCCTAGCTCCTCAGGGCTGGTCACCCCTCACAGAATCAAATTGACAATGGTGGCAGCTGAGAAAAGAAGACTAAGGTTGGAAAACATGAGGGTGGTAATTTCCCATCTCATCTTCTGCCCCACAGGCTGCCTTCCCAGATGCTGCTGCGAGTGAAGGACAGCATGAGGCCTGGTCCCACCCAACATACACTCACAGTGTGCCAAGCCAACACAGACAGATTGTAAGGCAGCAGCTGATTTCTGGAAACTATTAAAAAGCAGCAAATTGTCAGTTGCTTGGATAAATATATTTTCCCCTCTGACTGGGCAATGATTGGGAAGGGATAGCAAAATTGGGTTTTCTGCCTCAGGGACCATAACATCTCTGGGGAGGAACATCACAGAGCTTCTCCAAGTCACTACAGATTCTAGCTATTATTTTACTTACATTACATGAGCCCCAAGAATGGGGCTAAATAAATACATTTGTTATCCAGCAAAAAGAAAAATTTGACGTTCTGTTTAGAAGATGTTTACCAAACTTAGAAGTCTACTTCTGCACTGAAGAAAGCCTCACTGTACAAAGGCCAGAGAGTGGGGAGAGCAAAGTTTTGTTTCGTGGAAGGCGTTTGAAAGAAGGGCATGTCCAGAGATTTGTTGCTTTGTTACAGTATTGAATTTCTATTGCGATGTTCTAGGATTGTCAGGTTAACTTGAATGGCATTTAATTAGTCCAGGTATGCAGCAGGATTTCAGGGCTTGTGATGATTAGGTCAACAATTTCAATTTGTAGATTTTCAGCATGAGGCTATGGAAATGCAATATTTGACTTTAATTAAATAAATTAGTATCACAACAAAGAACACCCAAGGTTTCTTCAACTCTCCCTCTGTATCTCTCCCCCCCCCCCCCCCCGCCTCATAAAGGTTTGCTCATGAAGGAAAATAGCACACTGGGGCAATCTGGAAAGAAAGCATTAGAAATCCACATACCCGTGACATTAGCAGTTATTGGTGAGGAGAGTTCCTCCACGGTCTCAAAGAGCTTCTTGTATCCACCAGCTGGATGTTCAACTCTGAAGGGTGTTAAGATAACAAAGGGTGAGCAAGTCCTTCCAACTATTGGATGAAGGTTAGAACAGAGCTATACATTCGACAAGAATTGTTTTGACCAGCATAAATAGGAGGCAAGGTAATTTGAGATGAAATGTATCATTGTGCCACGCCCCCTCCCCCGGATAAAATTGGTAGTTTTTAGAGAAATGTGCGATATCCACTTGGTAGAACAGGTTGTGGCCAAGTGAGAGTGCTGAATATATTTCCAAAAAGTGGAATCGGCACAGCATTCCTCCAGCCAAATGCAAGCTTCCCCATGACCAAATCACATTGAACATGGACTGAAGGCACAGATTACTCATCCTCACAAGTGCCAGGCATCATGTTCCAGAAACTCTGTGATCCTGCTCTCACCACAGGGTGAACTCTCCTATTCCAATACCCTCCCAACACATGTTGGTCACAATTCAAAGAACTATGCTTGCAATGGATTAAGCTTTAACAATGAAAATCACAGAATCAGGAGTCCAGCTTTACTGCTGTTTACTACTGCCCTGCCACAATAATTTGTGGATTCTTGTTAGAATATCATGCATGCCCCATAGGCAGCAGCAGCAGCAGCAGCAGCATGTGAAGACTGACTCTTTGCTTCTGATAAATTTGCTAGCTGCAAGAATCTAGTGACATTATCACACTTTAGCGGGTTGACATTTAAACTCTATGCAAAGCAAAGCCCAGGGAAAGGTACTTACTGGCTGGCCATTTTCTCCCTAGGAAAGGATTTGGACTTCCCTGAGCCAAATGCAGAGTACGGCAGTCGGAGATGTGTGCTGGGTATTTATATGAACGTTAGGTCTTACTGACGGGAGCAACAGCTTTATGGAAACATATGAGCCAATCAGCTGGGCCCTGGGGAACAGAAGCATCTTTCACCACTCAAATCCTCCCGAAGCTTTATGAGATTTCACCCCGCTGCTCAAGAGAGGCCTTTGAATGTTTTCCAGAGACCTAAATCCCCATGCAGAAGTGGATTACAATGAAACAACAAGGGGAAAGAAAGTGGACTATAGTCACACAGCCTGTAACGTGCTCGCTGCTTGGCACAAAACCTTTGCCCCATTACCCAAACCTCCAGCTTGGAGGAACTGGCCCTCGGCACACTGCTGGCTCCAGGAGACTGGACTACACAGGCTGCCAGATGCCCTATTTTATGTAACAGAGAGTCTCTGATGGACATGAGAAGCAGAAGATTGCAGAAGCTGCCAATGGCATCCGTATTTAACCTGTCCTTAAATCCAATCACAGCTGTGTAGGTTACACTTCATTATACACCAAAACAATTTTGTAAAGTTCTATTTTAAAAGAGGAATCTCTGCCTCCTCCCAAATTAAAAAAAAGGTTTTATTAAAAACACTGCATCTGTATTTGGACAACAGCACAAACACCTTTGTCAGTTATCTGTTCAGTTTTTAGCATCAGAGCAAGCAATGTGTGGCCTCTGAAAGTGCATTAGGTCATGCATGGACTGTAGCCATATAACGTTTACTCAGAGTCGACCCACTGAAATTCTTAGTTCTATGTGATGAACGTTGGTTGGTTTCAACTCCTCGTTTCATTTTCTCAATTTTGGCAGCAAGCGATTTGCCCAGAGCAACCTTTGCCAACCTGATGCATTCAAGATGTTTGGGAGCACAAGTCCCACGGTGGCTGGAGCTGCGAGAAGCTGTAGTCGAAAACAGCTGAAAGGCACCAGGGTTCGGGAAAGGCTGGCTTGGAGACTATAAAAATACACCAATTACCATACTGCATTGGACTAAGGCATGCAGGCTTTGGGGCTATACAGAACTATTAACCATAGCTCTTAGAAATAGACTATTGTATTTATGGGAATAGTACAAGTTAAAGCAGATTGTTACTCTCTCAAACATTGCGAGCATTGTGCCTGTGTTGCAAAACACACATGGTTTCTTAATAGGTATCAGAGAAGAGAATATTACCAAACAAATCTTTAATTCCCAGTAATCGTTTTTCTTGTGCAATTAAGCTGCAAAGGCTACATTCTTATAGGTGTCTAAGCTTTGCTTATATGGAACTATAAAGTGTGGTAGGTCTGCCATAAAGAATATGACTTGAAAGCGTAAAGGACTCGGATAAAACATACCTGAAAATTATTTTCGTTGTTCCCGTTTGCCTTCCTGTTACTTTCCAAAAAGACTTAGAAGCCAATTCTGTGAAACACTGTTCTAACCTTGAAGAAATGCTCAGTAGGGCTGAAAACATTAGTTAGCTGCTGTATGATGGCTCTTGCAACTTAATTAACATTAATTAAATTTGGCGGAAGTGAATGAATCTCTGATATAAAAGGCACTGAAGGCATGTGTTGCAAGTGTAGCCAAAGGCTATAAAATGCTAGGGATCATGAAGAGAGGATGGGAATGGGCATATTAAATTATCAGGAATGCTGGCACATTCCACAGGAAATATCTGTCACACATAAAAAGATAGAAATAGTGGCTTAGAAGGATTGACAGGCTCAGGGCTAAGAGTCAGCATTAAGAAAAAAGGGATAAACCTATCAAACTTTCACATGGAAATGAAGGTATCTAAAAACCCAGTATGATAGCTACAGCCAATGTGTGATGAAAAATAACCCACGTCAGAAAAGACTCAGAATATGCTGGTTACCTCACAATTATTGCAATAACTCAGAGCATCTTTGGTTTTTAGAACTGCCCCATAATAAATTATGCTGTTACAATTTGGGGCCTTCCATTTACCATGGCAGCCTTTAAACATTGCTCATACTACGATAATCTACATTCAGTGTTAAGCGTCAGAAAAGGTACTCCATATAGTCTTCCATTTGCTATGATATTTAACTCCTTAAGTGCAATTCTGCATTTAGTTCCTAAACTTGCAGGTCCTTTCGCTGCAATTCAGTTTCAATGCACTTTCTGAAATACCCTTCCAAACAAAACACAAATAGAGTACCAACATTATGTCATTTTATTCAACAAGCTTCCTCTGACAGATATTTTAAAAATATAAAATCAATTAAATATTGACAGATACATGCTGTAAACACAAAACATTTACAACAGATAAACATAAAAAGAAAAGGAGAGGTGAAAAGAATCTGGGCAGTGTAGTCTTACTACAACACAGAATGGATTGGATCCAGAGTAACCTTAGTTGCACTTAGGTCCCACTTAAATTATATTAGTGATGACTTAAGATTTCCCCTGAAAACTAGTTGAATTTAACCCTTGCCGAAGGCCGGCGGGGGAAGGGGGATAGGATGGAAGTGTGCCTTTTCCACTGGAGAAGTGCTCTGCTGACTGGACATCCCATCTCCCTAAGAGGCCCCTCTAAGCCCCCAGGAGCCATGGAAGCAGTACGGCCATTGTTTTTCCCATTTGTGGTGGGATCAACTGGGGGTGACCTTTGATCTACTGCATTCAACCCCCTTCACTTGTACAGTCAACATACTGGGCTACCTACTGATGCTAGCTTGAACCTGCCATAATTAATTTCCCTCCCATTGAAACAGGCGGGAGGAAAGGTTTTAAAAACAAAACCAAGCCTGTCAGTATGGAAGGGTGATGGTAGCAACACCTTCCAACTCCCAACATGGCCAGAGCAAGCTGGTAGGGATTTGGAAGTGGAGATTGCCTGCTACGTAACTCTCCATCTCATCCCACTTAGGATTGCTCTTCTCGCATGGATCCAATTTACTGGCCTAAATGGAAAGAAAGAGAACCAAGACAGCATGGGAAGAAAAACTCAACACAATGGGACCAGTGACCCATTAACCACGTATTTCCAAATATTCCAGGACTGCAAATGTAACACACTTCGAACCATTGAAAGCAAGGCTTTTAATTACTTCTTTATGGCTGTTGAAGCCTTTTTCTATGAAAGGCTGGATTTGTGCAAAGATGATCAGCTTTCCATCACTCTCTTCTGTTTAACACTGTGACACATGTTCCATGCCTCCTTGTTCTCCTGCCTCTTCTTGGTCGACAGTGGACCATGCAAAGTTTCAAGACAACAGACGACCAACATACACGGTAAGTGCAAATTGAAAAGTAAAAGCTGTCGAATCAAGTTGCTTGCAAACCTATTGCTTTCACTCAAAAAATAATAATAAATCCTCTACTTTTCTACTTACAATTTCTAAATAAAAATAAAAATGCAGTACTTCTTGAAAATTAACACAAACACCAGCTTACTGAGGTAAAAGTATGCCCCATTTCTTGGAATGGGTTATAGCATGCATTCTCAATTCTACCAACTCCACCATCTCTTTCTTTTTGGCTATTGGTATCTGTACATTTTTGGTTACCCTTCATTTCACCCAACTCCACTCACACACAAATATTATCTATTTACATTGGTTGGTTTCTTTTGTAAACATCAATGTCGTCATTTCCAGACTTTAGGTATGACAAGGGAACCCTGGGGCCCAACCTATTTTAGCACAGTTCAACAAATTCACATTTTTGTATACTCGCTCACTTAAATGTGGCTAATATTTGTTTTCCAAGCAAAATGGCTTTACAAACATCAGATTCGTCAAAAGACATAAAATTAACTTCTCAGGGTACGAAGCTTTGGCTTTCGCAGGCTGAGCATTGGCTGCTTAATTGTGGGCCTGTCTTCAAACAGGATGGCTTCACTTTCTGTGGTTGGAAATCTGTTTCGATAGATCTCGGGATACTCTTTCTGAAACTGAGGAACAAGTTGCCATGTTAGTCATACTGAAGTTACAAAAAACAAACACAGTGCTACAACCAAGTAAGAACTCTTATAAAGACAGTCAGGGGTGAGCAGGGAGGTGGCCAAGTTTGTTTTATTTTCTATTTATTTTATTTATTCAATTTTAACATTCTACTTTGCTACAAAATACTGGCTGAAGACTTCTTGCTATCCAGAATGAAACAATTCTTTCACTGGCAACCAGCTAGCTACAGAGTAGGAACTTTAAAACGCCATGATGTCCTTTTGGCTGAATTTAAGAAACAATTTAAGCCCAACAAAGTCTCCATTACTACAAGAGAGTACAGAGAATAGTAACAACAACTTGGTGATTTAAAAGCTGCTTGCTTTAGAGCTGGACTCCAGTCATAAGACTTAAAAAGTTCTGGGACAAGTACAATTTTGTGTAGGGGGTTTGTCCAGGAAAAACAAACAAACTCAAAGGTTTCTGCAGGAGAACAGAAATCCTCTGTATTAAGCTTCCAAAGATATTGTACTTTACCCAAAAGTAGATTACAGTAAATTGTGTGTCAGGTGACCTTGAATAAACCAAACTAAACACTTACTGAGGGGGGAGGGGAACCCCTACTTATTCAACCTAGCATGCACTTTTTCATAACAATTGCAGGGGTGTTATGTGTCATTTTAGAGTACTAGTAATATCAAAGCAGAGACCAATTGCAAAAACAGCATGTCCACCATTAACCCTTTAAGCCTGAAATCCTTTGAAGACTAATTGGAGAGCAAATCATATTGGACAGTGGCATTTATTTCCAAGCCAACATGCATAGGATTCGGCTGGTGAAGGAGGGATAAATCTCTACTGCAGACTTGCTCTTTATCCATTAAAAAAACGAAAAGAATCCCCACCACCACACACCCCTAGTTTGCAAAATGCATTGCCATTCAGCCAGACATCTTGAGATGGGCTAAATATGATTCTGCATGCTGTAGCCAGGGATTTCAATCCCATAAAAGAATGCCATGTCCTCCCATTATGGAGTTACAACACAGTCGCATTTGCACTGGCAAAGCAGCTGGCACAACGAACACTGTAGCACTAGAAAGTCCCTGTTCATCACAGCTGGGATGGGGGCGAATTTTGGAGATTGAGAAGAGCAGCCACCTACACCTCAGCAGAAGTTCTGGTGTACCATAGGGACATCTGCTTAACACAGATAAGTGCCTAAGCAGAATGCTAATTAGCAGCAAGATTAAAGTAGCAACCAGAGCTGTTATATCTTTGCCCGACTTGCCGGACCTAAGGTGCCACTCAAACCTTTGCGGTACAAGCCTTGTTTTCACCACTACAGCAGAAGAGGCAGCAGTGATGGGGCTGTAGCAGGCTTCAGAAACAGATGCAGCTTTTTTAAAAGGAAAAAGAAAAGATGCCGCTGAACAGATCCCTTTGTTCTTCACACTGCAAGCACCCATTTCCAGGCAGACAATTTTCATCTAAATGAGATTGCCAGAGGCAACTTAACTGTCAGTTCTGAAAACTAAATGGCTACCTGCTTCACAAATAATGTTGATGCAGGTTTAACATCTTCTATTACCTGCTTAAGCTTCTTCTTCTTGTCTTTCACACTTAATTTTCTGTCCTTAATGATGCTTTCCAGAAGCTCAGCAACTGCTGCCTGAGAGGTAAAAATCTTTTGTGCATCAAATTCCTGAGAAGTTATCCTCTCGCAGTAGGAGTAAGTTGGAAATATGGTGCTCAGTTCTTCCCCTAGGCACTCCATCTGCAAACAAAGATAATGTCAAGTTCCAGGCATTTTACACAGAGTTGGTTTAGTGCATCTGTTAAACAGCAAGTGCTCTCAGTCTGACGCTCCCAGTTCCAATCTAAGCCAGGGATGCACTGAATGGGTTTCAAACCAGGATTCTCTCAGCCCTCTCTCTATCTGTCATATGTGGATGATGATGATGATGATGATGATGATAATAATAATAATAATAATAATAATAATAATAATACTGACCTACTTATAGAGGCTGAAACTCCCAAAGGGTAAGATACCAATGAACAATGGAATCAAAGTATGATAAAAATATGACCCAATTTTCTGAAACCACAGAAGTACCCAGGGCCATTGGACTCAGAATTATAGTGCAGAGAACAGTTATAGTATGAAGTAACAGAATGAAAATTTGATTCCTGCCAATTAATAATCAGGTCTGGAAGTCCATGGAATTCCCTGAAGACCAAACTGAGTACAGTGGTACCTGGGTTGTAGAACAGCTTGGCTCCTGAACGCTGCAAACCTGGAAGTAAGTGTTCTGGTTTGTGAACATTTTTCGGCAGCTGAACATCCGACGCGGCTTCCTCGGCTTCTGACTGAGTGCAGGAAGCTCCTGCAGCCAATCGGAAGACGTGCCTCGGTTTTCGAACGGTACCAGGCGTCGAACTGACTCCCGGAATGGATTAAGTTTGACAACCAAGGCACCGCTGTAATAGCCAGAAAGCAACCAAATGATTTCTACAGAATCTTTGCTAGGAGCCAAACTATTACAATTGCCTGAAGATATGGGAAGAATAGTACCTCAAGGATGCAAAACATCCTTAAGTTTAAGGGGCAAGAAATGTCAAGTTCTGCATTTTAAGTAGGAGCCTTAAATAGTTAACTAATGTGTCCCAAGATCCAGGCTGAGAAAAAAGACAGCAAGCTCAGGAGTTAAGATCTCTGACTCATAAGAGTTTCTGTTTGAAGCATGAAAGGCATGCTTCAACCTTTTCCCTCACCTGAGTAGTTTTTAAAATTTCTAAGTGTTCTTGTACGGCCACTTGTAAGTAAATCGGGACTTCCAGAATTTCTTGGTGATGATCCATTAGAAAGGATACTAATCTTATGGCAAGCAACTCATCAAGATCAACTTCTTCTTCACAACACAATATACATCGAGAAAATGTCTGTATCATCTGGAAACATTTAAACAAACTGGTTAGGAAACAAAAGAATTGTATTGTGGCAATTATTTGGGAAAGAATGTGGTATCATGTTCCTTCCCAAGACATATCCCCTTAACAGTAACAATGGCACAGAAGGGAAGACTGATAACATTGGAAGCCTAAAATTTCAGTTGTACAATGGAACAACTTAAGAAAAAATTGGAAAGCAACGCATCTTACCAAAGACCTGGTGCCAACTGCATCATGAAGTCGTGGCATATCAACATTTTCACATATTCGAGAGATCATACGCATCAAGAGTTGAAGTTTTCTGCGATTTGATGGAGGAAGCAATAAGCAGCAGATCTGCAGTGCTTCAATAGCAACTCTTTCTAAATGAGATTGGAGCATCTCTAGCAAATTAAAAATTGGGGACAGACATTATTCTCAGTAACTGTATCAAAAGCAGAATTAGCAATCCTGCACGTTAATTTCCCTGCATAACACAAAGTAATAGTTTTACGGTAATTGATTCTACTTCAGTTAAGAAGTTAGTTATGTGCTCTATCCTAGACTTTTGTGCTAAGATCCTGAAGTCGCTTCATTTTGCTCCAGCAATACAGGTGAAGAGCAAATGAAAACGAAACGTTATTATTTTAACACCGAAGTGTGCTAAAGTCCAGTTACATAAAAACGTCTAGCTGGTTGTTTAGAAGTTTAGAGACTAGACGAGTGATTTAGCAGTCCGTGCCCAACAGCAGCTTCTCTCTTTTCTCTATATGTTGTTTGGAAGAGTTGCCCAGTAGCTACGTGGGTTACAAATATGCTGAATTACACAAATATAACAGCATTGACAGAAGAGCACACATACTTGGCATTAGCATGCACTACAGAAAATACTGATGCTTGCATGGCAAAATATTAGTTTTTAAAAATTACTGAACCTCAAAGGCCCTAGGAACCGTTGTGACAAATCTTGTTGAATATGTTTAGTCATTTAAAACCTTGGGGTTTGTGCAAAGGGAAAAAAAAAGGCAGAAAAACAAACTAGTTAGTAAATATAAATAAATAAATCCCATGCTCAGGAAAGCAATCTTACTTGTGCCAGTCAACATAAGGGTGCTGGGGGGAAGCGTGTTTTCTGAAAGTTGTGTTGCACTTTTGCATAGTCTTTTACTGATGGCCATATCAGAATTCCCAGGTTTATTTCCTATTTTAGTAACCAGTGTAGTGGTGCTTTGGGTTTTTTGGCCCAGATGGCCCAAAGGATGTGGTTTCACCGTGATCTCTGCAACTGGAACATGGGCACCACACCAGCTAGAGCTGCTATTTCCACGTAAACTACGAGATCTGCAAAGTTGCTTTGATTTGTAGTTACCACTAGATAGCTCTTGGTCTGGAATACTGGCTGCAGAAACTCTCTTGAAGCCACATGTTTGTTTTGGGCCAGCGACATCTGAACAAAGATCCAAGAAACAGTCTGGATTACGTGCAGAGTGAAACAGCTGGTCTCCATTACTTGAGAACGGTATATGAACTCCAGTTTCAGAAAGTGTTTTTAGTCCGTCTTTACTACACTTGCCTGAGGCGGTATCTGCAATTCCCTCCAAAGAGTAACACCTTGCCTTAAGTTTGAGAGGCACAGCTTGTTCATTTTTCAGTCTTGAAAGGTCCTGACAACTTCCACCTGCTAGTTCATGAATGGTGGCATGTTCACAAGGCAAACTATCATGCTGCAACTTTTTATCATGTCCCTTTTCAGCTGTACACTTTACAGAAACTGTTTTGGAAGCCTCAGCTTTGTCCTTTTCGCCAGTCTTGAGCAAACTTAGCAGAAGGCATTCGGTTGACTTGAAAGAGTTTAAGGGTGGAGTTTTTGAAAGAGTCAAGTCATTCCGTGCACTAGATTTTCCACTGGATCTATTTGGAACTGCGATGTAGCCACACAAAACTATCAGAAAATGAAATACAAGTTCAGATGCAGGCGATGTGACAGGGCAACAAGACAAGCAACACAAGTCAGAAAAGTTAAGTCAGAAATGTTAGTCATGTTGAAAAGAACACTTGCTCAGTCAGAGGATATTCAAAAACATAAGTGCAACAGATAGCTCAGATATGCAAGACTAAGGACACATAACAAGCCAGTCTGTGTTCAGCATTCAGTGCAAAGACTAAGAACAGAAAACCAAGCTGTTAAAATTTATAATAAATTACGTGTCCTATTAAGGCAGCCAGAGTTCACTCTGAAAATAAGTGATTTCCAAGTGAAAACCAAGTGATTTCGCTCAGACACATGGCGTCTTAGTCCATCTTCTCAAATGCCCATTAAAGTTTGGGGTGCCTCAGAACTAGAGGAATACGTACCCAGTATATTCACAAATAACTCATAGTACTGAAATGTAAGCAAAGGTTCAGGAATACTAAGAAAATAGTCGGCAACTGTTTTGAATACATCTCGTTCAAAGCCCATGTACATTGGCTGGCTCATGCCATTGCTTCTAGGCCCTAAAATACAAAAGGAAATAAATCTCAGTAACACTGAACTTGACTCTTCAAAAATTTACAACACGAAACAGCACAAAGAGCTGTGTGTGTGTGAGAGAGAGAGAGAGAGAGAGATCTTATGGGGCAGAGGACTCCAACCCCCTTTATGGTAGGGGTTAGCAGGCAGGATCTCCAGCAGTATAAAGCTCAGAAACAGGCATTCTCAAAGGGGAGCCAGCCTAGGATTGGGCCCAATTGCTGCAGCTGGTACATGGATGGGGTACAAGCCTCCTCCCCCCATTCTGTATTCAGTGAGTGGCTGGTGTGTGGATGTGGCAGCCACTCTGCTGCTCTGAAAAGCCCTGACGGCAGGAGTTAGGATTTCGGCCATAACCATCATTATACATAATAATGCAAATGGAATTATCTTCCTGAGTGGCAAAAATAAAGTTAGTTAGTTATTCTGGCTGGGGTATGGTGGTGGATGGCCCCCTGACAAGACGTAACACAGCAATTATTTTAAGAACTGCCATTGTACAGATCAGGCACAAATTTGTGGTGCATTTATGGAATTACAGTGTTACTATTTTGCTCTTTTTTCGGCCTTAATTTCACTTATCTCATAAAATATTCTAAAAATCAGATTATTGGAAGCCCAGAATAAATAAGAGCCCAGCAGATGTCACCAATGTAGTATTGGTATTTCTATTCTGTTTTCCATTTCTATTTTAGCACCTGACATTTCAAACAATGTGTGTCTAACTTACAGTTTGCCAAGCACTTCATAGCTGACAGTACCCAGTGAGGGAGGTCTTCTGCAAGGAAGGGGGTAGAGGAAGGAAGAGACAAATTAACCAGTTCCCATTATTATTCTTAAGACTTCACATATTCTTTCTATTTGTCCTGTTTCATCCATCATCTAAGGGCATATTCTGGAAGATATAACATCTCACTTTAACCCTCATGCTACCCATGAGACATAGCTGGGAATTACAACAAGAGTTACCAGCTGCTCAAGGTCACATTCTAAAAAAGCTTCATGGTTAATTTTCTAGTCACTGCATCACACTAGCTAACCCTTAGCTGACATAACCGGTTTTAAAACATGTAGTTTGAGAAGAAGGAAAAGTTCTAGACTTCCCCTTTGCTCCTTCTTCCCTTGTGCTAGGTTGTGATAATGAAGCATATTTACATTGAAGTTCTGCTGAAATTATTATGATTGCATTTATCACCCGCCTTTCACTAGCACATCCCGGGGCGGGTTACAATTAAAAACTTGAAACAGTTAAAACAGATCACAATCACACAAAACAGGGGGCGAGGCTCTGAAAACAAACGTCTCAGGTGTCAAAGGTCGGGCACATCTTCAAAATTCACTGAAAGCGGAATAGTGAAGAAGCCAGGCACCGCCCCCCCCATGGGGAGGGAATTCCACAACTTAGGGCTTCCACAGAGAATGCCCTCTCCCAGGGCACCCCGGAAACTTCTGAGGGAGGGGAAACTACCAAGAGAGCCCCCTCTGCTGATCTTAGCATCTGGGAGGGCCTGTAGGAAAGGAGGCATATATCTTTCAAATTACTGAGGGCTTTATTAATTAATTAATTATTAGATTTTAATTATTAGATTTTAATGCCAATGTTAAATTACCAGACAGGAGAAATGCTGCACTTTCCGTAATATTTGAAGGGTGTGGGGTGGAAATCAGGTTTTCAAATAATTGTACAGGACTTGCCTGATTTGTCTTGCAGAAGAACAACACCACGTTTACTTGTATTAGTCATGTTGTATATTATGTACCGAGGAACTATTTGTGCAGGGTGCAATACTTCGTTGAGTGATGGCATGCCTAAAATAGTTTGCAAACTGCAAGGAGGAAAAAAACACAACACCAGATAATTCCAGAACTGAGCACATCACTTTGGGGGGTCTCTAAAGAAAACAGGCTTGCAAAAGGATTCAATATATATTGATGTTCAAACATCTCTGAAATGATAAGCATATCGTTTTACTGTGTTCTTAATGTTACTGCCTGCAAATCAAAACCAAGCTTTCATGAAAACTTCACCACTGGGTGATCACAGTAAATAAATCATAGTATAGGGGAAGAGGGGGGGGCATGTAAATCCACTTTAGTGCCTAGTTCGAAATGAATTTTCCTGTGGTGTCTAAGGCATCATAACAAGCAAGGATAAATCTGTTAAGTGCAGACAGGTAAAGGACAAGGACACTAGAGACCGGGCATCTTCAAAAGTCCAACAGAAGTTCCATGAAGTATCACAGAAGCCGTGTTCATAAGTAATGCTTAACTATGATTTACCACTATTTGCATGAGCTGCTGTGAGTTTTGGGCTCACACACTCCTCCCTCTGCTCATTATCAGCTATGCAGCCAGGAGGAGTTTGGCTGAGTTTAGTTTTGGTTTTCACAAAACCTGGCTTGGTATTACATATGAACCAGAGATGGAGTAAAGCAAACTGTAGTTAGTTAAACAAGCTATCTTCATTACCCATTAAAAATAGGTTTTAAAAGAAATTAACCAGAGGAGCTTATCATTAAAATATAAACAGGGCCAGAGACAAAGCACACACATTCTTCCCTAGAAGAAATAACTCTTCTTCCCAGCTTAAGCTACTACAATAATCCATGCACTTTTTATGTTTTAGTAGGACTAGTGCTCTTTAGAAATGCTAATATTTTAATTCAATTTGGTGTATAAGCTTGCTAAGCTCAAAGTTTCCAGTACAGTGGTACCTTGGAAGTCAAATGGAATCCGTTCCGGAAGTCCGTTTGACTTCCAAAACGTTTGAGAACCAAGGCGCAGCTTCCAATTGGCTGCAGGAAACTCCTGCAGCCAATTGGAAGCTGCGTCAGATGTTTGGTTTCCAAAGAATGTTCGAAAACCAGAACAATCACTTCTGGTTTTCGATCGTTCGGGAGCCGAAACGTTCGACTCCCAAGGCATTTGAAAAACCAAGGTACGACTGTACTCAAAATGCTCTGCCAGCAATAAAATATACAACTTAAAAGGAGGCTTCTCCCAACAGAATGCTTTGAGAACCTCAGCTGACCATCAGGACCACTACAATGATCTTTGCCCAAGAAGTTAACGATTCGATCCTTAGGCACATTGGGAAATGAGAGGAGTGAAGAAGACCATTTGTCACTCACTGTATCACAACCGTGTTTCTCCAAACTTCGTCTATGTCTGCTTGGGTTATTTGTCTGATGCACATATTTTTCCTGTCCTCTTCCATCATTTCACTTTTCACATTTTCTGTGTTCTCCTACAAAGCAGCCATAATAAAAGGCATTATAAATATGTATAGTCAAGACTTTTACTCAAGAGTTGGGAGAGTCATACTGTCTCATAACAACCGTTCTCCACCCCCATCCTTCCAGGAGTCTGGAAGCCAGAAGACCGCTAATGGATGTTCCCACAATTGCTCATCAGTTAGCTGTTCCCACAATGTTTACAGCAATCCTGCAACACCATAATGTAGTAGTGGGCAACTTGTAGCTTTCCCAGATGCTGTTGGACTACCGTGTTCATCAGCTCCAGCCAGCATGGTCATTGGTCTGGAGTTGGGTTCAAATTCCCACTCAGCCATGAAGCTCACTGGGTGACCTTGGGTCAGTTGCCATCTCTTAGCTTAGCCTACGTCACAGGGTTGTTGTGAGAATAAAATGGAGAAGAGGGGAACCATGTATGCTGCTACACTGAGCTCCTTGGAGAGATAGAAATCTAATAAATAAATACTCAGAAGCAGGTCTGTGTTCCATGGGTTTACTCCCAGGTAAGTGTGCATAATGAGTCATAGAATCAGAGTCAGAAATAACCTATTACCTTACATTCCCGGAATTCATATTTTTTGGGTGTTCTTCTGGAGAAATGTGGTAACTTAAATGTCTTTTCTGTCTGTTTAGAAATATTATCTGTGCTCTCACTCAACGGATACCGACGTGGCAGAATTTTCACTGGGGAAACTGAAGGAAACCTGTAATTTTAAAACACAAAAGCTCAACATTGAAGCGTCACAGACTATTTTGAAACACAGTTTGCATTTCAAAGTATTTGGGAAAGTGTTCATCACTCAAAAACACTTACAGTATAAAAGTCAACAATTTTCATTAAGGTAATGGATACATGTCACATACAAGTACTGAAACGTAGGAAGAAGAATTCTTTCGTTGTATGAACAGGATAAAGTAAGCCCAGTTTCCCAAGCAGTTTGGCACAAGCCTAGTGCATATTATATCATACTACTAGATGCTGGTCTTATGTTACAGCTAATTTTCAATTCCATGTTACTCAAAGGTGGAAACTGAATAAATTAAAACCTCATTATTTTTGGTAGTAACACATGAAACAGGGGAAATCAAAAGGACTTTTGCATCCAGTCAACCCATTTTTCCCAGTTCTATCAATATGGTTATATATTACCTGAACAAGTTATGGTTGTCATCTAGATTCTCTGAGCCCCATCTTCCTTTTATATCCTCTATCACATGATTTTTGAGAAATTTCCTTAACAGCTGAATAGTTTGCTGCCTAGTAACTTCTGGACCAAAATTACTGTTATTCTTCAGTAATTCATGAAGCCAGTCGACTGCTTCTGTTGCAGTAAAACAATTCCCATATTTTTTGAAGTGTTGCCTGTGTTTCCTTCGTGGCATTTCTGCCCGAAAATATTTAGTAACTTCATTCCACTACAAGGCAGAAGTGAAATTTAGGTTTTAAAAAACAACAAGAATAAGCTAAGCAGAAGCTGCAGTTTGGAATTGGTAATGAAACAATAAGTTATCCATCACATAATGCACCAACGCCCAAATATACCACAAACCCTGTGCTGTTTATCAAGGAATTAATGCATGTCAGAATCCTCATTTCAGCCATAATGGCAATTGAAAATGTAGTAACATTCCTCCTTAGCTAGAAGGGTATTAACAAAGGGCTGATTACACACGGCAGTGCTGTGAAGTGTGGAATCTGCAGGTGTGCAAAGGAGGAGTCATATGATCACTCCACGGCTTCCTCAATATAGGCAAATGTTTTGTCCTGCCACCACGAATCACATATTCATTAACCACTAAACATATTCAAGGCCCCTTAAGAGCAGTTAGCACCTGTCAATGCATACTTACAGGTGTTAATCCATAGATTCTAACATGGAGTAGTAACCACTTTGTGTATGATGTTAAACATGCACTTCTAGGCAAAAGGGCAAACCAAATTAAAAATACCAGCTTCACCAGTGTGGCACTGGATAATTTTCTAAACATCTTTCGTGGCCCTAAATAGAAACCACTTCTGGGTAGTGCTGCATGTAGCAATCACACATGGAGGACTTTACACCCCATGTCCACGGGGAATCAATAAACTGTGACCCTCCATATCTTATTGGACTACAACTCCCATTATCCCCGACCACTTGTTATGCTGGCTGGGACCGCACAATCCAATATCATCTGGGGGATCACAATTTCCCCATCCCTGGTGTCCTTGGGCAAAGAAGCCAGTTGCTGCTTACTAGCATGTGGACAAGGAAGAGAAAAACCTCTGCATGCCATGACTGTAGCGTGCAAAAAGAAATTAAAACAAACCACATCCCTGATGGCTTTTAAACTGGTAGAACCCCACCCCCACCCCACAAACTGCCCCCACCCCCTGCCCAGTCTGAAGGTTTTCTCTATTTTCTTTGGGTTTAATTTTGTTTCATTGTGTGTGTTTTTATTGGTTTCAAGCACCTGGAAAGGATGGGGGGGGGGGAGAGAAGCTCTTTCGGGGCCCCAAAAGGCAACCTTAAAAAAGAAAAAGTTCTTATTAAAGAACAAAACAGACACGAAGACAAGCAGACACGCGAACTGTGTCACGTGTGAAGCCGCCCCAACCGCGCACTCCGGGCTTGCTAGCTAATGCGCCGCTCTGCATTCATCGCCCCGGGGCGAGTCCCTCCCTCGCCGCTTTCTCCGCCCCGCTTACTAGCTTGGTGGCTCGGTAGGGACCCGGAGACACCACCCGGCCCTCCATAGCGCGCCCGGACCAAGCGAGGCGAAGGCGATGGCGAGCGACGCCAAGCAGGAGGGCAACTGCTACCGGACGGTTTGAACGGCGCCCCGGAGCCTCTGATTGGAGGAGCACAAGGTCATGTGACGCGCGCGCACGCACGCGAAGGGCGGAAGGAAGGTGTGTTCTCACCAGGAAAGGAGGCAGGAGGTGGTTAATAGGCGCAGTTCCCGATTTTTCCTCTGTCAAGGAGGACTAGATAGCATTATAGGGCGGACGCGGGTGGAGTTTACCGGCCGATTTGTACAAGGGAGGGAAAATCGGGCGTGCTGAACTGGGGATAGGGTGGGGTGGAGAGAGATTATGGAGCTTTTTTCCACCGTCTCTCTTAAGTTCCAGCGGCCAGGGATCGATTCTGTTTGCATGCCGCCTTTCCATCGTTAAAGTCACTCTCAAGGGCGGCTTGCAACCTGAAAAATAAAACTGCACAACTACAAACGTAGCAAAAAAGGTCATAAACAATAAATAAAACATCAAAAAGTAAACAAACAAGCAAATGGGGAAAAATCCGCATAAAGAATAAGACCTAAGATAAAAATGCAAAAAAGAGAGAATCAGTAGCATCAGCAGCAACAAGCACACACACACAAAGTAACGCTGGCACAAAACCCCACACATCCAATACATTAAGTAGAATAGAAACATAACCACCCACCCACCCCTCTCCCTCTTCCCCCTCTTTTCTTCATAACCTAACATTGTATGCATCATTAATGTCTCTTAACAAATGCAAGTGAATTGTAGAAATCATAACTTGAGAGACATCACACTGTTTTTGTATACTTAAGAAATTTCAATAAAAAACACCTCCCACCAAGGCAATGCCCTAACCCAAGAACCTTCTGAACAGCCTCAGCTTTTGTAGCTGGAGTCAGTCAAGGCCCCACCCTCCCAAACCAGGTGGAAAAGGCTAGCGAAGTACTGTAAGGAGCAGATCTTCCAGGACTCAGACAATCCAGGATTGTTTCTCTGTGTGTACGTTCAGTTTATACAAAGAGTCAAGTGCCTTCTGCTGTGGAAATGTCCCCCTGATGCCATAGGTGGGTTTGCTTTTTATTCTAGGGTTCATTGGTTGAACTTCCGGGGTCCCTCACCTTCACAAGGTGTTGCAGAAAAGGAACGGTGGAGTGTGATGGATGCAGAAGATGGTAACAGAGACACTATCCAGAAATTTTCTGTTTTTCTGTTGTTGCAAACCGCTTTGATGTATTTTTTAACGATACAGCTGTGTATAAATATTTTTTATAAACAAGCAAATAAATAAAATAGAAATGGGAGTCCCTGGACTGCAGAAGGTACAACACTGAGACAAGGAAGAGCTCAGGCCAGGGGACAAACTAGGCTTTATTTCACCTGGATCAAATACCCAGTTTGGCACCCCCCATGCACATTTGCAAGCACACAGACACAGACTTAGAGCCTCAATGGCTGCCCTCTGGAGGCTTCACCCGGGACAAAAAAATAAGTTTAGCACCCCAAATATGAGCCACACCTGGGGTAGATGGAAAACACAATAACTGGCACTTTCACAGATTTTCTGTATCAAATTAAGAAACTCACATGATGCTCATTACAGCAACTGCAGCACTTACTCATGCAGCCATGATCCAAAAAACTCTGGATTCCAGGTTACCTTTCTCCAGAGGCAGCAGGGGGTAAAAAACAGAAGAGAGGAATACTTCTATTTTAAAATGTTAAATGAGTGTTATTCATGTCCATCATGCCAGATATTCTGTTTGTTCATTCGTCAGTAAAACAAAAAGCTGAAGTTTTCGAGTTTTGCCCAGGCTTACTGATGACCTTTTTGAAAAGACTGCAATTACAAAGGCCTTCCGGGATGAATGGTAGTTGTCCTAAGTGGGAAACACTTGCTCATATAAAACATTTACAGTGGTACCTCGGGTTAAGTACTTAATTCGTTCCAGAGGTCTGTTCTTAACCTGAAACTGTTCTTAACCTAAAGCACCACTTTAGCTAATGGGGCCTCCTGCTGCTGCTGAGCCCCCAGAGCACGATTTCTGTTCTCATTCTGAAGCAAAGTTCTTAACCCGAGGTACTATTTCTGGGTTAGTGGAGTCTGTAACCTGAAGCGTATGTAACCCGAGGTACCACTGTAGATGGAGTTAACGTAAATCAAACTTACATAAATCTAATCATAGGATTTAAATACTTTGCTAACAGGAAGGGCGAATAGTTCACAAGCTTAGAAGTACATTTTTGCTTTATACAACAGCCCTTGATTACTGAGACTGAACGGTTTGTGCCATTTCCTTTACAGCAGCAGTAGCCAATGTGGTGCCCTCCAGATAGGTTGGACTACAATTCCCATCTTCCCAGACCATTGACTCTGCAAACTGGAGCTGACTTCTGGGAGCTGGAGTTCAGCTGCCTCTGCAGGCACCATGTTTTTGAAGAAGTTGCCTCTGAATTCATACTGTATTGTTTAATGCACTGTGGCATACGTATAAAAAAACAAGAGACAGGAATTAAACATATAATGGCCTGAGGCTGAACGGAATATAGGATCCAGTGGTGTTCAAATTAATTCAGCTTTCTTACAACCCAAACAAGCCTCAGTAGTGCCACCGTCACAGTTAGAATGCAGGAAATGCCACTAATTTTCCTTATAATTATTTAGCTCCAGGACATCGCAGCTTTGTTTCTGGAGTATGAAAACTATAAATGCTGACATGTTTTGGAGGACCTCAGTTGATTCAATGAAACTAAACTGGCTTAAATCAATGCACTCTGATTTATCTTCTTTGTGAAACAAGACAGCCTCCGTGTGAAACAGTAGTTTAATTTATAGGAATTGTAAGGTGAAGATATTAAAAAAGGAGGATTTTCAAGTGGAATTGAGTTAATTTGCTGAAATGACCTCTTCCAGACCACTGATCTTGGGCTGGCCACCCTGTGGTAGTGGCTTGTTAGTGAAGAAGTAGGGGGTTTGCCAGAGGTTTACAGGTGTATATTCTTCTTCCTGCAAATACAAAACAATACAAAATAATGCAGAAGATAACATGTGCTCTGTAGCAACTGACTTTCCAAGGTCAAAAGGCGTGAGAGGCTGATGGAAGGTTATCATTCTTAGAAAGAGGAATAATAACAATAATAATTTATTATTTATACCCCGCCCATCTGGCTGGGTTTCCCCAGCCACTCTGGGCGGCTTCCAACAAAATATTAAAATACAGTGGTCTGTTAAACATTAAAAGCTTCCCTAAACAGGGCTGCCTTCAGATGTCTTCTAAAAGTCTGGTAGTTGTTCTTCTCTTTGACATCTGGTGGGAGGGCATTCCACAGGGTGGGTGCCACTACTGAGAAGGCCCTCTGCCTGGTTCCCTGTAACTTGGCTTCTCGCAGCGAGGGAACCACCAGAAGGCCCTCAGCGCTGAACCTCAGTGTCCAGGCAGAACGATGGAGGTGGAGATGCTCCTTCAAGTATACTGGACCGAGGCTGTTTAGGGCTTTAAAGGTCAGCACCAACACTTTGAATTGTGCTCGGAAACGTACTGGGAGCCAGTGTAGATCTTTCAAGGAAGGAAAGGGAGGCAGACAAAGGCCACTTCAGATGGATCTCTTCACTCCCCATCTGAGGCCATCTACCACAAACTGCCCTGTTATGATACTTTAATATCATAATTGCAATTTTTATTAACGAATCTTTCTGATGCTTGAATGACAGGAATTCTGAAAGGCATAATATAAAAAACTCCAATAAATAAATAAATAAATAAATAAATAAATGGTGCAGATATTTAGTCAGCATGAATGTGTTTGCAGTTCTTGAAACTAATTTGTGGTAGCAGCAGAGAATTTCGGGATTCTGTTGAGACCTCAGAATGGATTATCAATTTAGGTTGTTCTGTGTTGGTCATTGTGATACTGCGCAGATATTTGATACTAATTAATTGTATTTTGCTGTTGTAGTTGCAGTTGTATGGTACGTATTCTTTCATAGAATCTTAGAATCTTAGAGTTGGAAGGGACTCAGGGGTCATCTAGTCCAACCCCCTGCAATGCAGGAATCTCAGCTAGAGCATCCATGACAGATGGCCTTGACAGATACTATTAGCTTTAAAATGGAACACTCATTCTTTAAGCTCTGAACACCTTAGGGAGCAATTCAGTCTTTTCCGAGTTCTCTTTTAACTGGACATCTCAATTCTGCTTTCATCTAGACAAGGATTATTATCCTTTCTGTCTCGTGGATAGAAATACATTTTCCAGGTTAAGAAAATGAAAGCAGAATTTTTTTCAACCTGTGGCTAACCAGGTGGCTGCTGTTTTCAACCGTGAGATTACAAAAGAGGAGCTTTCTCAACACATTGCCCCACTTTTAAACAATAATCACTCTTCACTTACTGTGCTGGTTATGCTACGTGGTTTGAATTCAGATGTTTTCAGGTAGCCCTGAAAGGAGACTAATGCATTATTCCTTAGTGTCAGGAATGATAGACGGTGGCGGCTTCAAGATTGGGTGTAGGCAAGGGGGTTCAGGGGGGCAGCTGCCCCCCGATCCACAAATATTATTGAAAAGCACTGAAAGTACTCAATTATCTGAGTCCAATTCAAATCATCTGTCAGGAGAGCTATTGCTGGCCTGGTCAGGACAGTGGGGCTTACCTCTTAAGTAGAGTTGCACAAGAGAATCCTATCACCCTCACAGAGCTACACTCCCCAAAGTGGCTTAACAATTCCCCAGGAACTCTGTGTATTGCAACCCTGTGAGGGGAATAAGGGTCTTTGAACAACTCTAAGCATCCTTAACTAACTAGGGCTCCCAAGACCCTTTGGCGGAAGCTACGACTGTCAAAGTCAGGTTTCCTCAAACTCGGCCCTTCAGATGTTTTGAAACTACAATTCCCATCACCCCTGACCACTGGTCCTGCTAGCTAGGGATCATGAGACTTGTAGGCCAAAAACATCTGGAGGGCTGAGGTTGAGGAAGCCTGGTCAAAGTAGTATAATAGTGCTTTAAATGTGGCTACAGCCTAAATGGCTGTAAGAATGTCATGTAAGAAAAGACAGCTGGATCAGGCCAATGGCCCATCTAGTCCA